GGCAGGTCTAGAATTCGGCAGTTCTTTTCGGTGGAAGAATTTTTGAATCCACGTGCCAATTACCATGCCACCACGGGGTTGGGTTCGAACGGGTGACCTTGACTGGGAAGATGTCCGATAGTGTTGTTGGTTCCACGCGTCATCCCTCAGTTTAATGTCCGTATGTTGGGATGGTGGCATAGAGGTCGTGGAAGAAGTCATTCCCTCGTGGAATCCACTCTCTGCATTCGTCGTCGTGGTTGTGGAGTCAAGCGCCAAGCTCGAGTCTGGGAGGGTGAGATCAGTTGAGCTGGCGGATTGCATGCGGGAGTGGGTCCAGTCTAATTCCGATGTGTGGTCACAGTTTCCTGGGTAGGAACATAACTGCATGTCTACACTTTGGAATTTCCTGGCAATATGCGTTCTGGTAGCCGGAGTGGAGTTGCTTAACTCAGATACCTTTCTGAGGTAATGACTAAAAGCCGTGTCTCCCCTTGATGTCAAAGCCGAGTGACTTAACGCTCCCGAAGGCGCCAGTACTGGTTCATATGCCATTGGATGAACTTATGTGTGGGTGTGCGTATGATAACTGCCGCCTCAACGTCAGGCCGGAGACTGGACTTGTGTTCCCCTTCGGCTGAACCGTCTTATTTTGTGAGTGTTCTTCTAGATGGGCACGCACCACTCAGCTGGTGTGTCACCTGTATATGTGGCTATTGATCGGATTGCTGCAATGAAAAAATTACGTTTTGTGGCGATGTGCTTGCGCACGCATTAATGCGTGCATTGCTGTGAGGCCACGTGCGTGTGTGCGCGTGCGTGTTTGCGTGCGTGCGTGCGTGTGTGCGTGCGTGAGAGCAAAATATGTGAAGTGTTGTATCTCGTTCAGCGCGTGTTCGCACGTACTCTATTTCACTCGTGTTGACTTCACTCAATAACCTAAACTACATAACGCCTATAAAAACATTGCTTTGCTCAAATATGACACGTTGAAGACATACCGAAAATCGCCATGACAACTGCGTGGATGTACAATGTAGTTCGATTCTGGATGCGCCTATGACGAATGTAAATTGGATATTTTGCAGGATTGTACTACGCATGATTCACCTGTCATCGTTGACCTAATGATAAGGCCCATTGTGTCTGGCATTTGTTTAATTTACCTATGACGAACGATGTCAAATTAACTGAATTTCAGACGGTAATGGTGTAGTATCAAGAACTACGTAATTAAGAAGGATGCGCGTAGGGAATGTCTAGAACAATGACAGTATACCTATAAAATGCATTCGAGCAATTATCATAGATCGTGATTTTGACTTTGTTCGAATCATATCTATCTCGGGTTTATCCTTCCTATTTCACTTAAATTTCGATTGGGTAACTCACATCTTTTTTGGTGTTTCTCAGCTCAATAATGAACAAATTGTTTACAGAGTTCATTTTCATTGCCTTATCAAATCACATCAAGCATTGTTTTCTGATCGTTCTTTTTCTTGTGCGTTTCACCATCGGATCACCGTTTTTACTGTGCCAGTGTTTTTATTAGGCGTACGGAATATGCTATTATTGGCAAAAAAAGTTTTAGGAAAGGTGATTGTGATCTTAGTGAACAACTGCGCCTCGGAAGGTAGCCTTGGAAGTTTGAAGATCCTCAATTGCAAGCTCTATTGAATGGAGACTCAACGCAAACTCACCAAGAGCCTGCAGCTTAATTACGAGTCATCAAAACGGGTATTTGCAAAAGTTCGCACCAAAAGGGGAAAATTCAAAAACTGGGAAGTTGGTTCTCCCCACATGTGTTGACCGAATACACCCTAGGTCAACGCACGAATGCATGCCTTCACTGCTCTCCTGCCCGCAACAAAAAAGGACTTCGTGTGAAAATTGTGGCGGGTGATGAAACGTATGCTTTTTACGAAAATCCCAAACGTAAAATGGAGAATCGTGGGTAGATCCCGGGCAACCCAGTACACCGATGCCGAAGCAGAACATCCACTTGAAGCAGTTTCTCCAGAGTATCTGGTGGGACCTGAAGGGTGTAATTTGTTACAACCTGCTGGAAACTGGTCGTCAGACCTCAACTGCTTAATGCTACAGCTGACAATTAAACAAACTGATCGAAGAACTTGATCAGAAAAGGACATTTGCTGGACAAGGCAGCAGGCAAGTCATGTTGCTGCTGTTGCTCGACCACCTTACGTTGCTCACGCGACTCAGAATGCCCTTTTGAACTTGGCATGGGAAGCTCTCCCACACGCGGCATATTCACCAGACTTAGCTCCATCCGACTACCATTTGCCCCGGTCAATGCATCAGCAGCGCGCCTTAGTGAATAAACAGTTCAAAACGTTGGACAATGTGGGTAAATTCGTCGATGATGACTTCATTGCCTCAAAGCCTGCAAGTTTCTGTCGCGATGGCATCCTCACGTTACCTGAGAGATGGCGCGAGGCCATGGAAGACGATGGACAATATTCCCGAAATGCGTTTTTTTGTTCTCAATTCTTTATAGTAATAAGTTTGCTGAAATTAAATCATACATCTGATAATTCCCCATAACATTTCGATGCGAAATTTTACTATTACTGATCTGTAATTTGGAGCGGGCATGTAACGCATGGCTTTTCATTATTAAGGCAGTGAGCTTGTTAATACAAATTGTTCCTCCAGCAAATATCGCAACATCGCGCTCAACTCCCACTAACATGGGGGTGTCATTTGCTCCTTGCGTTGTAAAATAAATCGAATGCCAATAAGTCAATCGAAAGAGATGATATTTCGCGTCTGTGGTCACATCCGTCTGCCGAAATGCCTGATATTTGTCTACAGGGAAACAAATGTTGCGTTTTCAGTGACCCCCTACCAGAGTTATTTCTTGATTTTATGCAAATTTTTTTTACTTGCGACGCCACCTTTGGTAGAGGGTTTTCAGCAGGCGGCAAAATTCATTGCATTGGGGGGGATTTCGTTCTCACGACATTATATGGGAATCGTGACATTTTTTTCCTGAAATTGATGCAAGGATTTTTTGATGTCATCAAACGTGTGACAAGGTCACCAGGTCTATGGTGTACCAGTTGGTTAAACTGTTAGCTCACTTTCACCCAAGATCGACAGTTTAAGGGGTTTCCATGGCCGGGGCACATTTGTCGGCACAAGGCCAGGCCGGGAGTCACGTGACATGCCCAACTCTTGGTGGGGGGCCCCAAGCGGAAATGAGGGCACGAGTACTATACCATCACCTGACCACGTGACCTCCTCAAAGCCCCCGTTTCCGAGTTAATCGTCACATCGAAGGTCATGACGACATGGCAAACCGCGCATATCTGGGAGAGACACGATCCCATGTTATTGGGATTGCAGACTACAAAATATTTTCGTAGCGTAATTAGATTAGAAAGCTGAGATACTGGTAATGTTACTGATGTTTGTTAGGAAGTTGGAATTCGGCAAAACGCATAAAACCCTACTTTTTTCCTGTTTATCACCAATTTTTTACTGGCGACCATGAAACAAACGTCAGTATAAAGTTGTTTAATAAAGGGAAAATGATAAAGGAAAATGTATGAACCTGATAAATCGTAAGTAAATCCAATGAATTTTTATCTTAGCACGTTTGACAGCTAGTTGAATGCGGGTTCTGGGGTCACAGTAACGTTCCTGGAATTTATTTGGGTAAAGATTTTTGTAAAAACGGCAGCAGAAACACCACTTGTTGCTCATTTTACAGTTTTCTTTTTAGCATTTTGGTATTTACGCAAGCGCTAGAACTCAGGAGATTGCACATGCTGATTCTAGAATCCTCAGGGGGTCCACGAACCTCCAGTGAGAACTCTGTGTGTTGAAATTCCTGCTGGTTTTTTAACTGACAAGCCTGTGGGAGCCCGCCGCAACCAACCCCCAAAACCCCACCGAAACAGTGGTGGCCAGCTCACGTGATTACTCCACCTTCTAAGCAAGAGATCACCGATTTCCACCACAAGATCTTACTTAGTATTGCTTCCAGTAGTGTGTGTAATTTTAAGGTAAAAAAAGCTAACCAATTTTACTACCCCATTTTACCGTTTTGCGTGCCCCGGATTCTATTTTTACCAATTCATGCGCGATAAAGTAGTTAAATTAACCCCAAAGAACCTAGATTGAGGTTGTCTTAGACCAACAATTTCCACTTCAGTAGCGTGTTGTCACTACATAGGATTTTACAAAGTCCGAAGAAAAATCAAATGGCTGGCAAATTCATTGTCTTTTCCCTAATTTGCCTACGCATTGGCTCTCGGAATCAGGAAACCAAAAGCATCTTTGCTAGAGAGCGATATTTACTTCGCGAAGACTTACTCACGAAATCCTAGTCGTATGTGGAATTATAACCAGCGTAATTGAGTGGTCTTGGGCACGCCATCAGGTGATCGACACGAAACCGGACATACCACTGGTTGAGTGGGTCTTGTGACTGGCCCCTACCTTTTACCTGGCCTCAGCTCCTAAGTGACATTTAAACACACCCAAGGCCACGCTTGTGTGGCCTGATGCGAACAAACGGTCGCATCCGCTGTCGCCTGTCATGTTTCCCTTCTCGGGTTGTTACGACCTGTTGCGTTCGGCTTTATGGTACCGAGTAAAACGCAAATTCACAATCCCACAGTCTGATTGTGTTTGCGTAACTTGTATCGCCCAGTAAGCGCGAGCACAGCTGTTTTCATTCTTAAATTTGCTCAAAATATAGCTAAATTAGTCGCAACACAAAACTGCACTAGCCAGAGCTAACGCGAGGTGACTGTTCAGCACCTTCTTTTAGTTTGGTTGCACCAAATTAGAAAGATTAAGCTAAATCATGGAAAAAACCGCTAGGTATTTTCTCGTTGTATTACGTGGAATGCATCATTACTGAACTTCGTGCTTTGGAAAGATAAAGTAAAATACACATCTCTGAAATCAGAGCAAGATTGGGTCAGCTCCCCAAAATGGCTAAAATACCAGGGGAGCCAGCTGGACAAACGCATGCGTAGACAAAAAAACGAGGAAATTTGTCATGGGATGCTTCCAAGTGGGCAATCTACTTATAAAGTCAATTTCGGTAGGAATTGAGACCTCCTACAAACGCACGTGCATTATAGATTCTGAAAGCAAATGGAATCTTACATAGTTTGTATTTGAAAACCCGAATTCCCCACATCTCTACACAATGTGGAAACAAAGCCAGCGAGAAGAAAATGACATTGGGGGACGTGCAATTATGTCTGAGTGTCAATAAAGAGTCGGTAACTGTGATTCTTGGTACCTTGATAGCGCGTTTAAACAGATTTTTGGAATTTGTGATTTCCACTCGCCACCTATTGGCTCCAGCTCACCTCCAAGCCTCAGTGTTTAAGTGAGTACCTGATTTAATCGTCGACTACACACCAAAAGTGGCCCGTCACCTCCAATGGGCGAATTTGTGGTTGTGTAGAAAAAAAAAATTAACGTTTCCTAAAAAGCGTGGTGGCGCCGATAGGCTTGCCAAGCCAATGCACATTTTGTAAAAACCACTAATGAAATAGGCAATTTATTTGCTACTGAAATAATTCTACAAAACTCATCACACATCGACTGCTTATGTTCAGAACCCGCGATTCTTTAGACACGATCAACCGCCAAAAAGCTGAATTAATTGATTATTTTCAGCATGCATAACGTAAACTGAGTCCTCTTATTACATTCTGCACTTTTTTTAAATCTACATCTTATAAGTTGTAATGACAAGTAATAATATGTATATAACGAAATACTCTTACAGTAACGAAAGTAGCTGCTGCCGCCAGATTACGTCAAAGTCTGATTCAAGAAGTTAGATCGGTCCACATTTCTCAGACTAACGTCCTTCTGATCATCTTGATTTCTTTTATTGACGTTTTGACAGTTCAGGAATCGAGCATCGAAGAATGTGCACCGGTATCCACCGCATGTACCCGCGAACTACGAAAGTGATTGTGATGCAGATAACATTACCTTTTGGAATAGCTACAGGAAATGTGGATAATTTAATTTCAACTAGGTGATCTCTCTTGTGTCTAAAAGAGACACAACTGTGAATACGCACACTGTGACAGCTACGCGAATCCGCGTCTAAACTCAAGGTAAATTTGTCGTCAAGAGACTGTAGTTAACAAGCTACTTTACCGCTGTGCTAAGCAACCTACCTAAATTATTTAAGGAATAAACAAACAATTTGGCAGCTCAAATTACAGAACTAAGAAGACCCTTGGTGGGAAAGAGGGGAATGAAGTAGTGGCCAAGTTGTTACCCTCCATTCCGTTCCATTAAACTCACGCAAAAGCTGCCCATAATGTAATGCAACAGGAACACACGCTAATTTCTCCAGGTCTCTGGAAAGCAGACCTGGTAAATGTTGACGGATATTTACTCTAATTGCTTTTTTGAACCACAAAACCTCTTAGGTGATAAAAGGGTAATAGATTTTGTTCCTTTGTTCAATCTGGAGGCTCAGACACCATGCCATAGTTTAGACCTTGATTACATCCAAAGCCAACTTGTGCGTTAGTCAGTAGGTAAAACACCTTAAATGGGATATATTGCAAGAGCTATAGAATATTGATTAAATGTACACGTTCCAAACCAATTCCGTGGAGGGATGGTACTACCATCGACGTGATTACTTGAAGACGACTTGCTTTCCGCATAAACCAAAATTTGGCCCCAATCAGTAAACTACCTTAGACAGTTACCTACTTTTATCCACCGTGGTTCCCATTATCTGGTATTATGAAATGTCACGTAAACTGATGGAAATATTAATTCACAAGGCTCGCCAGAATGCTGAAGTGAAAGCACAATTGAATATCGAAATTCCACTGGATGCGTGGTGACAGCCATCATAACCTTAAAAACTGATGTTTGCCCGACGAGAATTAACATAAGAGGCCTGGCTTCTCTTTTTACCGCTGTCGCCATAACGCCCCATTCATCACTGATTCCCCATCTCAATTCATTCTTGCCAGGCCGCAAAAAAAACATCCATCTGATGCTCCTCCATTTGAATGAAGCTGGTGTTTATGGGGCAAGGCACTTCTCTGCGTTACTATCCCAATTCATCGAAGTCGCATTGGCATCCTTTGTGATTAAAATACCGTCCATTGACAAAACTTTTCATTCTTTACACATTAATTTTGCTCTTTAATGTTACTGTCTCGTTTACAAAGCGACTTGGTTGAAGTACACGTCAGATGAATTTAGACCCATTAAGACGGCAAGTGTTAAAATAAGTCACTACCTCTAGTGCACGGTCATAGTACAAGGCCTAGTTCTCATTCAATCTTTTTTAAAAGTCCATTTGTCATGTGACTTTTCAAGCTTCACTAATCCTGCACCGAAAAGTTTTTGACAAACGAGCTATGAGATTTTTCAACCGATGTGCTAATAGTTAACTCATATGGTTTTGTTGTAAACCCCCGGCTCATTATTATGAGGTAATGATGCTTGAAAATACATAAATATATAGCCAGATTAATGCGTTAAACCCATCTGCAATTAATGTAGGTGTTGACGGTGTGAAGCAGGTTATAGTTGAAATGCATGCCAAATAATTCATCTGGTTACATACCACTGATGGTATTACGTGCACCTCCTGTAAACACGATCACCAGCACAGAAGTTTAAGAACGCGATTCGCATATTCCTCCCAAGTTCCTTGGTGAGCCCCAAACACGAGTCCACTACCTTCATTACCCACTCTTCTGCCCAGTGGTTGTGGAAGTGGCTTTAAATCGGTATATAAAAACGAGCCGAAGATCTACGATTTGAGCCATTCAAAGACAAACGACGGTGGCGTTAGTGAAGAGATGCAGTAATTTCGAGTTTAACTAACCAGCGATAAGAAGACTGCAGATGGTGCTGAATCATTTTTGCTGTCGTGTTTCATTTATTTAAAAGTAAAGGGTGGAAAGTCCCACTTTAGGTGAATTACAAATTATTATCTTACTAGTGTCTATTTGTAATTTTATGCAATACACTACCAAACGCAAACGGGCGCATTACACATTAGACACAAGAAAACAAGCTTTCAAATAAAGCGCAAGTTTTGCCCGCCATAAACATTTTGCATAATGTAGTCGGAATAATCCGATAAAGTGTCAAACATTTCGATCTAAGACACGTCTCATAAGATCGCAAAGGCACAAATAACAACGCTAAAAGGCTATAGCACAATGTAGACGATCCGGCATCAATTAGTTATAGAGTTGAAAAATATCCTTAAACTTTCTTTTATAGTGGTTAGTTTTTTTAAATTAATTTGTTATAAAAGTCAGAGCATTTGAAATACATTTAGTCACTAGCCAAGAGTTAAGCACTAATTCACCCGCATCCTGGATCGACGTTTCCTACGTTCAACACAATTGTAAGTTTTCACAGTTCAATTCGCTTGATGCAAGAATATTCATACTTTCTTAAATGAATGTGCATAGATAGTTCACGGTTTTGCACAAAGATTTCTATACTACATTTGCCCAATAGTAACACAGAGCTTGAGTCCGAAATTGTGAATTAAATTTTTAAAGAATCAAATTTTTTAATTAGAGCATTTTCTAGTGCCCAAAAGTTCAACACCTAATTGAGTAATTAAGCAAAGTAATCAAATTGGCAGAGAATAATTCTAGCATTTTGGAAATAAATTGAAGGAATTTTCTATAAAAAGAGTTAGAGTTGGCTTCCGCTTTATTCAAAGATTCCATGTTCAATAAGAAGCATTTGCGTGTTTTAAGGTTCTGAAGAATGAAATGATATTTCAACGATGCCTTTAAAAAGCTTTTCAGAAAGAGTCTGCCTTGGTGACACACTGTGATGTATTACTAACTCCCAACCTTAAAGAGCTTCCAATGCTGTTCGACGTCTCCAAACGAACGAAATACAGATTAATAAACCTATGGAATTGTCATTGAGAGACGTAATTCTTGCACAAATCGGTTGATTGGAAACAACTTAATTAGTTTTCAAACAGAGGTATTGTAGCTATAAACATTATTATTCAAATATGAGAAAAAATACATTAAGTATATCAAAATATATTTTCTAAGAACATGGTGGTCTCTACACGAAACTTCTTTCGTCAAAAGGTCCTCAAAATAGATTATATAGAAACTATTAAATCATTTGATTTTTTTACTAGATAAGTTAAACATTTTAGATGTAACTCAAGAAGATTTCTCTTTTTTTCCTGTGAATTCGTTATTGACAATTTCGATAAATGCATTTCAATGTATAGGAATTTGATGCAACTCTTGTGTGCCAATTCAAGGGCCTTGTACTGAAATTTGATTAAATCGGATAGACACTAGTCTGCTGACATTAAATGCAATCAATGTAAATATTTTACAACACTTTGCGATCCAAATTCTTGGTGAGTGTGTGTAATTTTCTGACTACTATTCTTCAACGAATTGAAACAAGGCGAAAAATCCAGTGAAAACATACATTTTGGTTTCAGCAAAAAGGTCTTGCTTGGTAAACTAATACTTCTGGTTTCATTACTTTAATCCCTGTCACTACAAGCAAAAAGTAACCAGTTTATAGCACATGTTGGGCAATATTCGAAATTCGCGAAAATTTGGTATATAGCATATTGTGGATAATCCAATTTCATCGGAATTTTTGTTCATGTCTTATCCTTTACAAGAGTCAGAATAACAACTTGATATTTATAATTTTTTAAATAAAAAAACATTTGGCAGTAAACTGTTAATAAATTAAGAGATTCAAAAGAGACGTTAGTTTATTTTAATCAAATGTTGAAAAACATAGCACTATATGAAAGTTGAAGGTCGTCTATCCGAATGATGTCTCGTCTGGTCAATGTCGCAAGAAATGCCTCATATGGCCTCAGATATTGTAGGAGTTTGAGCTGAAAGTGTATTTGTTATTTTAGTTTCAGGTCAACCGATAAGTAGAATAAAGGTTCAGAATCCAGTTGTCGAACTCGATGGAGACGAGATGACTCGCATCATTTGGTCGAAGATAAAGGAAGTGGTATGATTGTTGTTATCTACTTATTTGCACAAGCTCATAAAACCATATTTAGACCTAGATTGTGTTTATTTTGACTTGGGTCTGGAAAATCGTGACAAGACGGATGACAAAGTGACAATTGACGCTGCGTATGCTATTCAGAAATACAACGTTGGCATAAAGTGCGCTACCATAACACCTGACGAGGCGCGTGTTAAAGAATTTAATCTGAAAAACATGTGGAAGTCACCAAATGGAACAATTCGTAACATTCTTGGTGGAACAATTTTCCGGGAACCCATAATATGCTCAAACATACCAAAACTTGTTCCTGGATGGAAAAAGGCAATCATTGTTGGTCGTCATGCATTTGGTGATCAGGTAGCCTCTTTTCTATAATAAAAAATTTGATTGGGTATTCTACACTCAAAGTAAAAATACCATTCAGTTTATTTTTTATTGTGGAAATACTTTAATGAACAATGCATGACTACCAAAGACGGAAATGTACACTCAGAATGCAGACTATTTGGAATATGAGTGACTTGCTTCAGATTTCAGTGGAGTTCTAGTGTCAGTGAACTCCTTTTATTCTTTTTAGAGTTTCGTAGAAAGTAGTTCAAATAGCCACTTGACTTATGGTGGAACACAATTTTTAGTTCTACCTCTCAAAAAAGAAAACTAGAGTATATTTGCACGTTCATCAAGCCTTAGAGAAACTATGAAGGCCACAAACTAATTAATGTATTAAGCTTTTGATACTTTTGCGTCACAAGCAAACACTTATTTGGTAATCTAGCTGGTTTCCTACTCGATTTAATTTTCATTTTTTTTGTTCCACATTCAAAATAATTTGTCTGCATCAAATTCTTATCCCACTCGTTGAAGTTAACATGATTTTTACTAGAATTTCAATTTTTAAGCAGATTTTACATAGCTAGATGCACTGAATGCAACACTATTAATATGACTTCGTTGAATTAAAACCAACCAAAAACTCGTTACTTGCTTATTGCCTAAACTTGGCCCTGCACTTTCTTTTGTGAAACCACTGACTTTTCTCCGATGTGAATGTGTAAATTTAAAAGATACCTAAATGCATATAGAGAGCATATCGTATTTCCCATGTCACCGCATTAGTTAGCTTCTCTGAAAAGTAGTAAATATCGATGTTTTTGCTTATGATTTTATTGTTTATGTGCAATTTTCCAGTATAAAGCAACGGACATTGTGATTCCCAAGGAAGGGAAACTTGAACTTAGGTTCACCCCCAGAGACGAAGAACCCGTTGATATTGAAGTATTTAATTTCCAAAATGGTGGTGGTGTTGGAATGGCAATGTATAATACGGATGAGGTATGATGAATTCTCCTTCTTTCACATTTCTTTCATGTTTTCATGCACAAACAATGCTACAACCAGAGGAATCTTTCTAATTAAACAAAGTAGCCTGATTCTGTGTTGGCATGAGAGTGATGAATTTCAACATTGGCGCAAGCCTTTTGTGGAGAATATGACATGAAACACCTGTCAGATTGTGAGAGTACATTGGCATACCCATGTGTGATTCCTCTCAATAAAAATAATTTACTGAACCCACCTCTTTTTTTCAGTTACCTTGAATTTCTATTGCTTTGTGTTTCTGGATGACATTGACTCCCAAAATGTTTGTCCAAGAGCTCAAAAGTTTCAATAATGATACCCCGTTTCCGTGAGGGTTAGAAAAATTGATCAACGCGTTAAGACTGTAGTGATGTGGAGTTGCTCCTTGTAGCATAAAACTTTGTTTCTTGTGTGTTCTCTGGTTGATAGCACTTAATTATCAAGCTTTCCTATTTCATAAGCTTTGTCGCATAATTATTTGATTTAGAAGTATGTGCTCACTTTCTTTATTTCAGAGTATCCGTGGGTTTGCTTATAGTTGCTTTAATTACGCGTTGGCCAAGAAATGGCCACTTTACTTGAGCACGAAAAATACCATCTTGAAGAAGTACGATGGACGTTTCAAGGATATTTTCGCTGAAATTTACGACTCGTAAGTCCGCGGAGTAGCTGCCTTTCCAGTAGACCGGTGTATTAAATACTTATAGTTCACCCTATATTTTAAAGGAAGTATCGTAGTGACTTTGAAGCTGCTGGGATCTGGTATGAACACCGCCTCATCGATGATATGGTCGCTCAAGCCCTCAAATCCTCTGGCGGATTTATTTGGGCCTGCAAAAACTACGACGGAGATGTCCAAAGCGACATTGTCGCTCAGGGTACGTTAGCTGCTCTCTTTAGTGATTAAATTAAGAAGAGTTGTGAAGGGAATGTGGTTTCTATCGGCAGCGACATGCCTGGTTAGGCATCAGGAAACATGGCTGACTTATTTTGACTCCATATTCATCGGTGAAACTGACTTGTACCTAACACCGCATGCGTATTCTGTCCCTATTCAATTTAGCGCCTTGAACTAAAACTCATCGTTACATGTGCTGCTTCCCTGTAGTCGAACTTCACCGCCTTCCATCACACAATTAAGAAGCGAAATTCCACCGAAGTGAACGCTCACTAAGACATAAAGCTGGTTTTCTATGCAAGTACATTCAAGCTCACTCATAACTGACAACATGGGCTTTAACTGTGTGTGCGTCCGTCCCAACTGGTTGATTTATTCTTACTTGGAACCGACTGAATGATTCCCGCATGGCCACGGTCAATTCAGTAGGCTGGGACCGGTATAAGTGTCCGGCTTGTACTTTTTGTGTACACAAAAGTACAGTCAGGTTTTTAGTGTCATTGAACCTACCGCAACCCCACTATCCAACTCCTCTGTTTAACTAGGGATATTTGTTTCGGACAGAGTTTACATCCTCCAATTTATGATTTAACAGTCGTAGACATAAATCGCTCATTATAGTTCACTTACATCTTGCATATTGCCTCTGTGTTTTTTCTGTTAATAAAGTGTCTTAAAGTTGATTGGCTGGCGTCAAGGTCGTTCCATCAACGTAGTCTTATTCCTGTCTCCCCAAATGTTCTGCGATGGTACGTCTTACCTTGCTAGACAGGCCGTATTATCATTAGTCGGAATGCTATCTGGTGATTGGTGCATGCCTTTAATGCCAGAAGTGCTTTCGTCCTTCTAAAATGTTGCGTTACAAAACCTACTTTCTTAGCCCCAGGGCATTAATTGGTTTTTCAAGGTGATGTTGGCGTTCCCCTAAATGTGACTTACTCAGGCGTCGCTCACCCCACAGTCGAGAAACCAGGAAAGCCTTCCCTCCGGTAGCGTAATACGGGATTCTACTTCCAGTTTACTGCAAATTATGCGTATTTGCTATCAAAATTTGCGTATCACCAACTTGTTACTTTCAGCCACTTCGCATCTTACCTAGAAACGAAGTGTATTTCCGAACTTCTGTTAACTGCGTCCCTTCCAATTCGCTCGTACTAACTTGACAAAACTAGTGCATTTGATGTAAAAAAACCAAAGTCTGGAATGCCTCAGTTTCGGTGTAATTCCGCGCGAACGAGTGACGGCAGCGACATTGCATAACTGCAACCGCTGCAATGTTGTTATTGTGCCATTACAATGGGATCGGCGTGTGTTTAGGCGCATCCAGGTATGCTGTGTCGCTCAAATGTCTGTTTAAATTATTACATCGCGTGTGTTTAACGGCCCTACGGATATCTAGCCAAGCAACTCAAAAGGATAACCTATCATTTTTTGCTCATACTCCAATTTCTTGTGGCGGCACCTTTTTCCTTTTAAGCAAGCGGCGTCAACTGACGCAAGTAAATGCCGAAACAACGAGTAAAGGAGGTAGAGTTTGCAGGAATGCGCTTGCGCGTCGACACAAGCCATCACTACTACAATTAGGTGGTCTCACAATTAAGTTTTTTTTGTGGAACTGTATTCACAATTTTATCGATGTTGTTGTGGTTCGGTCTACTGTCGTGAACCATCAGCTTCAGCGGCTCGCTGTTACTTTTTTCGCGCACTTCTCTACCCAACCCACAACCGGTCTGTTTTCCACCCTCATGGTAATACCTCTCTTCTCATTTATCCAAAGTTAAACTGAAATTGTGAAGGTATTTCTTCCCAATCTATAGAAAAAAAGGAGTCGTAATCAGAGCGTGTAGTGTGGCGTTTGTGCGTCATGCCAGCCTGGCAAGTGAAATGTCGTGTTCCAACACCAAATCGCAAATTCACAGTGCTACAAATATTAACAAAGTTGGATTTTTTGCTTCTTGTGTGCTTTTCCTTGAACTCCCATCGACCAGTCAAGGTAGTTTTCGTTTGTCACTGTTGTAACTGATATTGTTTTTGTTCTATTTCTGCAAGTTGTTGCCTTTTGCAATAAAGTGGGTGATGAAAAGTCACTTAACATTGCTGCCACATGCACCTGCTGAGCTCGAAGTGTTAATCCTGACAAAAGTAAAATGCACTAACTTGTGTGTACTTTAATCTCGCGCCGAAAACCATCAACCTTTCCGTTTCCCCAAAGTAAACAAGTCATAGCTGAAGCTGCAGCAGTTTGACCTTACTTGATTTTGCTTAATAACTCCGGCGTACACCCGTCGTCTTCGCTGTGTGCACAAAACTTTGTGCAGACTCAGCCTGTTGAAGTGGCCTGACCCGGAAGCCGTGCTGATTTGTGTGTGGGCGTTTGTTATCAAACCCGGGCTTAGGACAGCCTCTCTCTCCGCGCAGGTTACGGGTCGCTGGGTCTAATGACCTCAGTGCTGCTGTGCCCCGATGGAAAGACCATGGAGGCGGAAGCCGCGCACGGCACGGTGACGCGCCACTACCGGGAGCACCAGAAAGGCCGTCCCACGAGCACCAATCCCGTGGCGAGCATTTTCGCCTGGACTCGGGGTCTCGCACACAGGGCCAAGCTTGATGGAAACACCCAGCTCGCTGGGTAAGTTACTTGCGTCTCCAATCGTCTGTGCTGATTACGTGTGGTGGTAATTGAGGGTTTCCAGTCGTTACCCCCTTGTTTTGAATCCGAGGGCACAGCCAATTCGGTCCCCATACGATACCCACTGGATTTTGAAGCTACTTCACTAGAGTACAAATCCGACACAAGACAGCACTCTAGATCAGAGGAAACATTTTGCTAGTGAGGTTCATTAGCTTCTAGACAGAACTGCGATGCCGCGTAAAGCCAGCCTCTTGATGTGGACACCACGAAGTGACCGACACAGGTTGGGCTTGTGCTAGCCTCTTTTTCTGCGCGTCAGTTGTTCTTTTTTCAGACAGGAGGCGAACATCATTACCTTAAATCCTTCTAGTTTATTTAGCCGGTAGTTTTTCCATGTCAATGGCATCATTGATGTCTTTTAAAAAAAAATAAATCCTCGCCGCAAGTGGTTTTTTGGCTGTAAAGCGCCGTCTGCCGCCTTAACGCACAGTTCACTGTTTGGAATGGTTGAAAGATTCGATCTGATACACCTATAAGGTCAACTCAATTCCCCAAAACCTTTACTCTTGGTTTGACGGTCAGATGTTTCAGCGTAGCGTTTTCTGTTAGTATTCAAGATCGGCAATCTTCACCAACGTAAAGTAACGTTGCGTAAATACAGGCAAAACGGAATTTTATAGAAATCTGTTAATGAAGTAAGGTCTGCTCGTCTCAGCCTCCTATTTAACCACTGCCACCACGTGCTTAGCGTGGCTGATTGTTTTATTTTTTGGCAAGCGAGCTTACCTTTTAACCCACCGGCTCACTCTCCGTCAGCTTCCGCCCCAAGGATAAGAACAACGTAAACATTCACCACCGGAATTGCAGAATCGTATTTTTTTGCGTTTGTTTATGAACGACACTGGTGCGTGGTACCTCACTTCCCTTTGCTTAGCTGTGCTTCAGCCTACTGTGTTTTCGTGCACTTTTTTTGACGCAACTGCCTTTACTGCCTCGATGAAAACAAGCTTGACACACAGCGCTGATGGCGTTTGAGCAAATCTCCTACCTGCACATAGGCTCGTTTTGGAGTTGTGTGTGTACATTTGTGGTACCAAAATATTTGACCGTTAAAACAGGAACAAAGCTTTTGGGAATTTGAGGTGACCAATAAGAGGTGACCCCAATTGTATGTCATTTAATTTAATTAAGATCCTAGTGCAGAACCTCTCGTACGGTGACTGAAGGTAGCCTGAAACTACTAGCACAGTTGACCTCGGACATTTGAGCACGTTTAACACCCACACAGATTCATTCATGGCGATGAACTTCTAGTTTAATTTACCGGCTGCAATTTGCATTTTGAGACTTCCGCCAGGCCTTGATTTGACTTCTAACTGATGACCTCATTTACAAAATTGTCACTTGAAATATTCTAAATTGTTGTCAAGATTTATAAAGCCGAGCATTAGTTATGCACATGAAATTGAGGGGAGCCTCGTGCCTCAATTCCACCGTAACGCGTCCTAACTGATTGAACAACTGCCATCTATTCCAATTGGCATTAAGAAAAAGCAACCTTTTGAGTTCGTCAAGCGTTGTAATGCCTCTAAAAGTTGCAATTAAACGTTACTCTTACACAACTTATTACGCCACACCAATGTTTGGTGGCAGGCCCTAAACTTACATTACATTAATCTAATAATTCAGATGTGAGTAAACTGCCTCTGAGTTTACTTTCCAGTGCCTGATATCTAACCCCGTAATTCAATTCTGCGCCCAATTAAAGTGAAACAATTTGCCACTACGGATTACTCTTCTGCATTTACATATGCTAATTCTAAGCATGACGAAATTTGACAAGCCTTGCTACGTTTCAATATCTGACTCCCGAGTTCTAACCATCGTAGGCTGGTGCTACAGACGTAATGTCCTGCTTTGAATATACTCCTAAAAACCAACCAATGAATTTTAGTAGGATGAGCTTTCTCGCCGTGAAGTTGCCAGTGTTTGCCATTTCCTTTTCAGATTTTGTGACCACCTCGAGAGGGCCTGTGTGGAGACCATTGAGTCCGGCAAGATGACCAAGGATCTGGCCATCTGCATTCATGGGACGGCCTCGCCGGACCAGTACCTAAACACTACGGAATTCATCGAAGCTATCGCCAAACAACTACAGCATCTATCTCAGTGAATTCAGCTGCACAACCCATGACTATTCACAACTTCTTACGGTCTGCTTTTCCGTCATCATAACTCACCGACTAAACGTGCGTCCCACACTTTTACGAATAGAAAGCAATACATCTTTGAAATAGCTGACGACTGTAGTTCTAGCAGAGGCGTTTGTGTGCACAAACTTTACCCTGCAACGGTGCTCATCAACCCCAAGAATAAAAGCGCCACTTCTTTGAGATGTAGGTAAGATAACCACAAAGTACGTTCGTGAACCTCGGCAGAGGATATGAAGTTAGGTTAAACTCTTATAAGGCGCACACAGTCACGATTTTGTGGTTGTAACATAGACAAAACAGTTTACAATAAAATAAGGTAAAAAATAAGGTGAAGGAGGCAAGTCATTCATGGGGATTAAGTCAACCCGGACTTCCAGCGGTCCGAATGCGGTTCAGAATGACCGCAGCCATTTCCTCGCGGCATTCTGCGCTATCGGGTTGGTCAAGCAGATCCCAGGCGTCGCGACTGCGTGGGCACGACCCGCGGCAAATGGGGCATTGTTGGCGATTTTTCGGTTCTGGCGGTGGTATAGTGAGGCTTGTCGAGGCGTGTGGTTCAGCGTTTCGCTTTGAAGGCAGTCTGAAGTCAGCTTTTAACCTACAACAATGAAGACACTGAATGATTCGTCGGCTGATGGAGTGAACATACACACATCACATAAACTGCGGACACCCATCTACATGCACGACAGATGACCAATGTCATGAAGATAACTCTTTGATTTTCGTAACATCTGCTTATGAACAATCAATTTGGTATGAGCGTTGGCTCTCAATTTATCGATACTTTTAAACATTTAGGCAAATATAAAGTCACATTAATGGAAATGCGCAAAGCACCGACAAGAACGAACATCACCAACGAAGTTCATGCATTATAAGGATTCAAAAAAAGCATAGTTTAAACAAACTGGAGAAAAAAGCTAAGGCGCTCACCACTCATCTACACATTTTCGACAAAAATTGTGTCCGCAGGGTAGGATCGAAGATGGGCATCCAACAAAGCAGAGAGTGCAGGTCTCGTCATGAGTTTTCCTAAATGCCAAATAATACCTAACACAACATACAGTTGTGTGGGAGTTCTACTTGGAAGCTGATTTAAGTGCTCCAGTTCCCAGAACAAGGCATCGAACTCTTTGAGGTTCAATACTCTATGAGCTAACACGACGCCATCAGTGGATTGAGTCTACAAAGTATTTTAGAGCATAATTCCTGCTTACGATGGTGCAGCGTATTCTGAGGGACAATCTCCAAAAAGGATGAGCAAAGTGGTGCGGAGAGACCTCAAATTGAACGTCTAGGCCTACCTTATCATAAGCTTTTTTGGTACTAGGAAACTGATTTAAAATTGTTACAACCCACATCTCGTTTGCTTGCACCAACATAGCATTAAAGTCTTTGGGTGTTAGCGAATTCACACTGTTTTCAAAAAATGCCAACTTCTTCACAGAGTCTGCGGCATGGTGGACAATCTCAGAAGCGGTGAGGCTCACGTTATAGAAAAAATCTGCAAACATCTGAATTCCAATAAAAAAATTTACCATCCAGTGACGGGGTATTCATGTGTGCTCCACCTTAGGAAAGAAAAAAAACTTACAGTCATGGTTTTACGAAGCGATTTTATCAAGCAACGTAAAGCTCAATTGGTAACATCCCCTTGCTCTTCCGACATATTGAATGATATTACGAAAACATCTCGAAATTAGCGTGTTGATTTAATTTAAGCGAGCGTAATAACGCCGTAGTAAATAGTACGAAAAAATTCTGCTGAACTAAATGTTTACAACAATGATAGGCCACAAGCAGCAATGTTACGAGACACTGGACGCGTCTTCACAAATGATATCTTATTCTTATTTACTTGAGACAAAAAGGAAATTGATTGAAAACAGCTCAGTTGGAGACTACAGTCCAGCGTTAGGTATGGATATGAGCATGGACAGCAAATGATTATTTCGACGACCACTGGAAGGAAATTCGAGTCTGAGTAGCTATATAGGAGGGCTTGAAGGGATACACCAACAATAGTCATTGGGTAATACTGTAAGAAATAACCAGAAGACGGTCAATAAAAATCGATCGAAGCCGACATTCGCCACAGAAAGAAATCTCCGTTATTTGGAGATACGTACGTAAGAAACAGCTCATGCATTTCAAAAACGCTGGTTTATAATATCGACAGATTTATTTCACAAAATAGTATTGTGTTGGAAGAAGTCGCACACACTGCGGTATGCCACAATTTGCCATTTGTAATGTTCGAAATTATAATGTCACAACTGAACGAATAAAGTAGATCCAATAGATAGTAGGGATCATTAAAATTGGAACGAATGTTTTGGATCAATCAGATCTTACGAGCGATTGGGCAACTTTTTCCTGAGAGCTACGCCAGCATTCAAAAATTTTTTATCAATTTTAAATAGAACGTAAACAATTAACAGCTACCGCTTGACCAGTCATGAAAAACAAAGAATTCTACTTCCAAGGTAATTAGTTACATAATGTACAAAAACAGTATCAACGAACATTGCACAACACTGCAGAAAACTGCAATAAAAAAGTAGTCCTCACCAAAATAAACATAATACCGCCTTAGGATTCTGAATGTTGCGGTTAATAATATAAAATAACAAAAACACATTTTGCTAACTTTTGCCATTTATGTACAGTAACACATATTTATAATTCCGTAACATGCTTTAAATTTTCAACTATTTTTAGCACTCTGTAAAAAATGGGACCTGTTTTATTATCTCGACGTAAATGATGTAATCTAACCAATTTCCTGCAAAAGGTCTCGCGTGTAATTTTAAGCCCGAATTTCTCGTCCCGGAAATCGACCTAAAATACGCACAATCGCATATTAAGGGCTTTAAACGATTAACCTTCTTAGCACATTCGATGCTTTTAACAAAATTTGCGTCACATTCGCGACAAACTACTTATGCATCTCTTATTTGGTCATCAAAACCCCTATTCAAAATCTGTGACTCGTGTAATCAAAAAATATAATATGGATTTATCCCACAATTTTAGTCACAAAATTAATTGCTTTATTAACGTTTGATGGAGCAGGTGCGGAAAACTGTTTTTAAGTCCACCAATTATCCATAAACCTGATTTTCCATAAAAATGAATTGTTTTTAGTTGAATAATGGCCACGTTAGTATGTGTTAACGGTGCAAACTAAAAATAATGGATGTTTGTTCCAGAAATATACGACCTGATATCTCAAGTCAAGTTTTTATTTAAATTACAACGTATACCCTGACTTTATTTCTGAGGCTTTTGTATTTAATTTTGAGAAAATTTCGATAGTGCCAGTTTTTGACAGCATTAAACTGAATACTTGTATTCTTGTATTATGTACAGTCACTTCAATATATAAAAAACCTAGCCACTAATGATGACACAACTGACACTGAAATCATGTTATCCAATGATGCCCAGGGAACGATAACAAGTCAACACAATCAGTAGACATGTGTCACTAACCACGCAAATAGAACTCCTGTAAACAAGCTAGCAAAGCCCTAGTGTACTCACATCAATGGAGGGAAGGAATGAGTCACAAATAATCATCCACGACGTATACTTACATGTGCAAGGTACAATGCTACCCATACTTATCTAAGACGAATATTCAAAAATAAGAAGACAGAATTACGTGCTAAGAAAAACCCAACTTATATTAAAAATCACGCTAACATAGCAAACAGAATAGCACTGGAGTCCATACACCAGGACAAAAGTAGCAAGAAGACTGATTTTATTGTAACTACTTTTATACAAAGACCATTGATTGTTTTAAAAGAGTTTATTTATAGCTTCTTGGTCCTTTTCTGACAGATTTTTCAAAGCTCGAGCACGGACAGATCTACGGGGGAAAAATAAAATTATACAAATAATTATACTCTTTAAAAAGGGGCATGTAATAAAACATTGTGGTCAAGTGATCATCCTGAAGATTTAAGATCCCAAAACTATGTGCTTTCAAGAATTTTAGAATGTCCCACTTATACTCATCACACCACTTGTGCCTTTATATCGGTCGTTCCACCCCTACTGACCAATTCATCTTTAAGTGCACAATTACACTTAATTGAATTCAAGGCCGCTGATGCATCTAAACATGTTTTGGTCTTGGGTTGAGATCGTATAGGGCTCTCGTACGTCGTACTTAGGGAGAGTGGGGAAAAGAGTTGATTATTTCAAGAAATGTTGTATAGAAAATGATGCTAGGTGGCACTCACTCCGCATCGGAGGTTCTACCCGCAGACAGAAGAAGCTTCAAGTAGCTGACGTAAATCGACTTCCTTCGTGGAGATGCAGCAAGCTGTTCTTCAACAAGGTTAATCGCTCGATCCACATCGCCAAATTCAAACTCTAGGCGTGCAGACCTGCAGATAAGTGAAATTGGCATGAATATGTGTCAAGACATTTTGCCATTTTTAATTGCAAGAATGACGATTTTTGTGTGGTCCAGAGCGTTAATGGGTTAATGTTTCCAACAAGTCACATAACAATGGCAGTTCAAGTACGTTTCTCCACTATAAGATTCTCAAAATCATCTGAAAAAGGATATTGTGAGTCCATTTTTTATGGAATATATAATTGCCAACATTATGTTATCTTTCAAAATAAGCCAAAGTAAAAAACTGTTGTGAGCTTCGTGTTTAAAACGAATAAATCATGCAGAAAAAATCATTATTCTTTCAGAAAAGAAAAGGTACTACCGAAAAGCAGGTGATCAGCCGAGTTTACAAATTAGGTGAGGATTTCTGGATGAATAAGACACTAAACTCGATTCTGGCCTACCCCAAGGCGAAGTGTGGAATTTGCGCAAGACGGAGGATGCGACCGGCATTCCGTTGGGCCTCTCGGGCAGCCACGACATTGCCGGCGCGAAGGCGAGCTCGAACAAGCACCAGCCAGGCATCGGGATTCAACGAGTGACGCTTCACCAATTTCTTGGCGAGTCCTTCTGCTTGCTGGAAAAAGAGGTGGATGTGAACCGAAATTGCTGACTTGTTGGTTCGAGTGAGAACGCAAGATGCCCGAAAAATTTGCATGGAGCGGTGTAGGAAAACTAGCACATTGAGTCATTAAGGGCGATGTGTCATCAACACAATCGGCAAAAAACCATGCATAAAAATAACTTTTCGACCAAAAAATCGAAAGGGCTCACAGAGTGTAGGCCTGCAGTAGAGAGGGTATCGACAGCTTTTTTTGTGAAAGTCTCCTTGTCCAGCTGATCGATACGCGAGATGACGGCTTCGAGTTCGGCAAGTTTGTCTTTGCCACCCTCGCAACCGCCATCGTCCACGGCGATCTCGAGGTTGAGTGCGGCCTGCAGCAGACTGCCGGTGAAGTTGGCAGCCTCGGCGGGACCCGCGGTGGAGAGGACGGCGCGTTCGCCGGTTTCCATGGCGCGCTGCAACACCGATCGCGCCTTGGCGACGTTCCCAGCCGACAAGTGGTGCGCCGCGTAGAGCGTCCAGAGTCGGGCGTTGCCTGGCGAGTTCCTCACCGCCACCTCAAACTCCTCCACTGACGAGAGACGGGGAAGTTTTTGGGTGCTGTCGCCATCCGTGGTGGCTTGGGCTATTGCAGCCAGCCGCGACTCGCTCTCCATACTCGTCAACAGGGAGGTGACGCCTTCAAGGCACCAACAAAGAGGCATCAAGTCAGACCCTTTTACTTCAAACATGAAAACGGACTAAGACGACCAAAAATGGAGTGACATCCCCATTAATCAATTAAAATAGTGTGAGGGAAATGCCTTCCACTACTATAACAAGGGCAAAGAATGTAAGAACGATAGAAGTCAGCAATTAATCTTAACCAAGGTTTAATGCATTCAGATAAGAGTAACCGGATTAAATTCCACCCTCGATAGGCTTCAATGTTTAAAAAAAACAGAGGACCGTTTGAAGAATGAACAAAGGAGAGTAGTTAAAACAACTGCAACACAGTCGGCCACACTGATTATGGGTAAAACTGTGAGGGAACATAAAATGGTAACGCGGCGGAGGCTCAGATAGTTTACCCAGAGACACCAAGGGCGGGATGCATAGAAAACAAAACAAAGGGCACAGCGCACGTCGTGCACCAGTCAGTTAAAAAAATAAGAACGAGATCAAGGCGTGTTGTTAAAATGAACCTACAAATCACCAACACACATTACTAACGAAAACACAAGGCAGATTTTAAAGATCCTTATTACCAAGGTTAATTAAAGACGCTGAATTAGAAATTAATAAATTTCAGGTAGATTCCACAAATTGGCTTTAAACGATATCAAGTGGACGACTAACGGAGGCTCACGATTTTAAATAACGCGTGTAAAGTAAACACATGGGGTGAAATAGAAGGTGTGAACTTCATATTTGACACCGTTGGGCTTCTGAAAAAACTAAAGCAGGACGCGGGAGCAAATGCCAGGGCCGAAAAACTGGGAAATATGTAGGTGAAACTGGGGCTAACCCTGGTCGATGGCGCGCTCACGAACACCTGACGTCGACTCTTCGCCGGGGGCACCGGATACAGTGCACTCATCCTGATCATCATCATCATCGGATAGAGACGGTGACGGCGACTGAGGTGGGAGGTATTTTTCGAACCGACTCATGACACTGGCTGCCTCGTCCTCCGCCAGACCGCAACTGACGGAGCCTCTTCTTCGCCGCTTGGCGGGCAGCCTCAGTGCCGCCTCGGTCTGGCTCATTGACGCAGTGCGTCTGCGACTCGAGGCTGAGGCGGCGATGGCGGCAGCTGTTGGCTTAACCGCGTCTTCAGGCTCACTCACCAGGCGACCTCTGAGCGGCTCCAAGCTAAAATATAAGAAGCCAAATACCACTTAAAACGGGAAAAGTAGACTGACGTGGGCCTATTCCACGGAGATTGGAGTTAATAAACTACTGGTGGGCCACTCTTAACGGTGCAAAAACAGGAAAATTATCAAAATAGGAGAAGTTATTGTGCCACAAAGGAGAAAAGGGCCAAAATGACTAAAAAACAACCTATGTATAAAGGTTTCAGTCTGAACGGGGAATAAAGGTGCTACGAGAGCACAAACGGCTGAGGTGACAATAGAACACTCACGACGTTATAATTATCTCGACTGTCGACCCAGTCCGAAAGCGTCGCTTGAAGGAGGAAGAAGATTTGGGAACATCGACGTCGACGTTGTAAGCGATGCTGAGGGAGAAACGGAAGAATTTTTAGGAGAGAGCAAAGACGCAAGTTGGCCAACTAGATCGAAGATGGCAACAGCCGGAGAAGGGTTTGTTGGGGCTTGTGGTGAAATTGAAATGACAAATTGTGCAGCGGAACTGCAATACCGCATGGAGCATGGCGTTTTGGGGAGGCGGACTTTCTGGAACCACAACCCTTTAACCAATTGATTCAAAAAAACCCGAGTTTGCCAACCCAATTCACATTTCATAGCGACAGCAGAAAGAGCATCCAGAAGCTCGAGGCTTTGATTTCCAACGACCCACAAGCACCTAACACACCGTGAATTCGCTCACTTTCAGCAGTTAGTTGACTCGCATTAAAAAAAAAACTGCAAAGAGAGTTGGCGTGACGAAAAAATCGAACCGCGTGATGTGTCCTACACACACGCAAATGACCCGCTAGTCGGAAGAAAACAAGTAATTGAAAAACAGCACCACCTGACAACGAGAAGGTCCTTTGAGCATCTTTTAACAAAACCAGTTCGTGTTGCATTGAGCTCCAGTTCGATGGGTTTGTACTTTTCCGGATTCCACTGACGCCTAGGGGTTAGAGGGGAAGTCAATTTGAGAAGAGGCGTGGTCTGCATACAATTCAAGGCAACAATAAACGCCCAACTTGGTGCCAAAACAAGGCAATAAATCGAAAAAAGGCCTTGTTATCATGAAGTGGTGTGCCACCTGGGAGAATGCTTAACGTCTCTACAAGTGGTCGAGCCAAAGGCCAAATTACGCATTGCTTGAGGGGGGATACCTCAGCCTCGCCTCATTTTAAGAGCGAAAGATGGACAAGTCGCAAGCATAAATCCCGATGACTAATCCTCCATTAATGCTAATTCAAAGTTTTACAAAAGTAGATTTACTAACACTGGACACTTCAACAAAACGTATGCTAATGGTTTTCGGAGTAGATACTACGAAAGCACTTGACTAAATAAAACCTCAAACTCACATATCAGCACCGTCAGTAGATACATAAAAGGCTTTTGAAAATGGTGCAGGAGACATGTCTTCGTGATCACCGACGGGAATAATTTCATCTCCCGCTGCAATCAGAGGTTCCACGGCCTCATCTGCACTAACGTCCACTTCCATTTCTTGGTCGTCTGAGGGTTGCTCGACAGCTGGCGGCGCGCTGTGAACCTCGTCAACAAGACGGCACGTGAGCCAGGTGCCGTGCTTCGGGTGGCGGGGGAATTGAGGCGAACCGGCAGCATCGGTTGTGGAGGACTTGGACATGCACGACACGTGGAGAAGACCTCTGGCATTGGTCGGCAACAGCAGCTTCCAACAGAGACCAGAAGAACCGAGGAATTGGCCGCACACCAGATCCCCGACCTCTAGCTCCTTCTTCCCTGGGCACACAAAGACAATGGCTGATAATCAACACGAAAACAACAAGAAATCCTAGACCCACATAGGCCAATAAATCTGTCTTTAAAACTCGCACTACGGGGGCAAAATCGACGACTCAAGCAAGGCAAAATAGACGCCTGTGAAGGAACCCTACCAAGGAAGGAGATCTCACAGCAACGACGGGAGAGCGGAAGCCTTGGGCCTTTGCGCTTTGACGCAGGGGTGGATTCGCCGATGACAAGAGCGTCCTCGAACACCGTGCCGAGTTCTGGAGGCGACTTGACGAACTTCCTCGCCTCCTTGGCTGTGCGGACAAGATCCACGAGGCGACAGAAGACACGGAGGTTGGGGTCCCTAGAATTGCGGGTTTCGGGCAGCCGGAAAAAGGCGGTGCGGCCCTTCAGACCGATGAAAATAACTTGTGGCAGCCGAGTGCCAATTGTGAGCTGCTGGCATTCCACCTCCGGTGTCATGGGTGCCCCGACGCTTTGCTTCGAGTTTGTCAAGGGATCGTAGATTGAGAGAGTGCACAGGAAGGAGGTGATGGTCTTATTTGTTGACAATTCACTAAAAACATGACGAATTGATCATGTTACGCGATTAGCCAAATCTCAGGATTTCTGAAAGGAAGTCGATTTCACACAAATTTTAAAGTGGAAAACTGAAAATCCTTAAGTTAACTGATGAGTAAATTTCGAGTTGGGAGCCGAAATATCGCCAAATGGGTACCTCTCCGTACACAAACGCGAATCAAGTCTGCAGTAATGGCCAATCAGGATATCGAATTTACCGATGAAACGAGGACCAAGCGGGGAAGCCAAAACTCGGACATCCATCTAGTGAACATTTAGTTTGCCGACTTTGTGGTGTCAAAACAGACCACAAATTGAGCATAACCACTACAAAGACGCAAAGTATGATTTCAATGAGTACCAAAAGTACTCATGGGTTCCGACATGGCGGCTTTAAGAGCTCAGTGCGTGCGAAACAACGCGAGCCACGTGTTCGTGGGCCGTCAAGACAAGACTCCCGTCCATTAAAATGAGGCGCAAAAAGCTAATGACCAATTGCCGACAGACGGGGATTCCCCACTCCTCGTAACACAGGAAACCCGCGATAACCAGCACAATGGACCAGATATCCGATAGGATATGAAGTGACGGTCAGCAAAAGTAAACTAGCCGTCATTTATTGGAGGCAGTTTATATGCACAGTTCTAAACTAACAATCGACGGGACTAATTCTCTTAAACAAAGTTAGGAATGGAAGGCGAGAATAATCACTTGTCGGTGGTTCACACATTGTCTAGAATAGGGAGCCAATATTGGGTTAATAAGCACTGGAGTAAATACCCAACTATTGGCATGCTTCCAATCCAACGGACCTGCTCCTGCCGGCACATTTACCACGATTGCCGTCATACGTTTAAATTTTGCAAATGCCCGGATTCCCAACCAAGGCATTGCGCTGCAGAACAGGCAACACGTTTAGAAATCCACTAATTAGAGCTATCTGAATGCGGAGTTATTTAAATGTATAACTTAAACATGGCGCTTACCGACGAACAGTAACCCGGTTGACTTGGGAAAGGGCCCACGCATTGCCGCCGAGGACGTCGTTGAAACTTCGGCGAGCAGGTAAGACCGCCAGATGGCCGAGTGCGTGCTGCTTCAGGGCCACAACGACCACGTCGCGCGCATTCCCGATTGAGACCACAGTGGAGGAGACTGTTTGGCCAACGCGAACCTAAAATGTTCAAGCATTAAGATGTTAGGCTTTTGTTACCCCAATTTCGATCGAACTTCGCAACACACAAAAGAGTCGTTCGCCCAATCAGAACCATGTTTGACAGCACATTGAATGTAGAGGCAAAATACTTGCTGTTACCACAAAGTCATTTTCCGAACCTCCCATGACGATCAATTGTGGTTTACTTGACCCAAGGTTCAATATTCTAAACGAAACCACAAATCTCTGGCAACAGATGTGGCTTTTGACGTAAAATGAATCTATGGGGAAATATTACTACGTATGGCAGGTGGCAGAGCAATAATTCTATTTTCTTGAATTCAATAAACCGATTTTTTGAACTCTCAATGAAAAAACTTAACGAGTGGTAAATTTGACCAACTCAACACAATAAAATGACCAGCAAGTGAAAATACAACAGATGAGCAACCATACAACAGCTTGGAAGTACATACTAAAAAAACTTACCTTGTTCGTTTGTTGGATTATCTCTTTTTGGACCATAAAATCTGATTTTACTTGACGAACGAACGAGACAATGCATTTATGCATAAATCTAAATACGGAGAGATTAATTATACGTAGACGAATTCCAAATAATTACGAAATTACAATCGATAGAGGTCTTGCTTTTTCCCCGAAACCCCAAACGGTTCGGATTTCGGAGTGATTGAAAATGTGTTTAGATTTCCACTGTCACAGAGACACCTAATTTGTCGCCAATGATTTGTCCTTCAAGACTTGGAAAAGAAAACGTCGGCGACACACAACTGACAGTAGACTACTGAAATACCAGGAAACTCTACCGACCATTCATCCCGATCAATCAATCAATCTCCTTGGAATTTATACCCCATGGTGCGGATTAAAATGTTAACCGTTTTTAACCACATAATACAATGCATCTGTCTTTGGCATAAGTCCACGTTCGGTCTATTACATATTATGTGGATATGGGTGGTGGGGATCGTGTTGTGGTATTTTGCTCCTAAGTAGAACTGTTTGTGGTGGGTAGCACGCGAACGAACATGATTCAATGGATTTACGTGAATGAACTTCACCTAACTGTGTTCGTTCAGGGATTGACGTTTAGCAAGGCTATATAAACGTACTTGTTATCTTGTACACACACCCCGCTGCTGCATCAATAAATTAGTTGAGCTACGCGCCATCAGCATTTTCTGCTCTTTCCGTCGGGCCGTGTCAATGGAGATTGTCGGCCCTGGCGTGGTTCCCCAAAACCGCACCGGGGCCCACTACATGTTCTATCCTTAACTTCTTTTCCAAATCCAATAAAAACCATGAATGATAAATATCGTCAACGCAACCAGAAACAAAAGGCGACCTGGAGGAAAAACATCGACTATCTGTTGAGACCAATTAGAAGTAATTTAAACTAAATAACCAAAGTATATCATTCACGGAAAACAAGACATGGCCACATTAAGTAACAGGGCAGATCGATGACAATACACACGCACACGGGAAGAACACGAAAGGAAATTGGCGACCGCACTGGTTAGCTTCATTCCGCCGGCAATAATTTCCAAATTCAGCAAAATCTAAATACGTGTTACACTTCGTGAGTAAAATCACAAAGGAAGGCTTTAGCACTTAAATTTGACAAGGAACTCTTGGATACATCCGGGGTTTATTCACGAAATGTTTAGGGGGCCCACGAATCATTTTCTTTATTAAAAGACGGCAAATTGAGGGGAAAATGTTGTCATGTCTAAGAGTAAATGATAACTTAAAGTTGCATTTGAATAACTGTCATGCACAGGAGCATGTAATTACAAATGTTTAACCCTGATGGAGAAAAAAGACGAACCTTCATGGCGTTCGACGCAAACTCCCCCTCGGTGCGCTGCTTTATTCCACGCAGGAGCCAAGGGAGCAAGGAGACCTCAAGGAGACTCGCGTCGAGGTTGACCAAAGTGACGACGGCGGGGTACGTTCTGCCGACGGCACACTCAACCTCGGCGGTGTTGGGCAGAAGGACGGCAGCCGGCACGCCGTTCACTGTGCCCGTCACCAACTCCTCAGTCAGTCCATCCACCTTCATTTGCACGAGGTCACCGATGAAAAATGACGAAAGCTGGTTCAAATGGCTCACTGAAGGCAATTTGAGAAGGTGTAAGATAGTTAGAAACCATTACTCGCAGTGGAAAGAGCCTATGCTGTTCCCGACAAATAAACAAGTACACATTAGCAAAAAACCGTGAAAATTGACAACTTCATTGAGATGACGATGATGACACACCCACAAGGTTTAGCTAGTAAACAGGCTCGTACCAACACGAACATTTTCCGTCGTAGTATCACCGTTCTTACATTTTCACATTGACCCTCGTTAGCACCTTTGTAGACCCCATTTTAACCGGACCGAACAGTCCACTAAACATTCGGACGTCGTCTTTCCTCTAGGGTACCTTCGGGGATTCGAGTCCCACATCGGAGCTTCCATAATTTGCAAAAAAACCAAAGAAATTGAAACATTTAACACACCTTCAGTTCAATTTACGATTACCATCGACGTAAGTAATGAAAATGATGTACAAAGAAAAAGCAGAATCGCACGTACCACGAGAGCAGAGCCACCGACATTCATCTAAGTATTCGTGGGCCCGTGCGACAGCTGATTTGACATACTGTGCAGCGGCGCAAGTGTAGGTGTCGGTCATGCGGAGACTGATGAGAAAACGCTGCCTCTCTGGTTCTTTAACTTCGACTACTTTGGCCTCAACAGTAGCCCCTGGTGGAAACAAGGCACTCCAATCAGTGCTGTCAGGAGCTCTTCTATCGGTCAAGTAGCGGATGGGAGCAAGGCCTCGGAACCCTCCAGGAAATTGGACGAAGATCCCGTAGTCCTTATGGTGTGCAACCCAACCGAGCCACTGGCTCCCCACCTGGAAAAAAATGCACAAAACTTTCGCTCCATCCTTCTATATGTTGACAGAGGTACAATGCAGCGAACCCACGTCAAAGTAGTTGGAAAATGTAACACCAGCATCGTGTGAGCAGCCCTGAGGGAAACGCATGCAGGATGATCAACTTCTACTATTGACACACCAGATCTTAGAGTAGACTAAGCGCCTTGATGAAAGTTAAAGTGCAAAATAATAGTTAGGGCGATGTATACAACTACAGTTTAAGGCTTCGCAGCGGTTCATAATTAACCAATCAGGTATCACGTTTGCCCGAGATAGGCAATCGTGAGTACTTTAAAAAGCTCGACACATAAATCAATAATAAACTGTTGTGCGACGAGTCTTTTAGGAGGTAAGAACGCCTTTCGCGTTAAAGTTAACTTACAGTGAGTTGATCAAAGTTTTGGAGGAAGCCACAGCTTGTTGCCTGACGCTCTTCAGCGGCTGAGACGAGAGATGATTTCGCTGACACGATGATTCCTGAGGCATTAATGTCAACAACCACAACTCGGGTCGGAGTGCCATTTATATTGGTGGAAAACGTCGTTTTCGGCAGGAAACACTCCGCCCGTGCCTGGCGAGCAATCCTTGCAGTGCCCAAACTATCTGAGAGTTGACTAAAGGGCAGGAAACCCTCGGCAATAATATTTCCTTTATCAGTCTTATAAAGTCCCACTTTAAGGCCATCAGCGCTGAACCGATTAACCAGGCAATAGTAGACGTCGCCCAAGGAAACGGATGTGGGTTTGGTGGGAGCCTCCCTTGGGGTTGTTTGGGGGTCAAGCTAAACGGAGAAAAAGCATTAGGACAAAAGAAAACAATGTTCGCCGTAGAGCAACTAAGTATTTCCTTACAATTTGTGAGAGAAGGAACTCCGATGAGGGCTTTGTGGATCGCCGTGGTGTTTGTGTGAGGCGCTTTAGGACACGTAGCTGTATGGTTTCGCCTTTGGTAAACAACTCATTAATAACCTGAGAGTCATCCGCGTATGTTTCGCGCCGTGGGATCCAACCGCGGATGTTATTGACACCAGACACAAGGACGCCCCTCTCGGAAACGTACACGACAACAGCTGAGACGACCAGGTTCTTTTCGTCTTTTTCACCGGTTCGCTGCTGCAGTGAGTCCCACGCTCTGAGCATATTGGAACTTCCCAAAATGGGAACCGTTGAATGTATAAGGCTTTTCTTTGCCGTCAGTACAACCTGTTGCTTTTCTGGTTCTACGGCCAGAACCTAAATCAGGGAAAACGCATTAAAGCCCCGTGCGAAAACATGGTAAGATATGAGTCCAATTCTTACGTATGCGTCGAGTTTGCTACCAATTTCGAACCGAGATTGAGGATCGCTGACAACGACATCTGAGAGGTGCAAGAAGGGAATAACACCACGAATTTTCCCGGGCAAACGAACCCCAACACCCCGTTTAGTGAACTTTTTTACGGTGACCTACAACATGAAAAAAATATTGATGCACCAAGGACGGAAACAGCTTATTTAGAAAAACTAAAATTCCTACCGAAACAGTAGTCCCAACTTTGACATCATCCAAAGAAAGGAACTTGGATTCGAACACTTGCCTAAGAAATTGAACTGATCTGATATAAACTTACTGTTTGCAGGACACAATGGGCATGTTGAGGAAAAAATCAAAGTCGATTACTCGGCATTTAATAGGAGCGTCTGCAGGAATGTGTGCAGTCCAGTTTTTGGGAGGGCTACCATCAAATGCGTTAGCTTTCTGCAAAGTAATCAGTAAATAATGTAGTTGATCTTACAAGAAGAATTCCGCGAATATCAAGGGACGGCAATCTTAGATAAATGAATCTCCGCTCACGTCTGTTAATAACAGCATCAGTACACTTAGTACCGATTTTTACACGCTTGAAGGCGTCATCATGCCCATGTGACAAAAAATGAGGAAGCAAGCTGGCAATAACATCCTTCGTTGCAAGGTCCACCAAAATAATGCATGCGGTGACCTGAAAGACAAAGTAAGTGCGCAAAAGAAAAGAAGCTTTTCCAGTGGTCTAAGGAAAAAATGTAAACAGACTCGACTCTTCTTCGAATAGTGATCACTTTTGAGAGGACAATGATGCGGAGGCACGAGTACGTTGTAAGATTGAAATACACACTGCAGACCTTCATGACTCGCAGAGACAACTTTGAGCGAAACGCACATACCAGGAAGGAGACAGTCAAAGGGAAGCGGGTCAGTAACGATAACCTAAAGTGAATGTTATGGAAACAAATGTACTTGTTCGTTTTGCATAGTAGCTTGAACAAATCTGGAACTTTTTCCGGATAATGGGGCCTCCTGAACTACAAACTCCACAAGACTACCTAAGGAAAACCTTTCCGACTCTTACAAAATAGAAAAAAATTCAACAAGTACCAGGAAGAGATGTCTTGTTGAAGGGAAGAAAAACATTAAGAGCACGAATCCCAGAATCAATTATGTAGCCATTATCTTCTATGCTGCTAACAGAGCCAACAATTGCCACATACGGCTTCACCTGACTCATCATAAGATTTCTGTTCACAGTGCGCGGGTCAAGAGAAAGATCAATGACATTTCTTGAAGGACTTGGTGCTGCAACATTAACATCTCCTTTGACAGAGCACCGAACAATTTGTCCAGGGTAAAACATTTGGTTCAACATCCTAACATTGTCCTAAAATTTTGTGAATGGTAGACATGTAATACGTTAGTCTCCCCAGACACAAGTTTCTCAAGTGCTGTCCTGTATTGAGAGCTGACGTCCGTAATTTTTACACGGCCCTTAGCACCGTGCAGCAAGGAGACATTAAGCTGGTAGTTTTCAATGCTACTTATCCGACCCAGGCAAAGTTGCTCACCCGACATCAAGCAATGGAAACGAGTCACACACGCCGCACCGACAAAATACACACTTTATTGACCTTGAACCCTTATTGGGTTTGGGCCCTTGAAGCTACATTACCCGCAAGCATAAAAAACACGTATTCAGAACCAAATTAACTTATTGTAATCCAGGCTAAACACATCGATTTTTTATTTTTAAATTTAATCATTGGGTTAAAAATTTATACAAATAGATGTTGTTTTGAAATAATTAACCAGAAAACCAGACCTGGGATTGGCGATAATGTGTCAGTAAAAATATTGTATTCATGCACTAATTGAATAAGTTATGCGCACCTCTAAAGGCAAATTCAGTTCATCTATGACTTCAACGTTGTACTTTTTGGATAGTCGTTGAAATCGCGCTTAGACATTTCTATTACGCTCTGGTGTCTCATTTTCTGTTCACTAAAGTAAAGGAAGCGACCTAAACGTGGTTAAGGTCTACATGCATAGGTCCAAAAAGTCTAAAGGTTCGGCTACCTTAAAGTTTCGATGAGCCGTAGGGTTCATGAATCAACTTAGAATAGAAATAATGATACAGCTCGTTCTTATTTATGTGGAGCAACAAACTATTACCTCAGATTAACATTAAAATTTTTAAAAGTCCGCGGCGTCATGGCAGGCAACCTCCACCTTGGTTATCAGTTATTGGTAGTGGGTGAATTGCATGGCATGAAGGCGGTTTCATGTGACCTGGGTTGCGATTTCCGGCTCCGTTGCGTCACGTGGGCATTAAATGGCGCACCGGGGACTGAGAGCCAATCCACTCACGATTTTTTGGTCTCTATCGCAGTGTCAAGGGACGGACTAACGGGATAACGGAAAGACCAGACCGAAGCTGCATAAAGACCCTGTTTTCCTCTATGACGCTGACAAGATTGTCACCGATTCAAATCTCAATTTAAAAACTTCATACTGTCTCGTTTTTATCATGTTCATACCATGTAGCTGAAACGTATGACACGAAAACAGTGATTAGGCACATAGGAAGTCCACCAACTCTTGATTGGTCATCAATGAAAGTAAGATTGCCCTCTTCAAACTAAATAGCAGCAAATTTTCTTGTGCAAAACCCTACGGTTCTTCACAGGAGTCACACATTCTATGTACTTTAATACTGCTGTTTTCAGGAATTAAGAATGAAGACCCAGTGAAATGTCGTTTGCTTAAAATATGGTTTCGGTAGCTTGCTGAGAATTACATTCCAAACATTAAATTTGCCATCCGTAGCAAGCCAAAATAACAGGTCAGGCAGTAAGAGCAGAGGCAAAAGTCTTTTTATCATCACACAAGGATGACAGGCGACAGAACAGTAAACAATGCATTAGCTATAAATCATTGACGCAATCAGGTCAATATGCAGGCCTCACAAGCGTGCATTTGCGGATGGATCGCCTAAATTTTTCACCAAAAAAAAGGGGTAAAATTACCTTTGGAGGTACATATTTAAAGGTAGGAGCAAACCAATTTCAGAGATGACAAATCAACTGAAAAAAGGAAAACATTAAAGAACGTAATCAAAAGTTGTTATTTTAACTTTAAAACAAATCACGTAATGCTTTCATAGGAATAAAAGTCAAATAACTCTAGAGTGCCTTTGCTGATATAAGTTATAATTTAAAACACGCCCGAACATTCGAAGATAGGAATAAGTCACACCACGCCTCAATTTTTTTCTAAATTTTTAGTTAGTATGGATCTGCGTATATAAATGATCCCTACAATTTTAAGACAATCATATTTTTGTGTAATCTGCTGCTCATAACTGTTGGCGAAACCTCAGCGAACCTGTTATTTGCAAAGAAAAGTATATTCACTGATAAAGTGAGATTCACAGAGCTATTTTGAAGTGGCATTCATTACTATAATTATCCTTTTATTAATAAAGGTTTGTATTATTAAGTCTTATAGTAGAAATTACAAACTAGAGACTCACGTAATTCAGCTATTTAAATGTACTCTCACCGATAAAATTTCCCGTTGTGATGGCACAAAATGGCGCGCTTTACAAAAGTTACGATATCGCGTTGCTAAACTTGATTGAAGAAAATGTACAGTAATTTGCTCTGATTTGAAATGGAGGCTGAAGGTCTACTGTTCTCAGCGGATTTTGATTCGGGTAACCTTGGTGGTGTCGAATGCGTTGCTGAGTCAATTGAATTCACTGGAATTTCATCTTTTAAAATTGCCACCAAAGGATGGGCTGATCGGATAGTTGTAGTTAACGGAGCTGAGCGAAAGCCCTTGTTGTGTAGTAGACCTAATTATCATTTTAAATGTTGGACCCATCCTGACGCGTACGACTCGCCTTTTGAAAATAGAAACAGGTCCTGGTTCCACTTTTGCGTCCGAAATTATTTACCTGGGTCAATTATTCGAATTTCTATTATGAATGCGCATCGACAGTCTAGACTGTTTGAACATGGCTATGCACCAGTTTTTAAAGTGACAAACTCACTTGCGTCTAATTCCACGTAAGCTTCTTATTCTTGTTCGAGTCAAACCTTTAGCCACTAGTAAATATTTATGTTCGAAGCGTTTCGAACACCCCTAAACTTTTTACTTGATTTTATTTTGCAGTTATGCACAGCGTTTTCTTACGTAAACTTTAAGATACATATTTTTGCTTTGTTCTGTGCATTTATTTAACTGGTGCGCTGAATTTTTGCATTGAACGATTATTCAGCTTGATTTGCCTGTCTTTCCTTACTTTACGCATTTTTTTATTTGTCACTGCACTGTATTAATCACATTTATGAAATTTGTTTCTTGCACTTAAAGCTGACTTATTTTTGCACATAAATTAAGAACTGTTTCGTGAGCCAACTTGGCGCCAATCTATAATGGATCAAATAGGTATTCTAACTCTGCGAATTATGTGGTGTTTTCTTCCTTGTTCATTAGGATGGTGAGCATTATCTCGTGTAAAGAAAATCAAGTTAAAAAGCACTTTACAATACCCTGTTTACTGCTAATGCAGTCGCTGTTAAATAATTTTTATACTCCCAGTGGCACAATATCTGCATTTAAATTTGATTAACATTATCTATGGAAGCGCCGTAATGAATTCTTTTCCTGTTCATAAATTTCGCACCATTCAGACAAAAAAAACGATCTTATTATTTTTTAATCGCAAGTGCAAGGCACATGTCTGTAACTTGCAAACAACCAGACTTGGAGTTTTTAGCGTCCCGGTGCACATTAGTCACGAAATAACTTACACATTTTGGCACTGACAGTAGTGTTTCCAATATTTTATCTTGTGGTAAAAGCGCCACTTCAGACATTTTACCCAAAGGCGTTAGTTAAGTATTTGAAGTCATGGTTTCAAAGAGATATAAAATGTGTGCTATTTGTCTTAACACGAATCACCCGAAAATTTGTTTTTGCATCAAATACTTTTGGTATTTGAAAGAAGACTACAACCTGCAGTAGGTTCTTTAAAATTTAGAGTGCAATAAAGACACTATTTTGGGATTTGGTAATTTCAAGGTCTTAACAAAACTGCTATGTTTTGAGTTGAATTTATTAAGGTGATGAAATGAACACAACTCGTGCAATTTAGACACTCGATTTCTGATAAAAATTAATTAATATTAACAACTTGTGCGTGGTCGGTATATTTTATGATGTGAAATAAACGTAACCGTTTTTTTTTCAAGCTGGGCCAGAATAGCTGAAGAACCTGTGTGTGAAAACGTTGATGGGCAATATGCGGTGACTTTTGCGCATCGTTTTACTGAGCAGCCGGACACCGTTACCTACTTCGCTTTCAGCTTTCCATGGACTTACACGGATTGTCAGACGCAGCTTAAGTGCATCGAAGAGGCGATTCATCGCCCCATGTCTTCGGGCCAAAATTTGGAAACCACTGGCAGCCGAAGTCAATCAAAGTCGGCTTTATACTTTCACCGTGAGCTTCTGTGCTACAGCCTCTGTGGACGAAGAATTGACCTAATAACTATTTCTGACTGTGAAAATCAACTCGCTGACCGAGAAGAACGCTTCGATCCCCTTCTGTTTCCTGACCAATCTGCCCCGAGGCCACATAAATTTACAAAGAAGAAAGTCAGTGGCCCTATGACAGCGTTATTGATAAGTAATGCGCATTTGTTAGGTGGCAGTGTGACTAGATTTTAGCTATTTTTAACTGTCCCAGTTCAGGCCAATGAAACAATATTAAAATAATCGCGGGAAATTCTGAATATGGTAATAAAAGAATCCACTTCTTTTCAAAGTTAAAGAGACCAATCACATCTCGTAGCCAATTATTTACATAAGGGGTCATCAAACTTGTACCGCATTTGTGAAATCGGCGATACGATTGTGAATCATTGTCCAAAAGGTTGTAGTGATTTTAGTAACTGTCTTCTAAATCGCTAACCAAGGTTTACCGAGGTACGTTTATAAGGGAAATGTTCCACGCGTCCACTTAATTGCACCGAACTTTTTTTACTAGCAACCAAATAATTAATGGTTGGCAACTTGCGATCTAGTGTCGGCAGTCCTTAAATTTGCATAAGCCAACGCAACTTAGCTTGGACATTGTCCACCTCTAGCTCATCGTTTTGAAGTTAATGGTTTATTTTGGGAGGTTGTAAGTGAAATTTTCAAGCCTAAATGAATTACCTCATCAACGTAACATCCTCTCATTCAAAGGTTAAATATAATCCAGGTTTCCTCTTAATTTCCTTGTCAAAGTGCTGTGACCTTATGATGTGCCTTAAGCGAATCCCTGCATTTATGCAATTTGTTATCTTGAACCACGCCGGGGCCACTGCGTCAATCTAGGCCGATTACGCTACCCCGATCACCAGCTAAGTTGGAGATGACGGGAGAGGAAGAGGCACAATAGTTTACTAGACGGCTCAACATAGTTTTGTTGTGTTAACTGATACAGTTGAGTGGACCCGTAAAAACCCAGAAGTCTGAATGGTCACATGGCTAGAGAGGGTGGTGGTGGTGGTGATGATGATGATGCATACAGAGGGATGAATGAGCAGGCTGTCCCGGCGACAGACGGGCACGCCGTGAAAAGGGGGACATGTGTGTGAGGCTGCGACGACCGGCTTGTTGGACGTGAATCAACACGAACCACTACAAGTTTATCATGTACTTAATCAGGAAATAATCAGAACAAATTGTTTGCTTGTTAGCCTAATGAGTCCTAATTAAGCTGTATTTCCCGTCGTGTTAGTCTTAAAAATACTCATGGTTGAATATTATCTTAAGTCTGCATTATTTGACAATTAAAGAAATGGCTTGTCAGTAGATCGACAACTGCCTGTAGAAAACATCTAGAGTTCTTTTTGTGTGTAGGTTTTTATTATAACCGCTCGAGTGCATCCAGGTGAGACTCCGGGAAGTCAAATGTTCAACGGAGTACTCGAATTCCTTCTACGCGAGCATGACAAGCGGGCGATGGAACTTCGTCGCATGTACGTCTTCAAACTAATTCCTATGCTCAATCCCGATGGAGTTGCAATGGGCCACCACAGAACGGATTCCCGTGGAGTCAACTTAAACCGGTTTTACCTCCAACCGAATTTTATACTCTATCCCGCAGTGTATGCGGTCAAGGCCCTAGCCACATACCACCATTTGACCTACGGAAAGGCATGGTGTTACCCTGGCTGGATTCCAGAGGAAAGGTTTAGGAAGTTTGCCGACCTCGCTTCCAAATGTCGTTTGGTCCTTGATTCTCCCGAACTAGCCCCACACACCGGCAAAAGGGTGCGGTCACCAACTACCAAGTTGAAGCAGGAGCCTAATGAAGAACCGCAGGCAGCTTCAACGGATGAAAAGGTCTCAGGTGTGAAACTAGCCGACGTGGCATCGCAGACAGCTTCTACAGAAGAAGAAATCTTGGCTGTGAGACCGACCGACGAGGCATCGGAGTCCACTCAGGCAAGAAATGCAAAGATCGGGGAGGCAAGGTCATTGTCACCCCCTAGGCATAGATCTTTTATCGGGCGATGTGAGACATGCCCATCCCTTCAGCGTTCCTTCGATTCACAAGTAAGCAGTAGCTTCCTCCTTACTAATGTTTAAATAAATAATCTATTTTGTAGTCACTGAATTGATTCTTGATCACTATGAGTAGCTGATTATTTGAGCATCTACTGATTGCTTACGTGTTTTTTTGGCATATCTTCCAGCTTTTAATGCACTAAAAGGTGGTTAGCATTATGTCTTGATCCATATGCAGTCTCGGAGTTTGGTTTGGTTTGCAGTGAAGTTTCAATTTCAAGGCAATCAGAAGGTGATTTCTCCTGATTATTTAAGAATTCGAACCTGTTAAAACTGGCGCTTTCGTACTCGGGACACCATTTGCCTCATTTTGATTTGATGAACTTTCGTGTTTAATCCACAGGACCCTGATTTGCTCAGTCAAAAAATCGGCAGCATCAGCGACCCTATCAGGGTTTCAAATCCTGTTTTCCCGACGACACATCCTGAAAGCGAGAATCGTCCTCAATCGCCACTGTCCAGCCCGTCGACACACCTAGCGGGGGGATTAAGGAACTTCCACAAATCGCTTCTAGGGAGTGTGGATAGCAGTCTGCACACCATACAACATTGCGACTATCAAAAGGCTTGCAAAGCTGGCTTAATCACATCATTTAACAAGCCTGACAGCCAACTCGTCTACCTAAATCCACAGAGTAGACTGTCGTTAAGTATGACGTGAGTTGAGGATACTCCTGCCCTCTGAGTCCAGGTTTATGATCTTGAAGAGTTTTAAATCTAATATTTACTTTTATCTGTTCTGCATTTTGGCATTGTGGCAGAACTCTTCTAAAAAAAACTCACGGTGTTCAGGTGTTTTGTAGGTTCGTTGACTTGGCTACCTGGTACTCTACACAGATGAAAGGGCTTGAGGCTTCACGCTTCGCATTTGGTAATTTGGCTCTACTGCAGTCAATCAAACGTCCTTAGAAGGGTCTGATATGATCCCAGTGCTTCGTGTTTAGTTGTCCCTCCTTACCTCAGGCTTCTTTTACGTAGACTACCCAGCCTCAACAGTATGGCTCGAAGTCTTAGACTTACGTTTCGGCCACAAAGATCTAAGGAGACCTCAAAAGATTAAGGCGATACTTTGCACACATTTCGGCGCTCCAACCCACCTTCTCTACATGTCATTCAAACGGTTTGATCTGATGTGAATTATGCGCTTCAGTTTAGACGGTCTCATGAGAACTTCACGCCCAGGCAGATTTCAAGAAGATATTTTAATTTGCATAATTTAAATAGCACGAAACATACCGATGCATTTTGCCCGGTGGTTGGCTGAAATTTATAGGCATCTGAACCGAAATTACAAAGGACAAGAAGAAAATGCAGAAGGCGATGAAAAAGAAGAACACGACGGTCTACGCAATTCCGTGTCACTGTCTACGATGCAGACTGATCAAAACGTGCATAATTCCGTTTCTTCGGTTCCACGACGTTCCGAGTCGAGGAATACAAAGCTACTTGATGAGTCAGACGATGAAAACGGTGTGTTTGCAATTACTGGCATTTTCCCATAGTTAGGGTATCGAGTTTGCAGTAAAACCAAAAAGTCCTCGGTTAATTGTGTTGTAGTTCGAAATATTCATACAATTTAAAACAGCAGTATTCAACGTTTGAAAGCTTAACGAAGTTGCTAATGATAAAGTGTTCCAGCCTCTAGAGAGGGAATTCCATAACTTTCTGAAGCGTAAAACAAAACGCGTGTAAACACAACGACAAATTATTCTAGGTTAAATAGCTCTGTCTTGACTACGGTAATTTGTAACGGGCCTGCAATGTGTCTTTTAGAGGCAGATAGTCAGACACGGAAACTTGACCGGGTCTTCATCAGCACTGTGGCCAAGCACCTGAAGTCCGACGACGAGGACGCCGGAACAGTGAATGCCTTCCTTGCCTACTGCACGGGGGACCATTTGACCGACCCGTGCCTCCTCGACATTACCCCTGAAGAGAGTGGTGTCAAGTGCTACATCGACCTCCATGGACATTGCTCGAAGAGGGGCTGCTTCTGCTACGGTAACAGCCTCAGGGACGAAAATCAAATGGTAAGGAATCCTGGTTTTTGCGTTAGACGCAAACATGCAATCTTGTTATTTCTGATTAATTACCATGGGACTCACCGAACTGATCAATTTCAAGGTAGCTTCTGCAAGGTTTATTTTGAACCTCGTCAACATGGTTTCAAAAAGATCATTTTTGAGTGTAGTGCCGCCTTTTTTACGGCTGTATAAACATTGATGTCGTTTACATGGACGTTATTCACTACTAAATAACACATCATTTATTAGAATAATTGCTATTGAATGTGTTTATTGTGAGCATTCGGAAATGATTGAGTGATTTTAAGATCGTGCGATCGAATATGCGCTTATTACACACGCGACGTTTTACGAACTTCGGCAGAGCAACAGTACCTCTGATGCCGTTAATATCATTTTCAATTTATTTGGACACATTAAAAACTTGTCAGCATGGTTTAATAACTTGAAACGGGTGATTTCGATGTTTTCTGAAGACCAAAATTTGAAAATACTATGAGTTCAATCAGGATCCCTAAACAAACTAAATCAAATAAGCATGAAGCTTTAAGAGGTCCAAAAAGCAGGTATCCAAACTGCCATGGGTTCGGTTGCCTTTTACAGGGAGAAATAGTTGAATCAGATCAATAATGCCGTGGAATTATTACCCTAAAATAATTTTTACATAGCGTTAAAGACGATAAAATTTAGTGTAGTTTTAGAAAACGACACTACTTAAGGCTACACTCAGTAACACGATGGTGTTAAGTATACTTTTGTTTCTACTTATGGTTGATTTAAAATGTGAAATTACCAGCTGAATTTCAATTTATTCACGTGAACTAGAAAGTTCATTTGCCGTCACAGTGTGTCTATGCCAATGTGATACGCTTCAATGCACAATTTTAGAGAGTCAAAATATTTATCTACGGCTGCAATTTGCATCGATTCCTTAACACTCGAAGTCAATCATCACTTGTTTCAAACACAAGCATTATTACTTTTTTATTTGTTCAGATTGACAACGTCTTGTACGCCCGCCTTGTGGCAGCGAACTCGGCGTTCTTTGACTTTGCCGCGTGCAACTTTTCCACCAGAAATATGTACCTGCGCGACAAGGTGAACGACACCACCAAGGAGGGCTCGGGGCGTGTGGGCATCTGGAAGCACACGGGCATCACGCACTGCTACACGGTTGAAGCTAACTACACATCGAGTAAGCAACTGTTGTGAATCGTGTTTATTCACACCTCATAATCCGGTCGCTCCACCTCTGACACAGGGTTCCCCTTTACGCAGCACGTCGCCAGCCGTGCGGATCCTCAACTCCCCCCTCATTCACCCAATATTTATATTGAATTATCCTCACTCCATGACTCACGCAGCTGAGGCATAAGTGCACACGCGCACACCCCACACATGACACGACAACGCCAACGTGGTTGAGCTCTGATGTAAACGGTTGTGTCCACGTCCTCCCCGATCTTTTTCTTCATCGCGGGTATCAGAGAAACGTAATCGGGCTAGGGGTAATTCTGTGGCCCCGGCGTGGTTCAAGACTACATGCTGGGGCCCACAACATAACCAAGTGATCTAACTGTGCATCTTATACTAATGTCCGTTTTGACGCATCCAATCGAAAATCCTCGCCAACAGAGTGTCTCCATTCTTGTGTCCACCCACACGCCTGCTATGGCAGTTGCGCTTAGGTATTACCTTACTCCTTGAACTGGTGCAATGCTAGAAGACTGCAAAATGAAGGTCAGACTAAATGATTCACCAAATGACGGTTCTAATCTATTGCTATTATGCGATTCGGTATCTATAAGCTAGTTCTAATGCTGGGTTTCCTAATTTCGCAACTTGAGCAGATACATGAATAATCCAAGTGTTTTTAATTAAATTTAACCTTCGGTGTACCATTAACGCGATGTTGGTGCTTTGTCATAGGCCGCACCGTCAACATCCTATCGGCACCAATGACGGACAATCGGTGCGCAACGCCACCCGGTAGCCTCTGGGGCCCGATGCGCGGAAACCTCGTTACACCGCAGCCGAGAAACCACTCATCCAACGTATTCCTTAATCTCGACGCCTCGGACCGCCCAGTACTTCTAACCGAGCACGGTAGCTACATTCTGGCTCTCGACGAGAAGTACTCGATGGCGCACTTCGAGGAGATGGGCAGGGGCCTGCTGACAGCGGCCCTGGACATGTGGGGCGTGAACCCCTGGTCACGTCTCGCCAACAGTCCGTGTGCCGACATGATTCGGTTTCTTCCAGGCACTTATCGCAACTTGAAGTCGATCTTCCGCCTTGATTCCTCCGGCACAGCTCAGCGAAATAGGCTGTTTCCGCGGTGGAGGCAGAGAGAACAAGCGAATATAAAGGTGGGACATTTTAAGAAAATCCAAACTAAACAAAATTTGTTGGATGATAGCATTAAAACTAAATGTGATTGACACTAGACATCTGATTAACATAAAATTCGCAGTTATTTTATCGATAATGAAGACAAAAAACAGCACAATACTTTGTGGTTTTGTTAAAAACAATCACACAGCGGATAGTGAACTTTTAAGCAGCAAGTCTGTGAAAACTCCATGACGACGATGCCTACATAATTTCTTGCAAAATTAATTTCCATGCAATGGGATTTGAAGGACACGCCTAATGTTTTGTTTGCATTTTTAAGAGGTTAATTGGCTTTATAAATGCAGTATGTTTAATTTTGGTACAAGTTTTTTTGCAGTTCGAATCATCAGATTTCACTTTCCAAAAAAATGAATATCCAATCACACAAGCGATCATTTTTGTTTTCTAACTGGTCACTTGAGATTTTGCATATTACGATAAAATAACGTCGGCAGACTTGCTAGACATTATATGAAAGTAAGACACATTGTTTTTCAATGTTTACCAAACAATCATTAGAGTTGATGAAGTCTGTGACGTTTTATTCTACCAAAGTGACCAAGTCCACCACCAAGCTACTTCAAAAGTATTTCGTATATGGGTACTTCATAGTGGTGTAATGTGTTCCAAGGATTAGAAATTCCCTTGATTCACATACGTACTCATCAAATTTTGCGTTGTAATTTCGGCTTACGCTGTTTTCATTCAATGCTATGCAAATATTCCCAGCAACAATTTGCCACGGCAATTTGAAAAGTGCGCTATGGTTGATCTGATTTACAAAATTGGGCCGTTCGCATTGGCAGATTCTGCGCGGTTGGACACTTCGCTATGTTAGAGCTAAGGCCTCACAGGAGGGCATCGAGCTGATCAAGCCCAAGAATTCCTCCTCAACGTCCCGTTTGCCCATCTCGGTGCTCGCCTCTTCCCACCGTCAGCGGCGACTTCCGAAGGATCAGGTTGGCGGACTGACGTCCTCAAATCGCGAAAACCACCACTCATTTACGAGCCTTGAGGAGACCGAAGCTGCTAGAAATACGTGCAGGTTTCCACGCCAAGTGAATAAGAAACAGCCATTAAATCTGAAAAAGGTGGCCTCAACGTCTCAACAAAGTTTGCGTGTTTGTGACCCATTTAATTTTTCACAAGATTACTTTTGGCAGACACTCAGTAGAAGCCCTTCACATGAGTCAGCGGATTCGAAGCCTGCTGGAGACCTACCGCGTAAACAAAGCTCTGGACCCGAAAAAGCGTATGTACATTTTGATACCCATATTGGCCAATAATGTTTTTCCTTTGGTTTTAACTATGCCGGCACGTCTAATATTTCAAACTTGCATCAAGCTTGTTCTCTATCCGCACCGCACTTGCAAATTTGTCCGAAAGACATCAATACTGTAGAATTGTTACAAATCGCTCAATTGTCATCAAAGGACGGCTGAAAATCATGACCAACTTTGAAGCATCAACGTTAGTCTACAAAATCGAAGCAGAACCACCTGCAACGTTAGGCATTCAAAAAACTTATTCATTAAATATGTCGACAGTTGATTTACAATTACGTACACACGTTTTGCAGCGCATTTATTGATATCACAGAGGTGCATATCGCACTGTAAATTTCATTCCTATTCTTCGTTAACGCTCATGGTAGGTGACGTTCTCAGGTGGACACAATCGTTTGTTTACTCAGAATAAACTATTTATGAAGGAGAGAGGTTGGCAGATTCCAACAAAGCTGTTCTGACCAGGTTCTACTGACAGTCCACTACAAACGTGTACAAAACCCACGTTGAGTAGATTCCCAACTCCCTAGTGCTGTTTTAGTGTGGAGAGAGTCGTGACCTCCGACGATGTGCGATTCACACTTGGCGTGTTCCCAATTTGAGCGGCTTCTTACTCTCACTGCTATTGGTAGGGCCCCCGAAGGTGACGTGAAACGCTTAAACAACTACTGCTCCCTTCAACGTCGTCTGCAGTACTCCGGCAGAGGGTTCACGAGCCGCGTGGGGTGCAAGAGGGAGAGCACCGCGCCCATGCCGTCCGCCATGCGCCACCACAACGCAGACTCGCTCACTTCGCAGAGGTTCACTGCCCTAGTCAAACGCACACGAGAGCTGCCTCACACATTCCAGAGTCTTAGAAGTCGTTCTAAAAATGTAATCCCTCCAAATATGACCACGTTGAACAGCGCACGCGTGCTTTTCGACAGACAAACCAAGATCCCAAGGAGAAAGTCGAAGAAGCACTTGGTACTGGAGAAGACCGCAATACCAATTGTAAGTCTGGCCTCGGGCTGGTCAATGTTTCAGCTTTCATTACACTTGCAAGGTCAAAAACCACTATCTACCAGAATTTTGGTTTCAATCTTAATATCGAATAAGCCCCTTTAGATGGCTTCCAATACTGGGATTGACGATCAAAATTGTTAGATTCACTGTTAGCGAAACAATTCATTTTTAAAGCAAATGCTCCGGTCAGCGGGCCAAATGGGCTAATGGCTAGGTGCAGGCCTTCTTCGTTCTTGGCGTCACTTTTCTCAAAAGCGCAAAAGTGCGGTGAAGTGGCATGCCAGTTTAACACAAAGGAATCTAGATGGTGCGACATATTGTCCCCTTTCAACACACACGTCGCCGACAGACGATGAATTCTCTAAAGTCACACCAACTCATTTAAAAAAAAAAATTAATAAAAAATTTTGTTGCAAGCATTCACAAGCCCACAGATCTTCAATTGCTGCTTCATTTAGAGAGGACAATGCTACAGCATTATCGACATCTAAAATTTGAGAACGTAAGAACGCGAGCACACAGTTCGAAGACACCTCGCCCGCTAAACTGACCTCGTATTGTTACCACGATGATCTTTCCCTACGTTGTAATACGCTTTCTTTTAACAAGACCAGGCCCATCTAGGCAATATTGTCTATTGTGACGATATACCTGATTTGAAGTATCATGAAACCCATTCAATTGAGAATGTTTAGGCAGAGCCGAGGATGTGACGGTGAGTTTCAGCCTAGGGCGCGATACAGTTAACACGAAATGTGGGAATTTGAGGACGAATGGTTCTAATTATTTCTAGGGCCAAAACAACCCGAAACTGAAGCCACCAAATGGAATGAAAAAGCGATCGCCCATCCCCTTTGCTCCTCGTCAAATTAAACCACCCGCAACAACTCAGTTCTCGTCATTTATACCAACCACGCTAGCATCACGAACGCCAAAACACACCAACTTCGAGGTGGCAAGCCGCACTTTCTCGTCAGCGTTTATTAGTGACTTCTTCCACCAAGCAAGACTAAAACGAACCAGAAAAGTGAAGAGGGCTCAAAAGAAGTGCCAAAAAGGAGAGTCAATGGCTAAAGACAAAAACGCTGAAGGCGGTAGTGATGTCCATGTGCTGCCAAGATTTGAACCTCGGAGGTTCGACTCTTCAACTGGTAGAAGAACCATGGCAAAGAATGTAGAGTAAAAACAAAACTGTATTTTTGCTGTACAAATTTTATTCTTTTGGATTAACGTAACATGACCGGAAAGTTATTTTTAATCTATTGTATCGCTTGGCAGAATGCTGGGAGCTGTTTCCGCATAGGCAAGCAAATGCACAACTACCGCGAGAACACAACCTACCTTGCATTGTGGAAGTTTCCATTTAATTTGCCTTTCTGGATTCGCTTTGGTAGTGCAATAGGGCACTCGGTCTACTACGGAAAATTGAAGCTTAATGTAACTAGCATCCATAACATTAAACACTCAACAGTGCACACGACATACCGCTTCTGTTCTATTATTTGTGAGGCTAAGGCAATAAAGGTAGCAAGTAAAGCCACGCACAGCATTCTTCATGTACACATGATACTTGGTAAATAGCGAAAAGTGAGTATACGGGGTCTCCAGATAACCAAATATCTAAGCGTTTTAGATTTATTAGGAGACCATGAAAACTAACCACAAACACAAGTGAGAGGCGGAACAGAGGCAGTGATCTTCACCAATTCACAGTGATTGCAATAAATTACCTTTGATTGTATTTACAAAAAAGTCCAGCACGAAGCGAAAGTGAAGACGAAACTCACTTTACAAAAATTTACTTAAGCTTATTTTTGAGATAACACAAAACGCGATTGGCTACCTCTCGATCCGTTCCACCAAGCCACTCTACACTGATGATAAGCTTATCCACATTGCCGTCCCCATTATCCGCCATCGAATTCTCACCGATCTCCGTCTCCTCCTCATCCTCTTCACCGCCTCCATAGCCTTTCAAACTGGATTCCACATAAAAATTGGCCTTCAAAATGAGTGGATCTTGGTTCTCTGGCTTGTGATCAGTGAGAGTGGAGCCGGAGAGGTCATGTTCGAGCTCCTCAAGCCAGGCCTCGCCCTCTTCGCAAGTCTGTTCGAGACGGCGTCGCTTGGCTGCCACTTCCACATCCTCTTTCGTCTCCCGACAGACAGGAAGGGGGTGTTTCTTGCCCATCAACTGTGTGTCAGTCGGAGCGTCAAGCGGTTGGCCTTGCTGATGCTGTTGCTGCAAAAACAATGCCTTCCGTCGTTTACGGCGTGCGTGGGTCCAGGTATCCTCGTGAGCTTCGGCGTAGATGTGGTAGCCACCCAAAATCTGCTTGTTCTTTTGCACCAAGACATGCATCTATCAACGAAACGCAAATTATACTTATGTTAGGAAATAAACTACACTAATGCATTGCATGGGTAATTTAATATCTAACCTAAACTGACAACCGAGGGTTGTGTAAACCAAGAGATTTACTATTTATTAAAACCAGGTAGATCAATTCTGACAACAACAGAACGAATTAAAACATGATAACAGAGACATGAACGGTTTTATTTACCAAGCCACATAGAATGAGTGCCGTGTAATATTAGAAACACAAATTGCATGCATAATTATAATGCAAATTATTGTATTGCTCGAAGGTTAAAAAGTAAAATCAAACCTTTAAATCTTTTAATTCAGTCAGTAACCAATCAAAAAGACACTTCCGAGTATAGGTACGAAGACAGGAAACAGTGGGCGGGAGAGTATATGTGAGTGGCGGCCGGTGATATTTCCGTTTTTGCCTGAACTCCGAAACCTAAAATAAAGTGATTTCAGTTAAACCAAATTACAAAGCACCTAGACAAATACTACGAATGAATGCTGACGGGGAAGGAGAAATTTGGGATGAAGGTCCATGCAATGCCCCACCGCATTACACGCCCTTGGCACATTTCGTAGACAGACGTTTGTGTTATCTTCATATCTCCGAGAATTCGCCTGACGATAGGAACGCTTCTTTTCTTGCCGAGCATCGTAGTGAACACCCTAACGAAAGAAAAAAACACCAGTTTCTAAATGAGTCGATCAAAGTTATGAAAATAATTTAAAACCAAGGCGCACCCAACATTATTCTGGTAAATTAAGCTGTCCTCAGCGAGACGCTTGACAAAACCAACTTCACCACCGTCAATTTGACTCTCTTGGCGTGCGGCGGAAGATGCTGACTTCGGTGGGGCCCGTGATAAAGATCGAGTAGAATCAGCACCGATCGCATCAGCGACATCTTCGAAAAAAGGGGGGTTCGCCATCACAACATCAATTTTAATGTCCGATGCATTAATTCCGGCAGACACAGAATATTCGTCAAAAACCTGTTTCAGTGGATGCGAGAGAGCATCATTAACACGAACAACTACAAAAAGGAAACACGTGTGCTTTAATTCAATTTAGACGTTTGCTGATAAGATTTGAAAAGGCACATTACGATGAATTTGATCGCTCAATCCATTTTTCTTCACGACCTCCACGGAATGGGCGAAATTCCTCGCATCAAATTCTGATCCAATAAAATTCCAACTGTTCTTTTTGGCGCCGATGATTGGATATATGCAACAGGAACCTGTACCAATGTCTAGTATTGTCAGAGCCTTATGGGGAACCTGCATTGCTGAAAAAATGTTTAAATAACTCTAGCTACCAGTCAAAATATCCTCTATCCATAAAATGTAGTTAAGTCGCAGAGGAATTGTTGGAATAAGCCGGTCAACCGGAACATCCACATCCAACCCAAAATCTTCTAATAGTAATGCACGCGCAAGTGCAGCTAATAAACGTGGTTGCTTAAAGTCAGGGCATATTTTGCCATCATCATCTTTCAGAACCACATCATTGAAAAAAGGATACTTTTCAGCAAGCCTTTTAAAAGAGGGTTTATTCGTCTTGTAAGGATTACGTTGGTGCATGAAGGGATTAAGTGCCATTTCCAAGGCCTTGATTGGCACTTGATTGATTCAATACACGAAGGAAGACACTAGACACCAAATTTAAAACACCCGCAATAAGTTGATGACCAATCAAAATAAAGCCGTTCTGAGAGGCTACTTTCAATATCAACATGGAATGCATGTGTTGGTCTCTTTAATGTAGGGAAATATATGGTGCAATATAGCACATGATGCCGGAAAATACAGTTATAAGAAAATTATTATGATTTGCTACCGAAAGTAAAATTTTTTTGGAAAATTCAGAAGCTTTGAGTGATGCATGTATTTGATAGGATTTTTCTTATATTTAACATATTTTACACATATCAAATTGGTAAACTTATTGGCTGAACGACTGAACCAGTAAATCGTTACTATAAAACTGATCACCCGAGGACTCTATATGTCGCAAAGACGTTTTTGAAATGACTTGAATTTGAGTATTTGTGAATATGTATTTTCGGAGTTAGATTTTTGAAATTCCTCCTAATTGGTGAGTGTTTAGTTATACTGATATTTCTATATACGTGATGGCGTCCTACTTGCTTTCGGGCCACTCACGCTATGATTCCCTTTGATGCATTCGAAATAATGCAAGTAAACTAAAAAGGTATAATCTAATGGATTTGACCATATTCCACATATGCATTAAGAAAAATTCGTATGTGATTATACCAATTTTTGGTAGGAAATCATTCCACGGAGTATTTTAATGTAAATAATAATTTTTAACCATGGCTATCTCGACACATTAAGTGCTTAAGTGTGTACCAAGCATTTGTTTTCATATCATGTAGTTAAAATTTCTCAATTAGAATAGAACTTGTCGCGTATGTGTTGGCATAGTTAAAGGTTGCCTTCAAGCACGATTATTGAGTGCCCTGTACCAAAACTGTGAATAGCTGTGCCTAAAATCATAGTCTCCAGAATGAATAACGAAAAGTATAATTGAGAACCACGTAAATATTTATTGTCATTTGCCTATTTGTGAAGCAGTTGTCTATTTCATACTGAAGACTAACTGGACCATATTTTGGGTTATGGATTTTGTCAAAGTTGGCAAAAGATATCTAAAATCTCGTATGCTTAACCAAAATTGCACAGGAGAACGAAAGAATATTTTTCTCCGAACTAAATTTGCTTCATCGTTCGATATCGACTTCCACTTAAAGAAAACCCGACTAGAAAATTATGGGTCGAAATCTCACATTGATATTCCATGTCTAGATATTACTGCTTCGATCAAGCTGTGCGTCAAAAGGATTAAAAATGTTATCAGTAACACGTTTGAATCAACAACTATTATTGGCATCGTCTGAATTCTCTTTATTCTTAAGCACAAAAAGAATTACATCAACTGAGACGTAAGGTTTAAAATTATGACATGGGTCCTATATTAATAGTTCGAGAGATTTAGCTATTTGTAGTACCACTACATCATGCGATAGAACTCGCTTCGATGTATTGTATTGTTTCACTAACAAACAGGAAATGTTCGCGTAAAATAACACACTACTTAAAAAAGAGAAAATAATGGCACGACGCAAAAGAATTTTATGGCGATAGAGGTTAGAGTAGTTGTTGCGGACTAACGACTGGTGGAAAAAGGATCTGTGAGCAACGATCTTGGGGTTTTTGCAATGAAACTGCTTATGCCACACTAAGCACTGCAGTACACAGTCAGTTTTATTCCATAACGGCAGATAAAACAACGGTTTAATGAAAAGGAACAATGTATTTGAAAGGCTGTCCTCGTCCTGCGGACGAATTTCCATGAGAACCCAAAACCCATAACAGTTGTTGTGTGCGAAAGACAACGATTCGTTAGTGATCATCCAGCACACTCCACGCCGCATTGGTGCACAACAGAATCTACGGAAAATGCAGTGCAATAGCGTGGCATTGTTGATAAAAGTTATGGGGTTAGAGAGAAGGGGGGACACTCAAAGACGACCAGATAACACATAAGCGATCAATGGGAATGTGGTCAGAGCGAATGCACGCGCGCGCGCACGCACACACGCACGCATAACAAGTTCTCTCGCGTTCACGAGTAGATGTGCAGTGGTTAACACAGAGATAAGTTATTCGGTGCATAAACGTAGGCAGGCGCTCGCAGATGAACCCACTCCGAATGCAAGGACGCGCACGACGCACGCACATGGACACAAGAACGATAATCACAGTGTTCGGAACGGAATACTATGTACAAGGGAGTGTGTTTGGGAATTTAGTTAACCAATGTACAAACACGAAAAGAAGAGCGGAATTAGAGGTAGCGAGGTCCACCATTGCTCCTAGCCGCCGCAGCAGCTGCCACCATAAATTGCGCCGTGAGTTGCTCCAGAGAACGCCCACTAGTTCCAGCGACGGTAGCGTTTCCGGCGTTCGCCGAAGCGTCGGCAAGAGGCACTGCCGCAGACACCTGGTTAGAAGACGCGGTAAATAGGTGAGCGGCGGCTGCAGCAGACAGATTTATCTGCTGTTGCAAAAGGAAGAAGTTGCGGTAGGCCTCTGCAGTGGCCAATTGCTGCTGGTTGGGAAGGTGGTGACGATGATGAACTGGAAAAAGAGCAGACTGAGGTTGCGATGGCGGTAGTTGAGCTCCCCCATTCAAGAGCAGAGCAGCCGCGTTGTCAGACGTGAAGATGGTGGTGGAGCAGCAGGCGGACGAAGTGGAGCTCGACGGAATGGCGGAGAGTTGTTGATGGTGGTGACACTGAGACGCCGTGCAACACTGATTAGCAGTGTGAGGATGGGCGTAGGCAATTCCACCACCACACTCCTCCTTTTTCATTGGTTGTACACGACCTATGGGAACTAAAAAAAAAACAAGATGTTTAGTAGGTTTAGTTCAAAAGAAGTTAAAACTTACTTACTTGATAGTTTCTATTCACTTGCCAAAGCAGACAACAAATCCGGTCAAGCAAAAACACTATACGGTAGGCACAAGCACCGACTCGACATTAATTATGTAGTATCATAAACGAAACTAACAAGCTTGTATGCACTAGACCAATCAGCATTCAGGCTGATTGTGAAACCCTAAATGCTGTCGCGTGTGATGCGCTATGAACATTGAAACAGCATTAATTTCAGCGAGTTCTCGAGCAACGAATGTGCGCAATTGGTTTAAATTAAATGGATGATAAGACGACTTACTCTTTTTATCAGGGCGAAAAAGCATTGAGGTAGGTGCTTGATTGAAATTACTTTGGTGATCAGAGGTATGTTCTTCGAAGTGAAAATTTCTACAAAGCAATCGTAAGATGCAATAAACATGTGAGGACATTTATATCCTTAAAATTACGACCAATTACAAGTATAGTGAGACGCTACGGCAAAATTAACATGCAAAATACTTTTGCATAATAAAAAATGAATTGATGGAAATCGCTCATCGCCATTTTAGTAAATTTCGAATAACCCCATAGCCAATTGTTAAATTTGAAGATAATTTGGGCTGGCTGAGAATAATAAGGTGAAGGTGTTAACGGATTAGCCCCAGCCTTCATTGATAAATTATCACCCTTCCTAAAAGGTGAAATAAACTTAATACCCTTAGGTGATACATATTTCTGCTGGAATTTAGAAGAGCCGTTGTGTCGCCATCTAGCACCATGAGAAAACTTCACGGCTATTTTTTTTACAACTTGACCCCTGAGGTGATGATTGGCATAACTAACGGCGACAGCAGCTGATTCTGTCGGGCGCTAATTAAGACCTGTGAAAAGGCATCGACGAGACATTGGTCTAAACTCTAAAGACTAAGCCGCGAAACATTTGTTTATGAACACTTGTTTGTAGAGACAGCTTGTAAAGTCACTGCTAAGGTTAAACTGCCAAAACAAGGCAATAAAGCTTGCGATTGAACTGAAACATGAAGTGAAAGGTGGCAAATAATGACTGTGGAGAATAGTACAAGCGAAATATAATGCTAGGATGAGATCTTACGCGTTATGGCTGCCCGAAGTTTGAGTCTTGACAGCTGCTGCAACTTCTGCGGCTGCCTTGTCCAGTGTCTTTACGTCAACCAACACCGATTCGTTGTTTAGCAAAGAGATGGAGCATTCAGTAGTTGTTGGTGCAGATAAGGAAATTGTACTGCTATTAACACCCGGCGATTCCGTTGGCCCTGAGGGCTCTGATATTTCCCCCGAGTCCAGGCAAATAGTTTTGTCTCCAAGTGGATAGTAAACCGGGGAAGGAGAAGGGGTACCTTCGTAGTCAGTATGAACTAAAAATAAGGCCAGATGAACGCGATTTATAAAAGTTTGGCGTGGCAGCACTTCGCTGGTTACGAATCGTCAAATTTGAAGTGAGCATAGTACGTGTAGACAAAAGCAAACATTACCGTTGTGTGGGCTCGGTTCAACGTGTGTCCAGATGAAAATGAAATATTGTATAACAACTCGGAACCCCACAATTCAGAAATTCACCAGCTTACAGGCAGCACGACAAATTGGGGGCCAGAGTGGCGAATATGCCATAAAAAAGAAAGTGTGCGAGTTACCCGTGTGGTACACCCAGGACATCTTATCTACTACGGTAATGTGAGACCGTTTGAGCATGACGACGACGACGACGACCGCGAATGGGTCATCTGCCCTTTCTCTTGCACTAAAAACGTGCACACATGAAGATGGTGTATTTGCGTCGATCACAAAGCCGGGGGTGTTGGCTGCATTGTGATAACGCGTGACCCTACGGCGCCGTTGCTAAAGTGCATGACGCAGGCAAGGAAAGCCTCCGGTTTCGGAGGGCACTTTTATTTACTTAATGAACAGAATGAATCAGTCCTACATTTGACATATTCCGAATATACAAGCGAATGAAGTATTGGCGACGCTAGTGCATCCAAAGGGTAGAAGACGACCAGGAATAAAGATAAAAGAGGACCTCAATCACGAAATTAAGCAACATACCGGAGGGTGAGAGGCGTGTGAGGACGGGCATTTCAATATTTTCCTCAACGTCGGGTGGCGAGGGTGACCGGAGTGCACTGGCAATGGGGCCTCCCTCCACGCTGGCGTGCCGGCTGAACGCAGCAGAGGTCTTCTCAACATCTCGGGGTGATGAACAGGAAGACGGTAAGCGACGACGACGCTGTTGGTGGCAGTGAGAGAGATTTACAGCCGCCGCAACGTTTTCAGGGAGTTCGTTGACGCCCACGTCAATTTCACCATCGCCATCACTCACGGAAATAGTTGTCCCGCTCTGGTGTAAAATCGACGGAGTCAGTGTTGGGTGAGGAGTCGGGGAAGGAGACACTTGGGGTGAATTCTTAATGTTATCCAGAATAAATTGCTCTTGATGCTGCTCTTGTTGTTGATAATCGCTGCACTGATGGTGAGATTGATGTTGAGGCAGCTGATTTCCATAGTACACCTGGCAGTTCGCCGAGTCCTCCTGATTGCCAAGTTGGACTAACTGCAAACGAAAACCACATGCCTGTTTTATGCGCTGTACCTTAAAGCACATTACAGCGACTAAATCGTGCTTAAACCTGAAAACGAGCACTAAGATTGTAAATACAAAAATTCTAATTCCAACCTATTCCACCTTTACCGTGGGCCTGACGTCAAACAATAGGGTCAGTGAGTCACTGCTGCTGGGGTAGGCTTGACCACCACGTATAAACATGTGCAAAATTATCGGCGAGTTTACAAGCGCAGTGAACCTTACACCGCACTAGTACCGGCGATGAGTTACAATGAATTTTACAATTGAGGACATCAGAAGTATCACTTGGGAATCTAATCGACTTTGAACTTGTTCCGAGGCCAAACACAAAACCTAAAATGATCCAACAAATTAACACTTGGGCATTAAAAATTATTGAAGATTTAACCTAGAGAACTTTCCACTTCGCTTCGACCTGAGATGAGTAAACAGGCCTAATCTAGAGTGCTTCCGTAAAAAAAGGGCAAATCCACTGAACGCACCTCACCCGAGGGCTGAATCTCTTGGCTGGCACAAAAGGCAACCCCTCGTTGATGATGCTCCTGAAGGCTTTGCAGAAGGAGTTGGTTAGCAACAACGAGGTTAGTTGGCATGGTGTGTTTCATCATGAGTTGGCGAAGAGCTGCCAAAGACGAGACTGCGGCCACAGCGGCTGCGGCGTTATTCACGGTCGACTGATGCTGCTGTTGAGGAGTAATCAGAGGGACAGCAGCAGCAGCAGCGGCAGCAGCTAGGTGGTGAGGAAGATGCTGAGGGCCGTTTGTGGTGGTGTAAGGGACGGGCTGAGGCGGAGGCATCAGGACAGCCACCTCATCGGGTCGATGCAGAGCAGTCGGGAAGTGACGGCGTTGCATCGTTGCAGCGTTGGCCGCGCCACCCGAACATTCAGACACGACTCCAGAAACCTGATTCATCAAGTATTCAATACTTGTCTAGAAGAGAATGAGCCACGAGATTTACTAAACAGCACACACACACACACACCCAGGTGAGCTACAATGAACACTACATTACTTGAGGTCAGTGACACACTAGATTACGAGTTTAAGTGAAACTACCAAAATCAAAACGATGATCGTCTGCATCCAATATTAAAACCATACCTGATTTATCCCTGCCGAGTAGTCGACGCCGGGCAAGTGCTGTGTTTGGTGGCCCGGGGGTAGAACGTATCTGTCTCCAAGTCCTGACTTTGCTGTGTATTGACTGGCAGCTAAAGCAGCAGCCGCGGCCAAGGCTGCGGCATTCATGGCCTGATCACTACTTCCGGACTGTGGCAGGGGCCTCGGCGGAGAGGCAACATTCGCTGCCATCATGGCGGACTGCATCATGAGCGCAGCAGCAGCGGCAGTGGCGGCGCTTTGCTGGGGCTGAGCCGCTTGGGGCGGGGGCTGTGGAGGCTGGCCGGTGTAGGGAGAGGCAGCGGCAATCAGGTGATCGTAAAAGCTGGAGGCATGACAATTGGGTGGCGGTGGCTGGGGGCGTAATGCACGCTGCTGCTGATAGTACGCGGGGGATGGGGGTTGCTGGGACGGGACGTAGTAAGCGGGTGGCGGCGGTTGCTGCTCAATAAGAGCTGGGTCAGTTGCAGCCGCTGGGGGTGGTGGTGGCGGTGGTGGTGGTGGCAAATAACCTCCAAAAGACAGGAGACGCTGATGAGCTGCAATGGCAGCTGCGGCCGCGGCCTGTTGAGCGGCAACAGCCTCATCTAGACGTGCTTGGGCGCGTTGCTGCGTTTGTTGATGAACGGCAGTCGCAGAAAGTTCAAGGCTGCGCTGACGACGGCAGGCCTCACTACAAACGCGCATGAGGGCCACCGATTCGTGTGTCCTAAAACACGCCGCGAAAGACGCCACTATAGATTCAACCCATTACAGTTAAGGGAAAAACTAAAAGGGTCTTAGGATGCAGTCCACAAAAAAACCGGAGGATTGTGAGTGGTTGTCTAGCACTTTATGGACTCTGGTATAAAAATATGAACCTGAGACAAATTGAAGCATTTTCATCGAAACAGAATAGCTAAATCCGGAATCGACCTCTACGCCGTTTCCGGATCCGACGTAAACAGGGCAGAGAATCCGAGACATCAACAATGGCATGCCGAAAGGTATTTGACTCGAAACTTAAAACTTCACAAAAGTAACAAGTCAAAACTCGGTTGAAGCATACCTTTTCCTAAATGGATATGCTTGTAGATAGGTCATTGTAATGAAGGAATGGGCCAAGGCGTTGTCGGGCAGGATGCGTTCAGAGGGACGTAATTTGAGCATTTGAGCCAGGAGTTGAGCAAAGTGGAACCGATCTTCCATCTCGATATCGGCATCAAAATCTTCGGGGCTGGAAGAACCACCAACTACCTTCCCACCTGAGGTTGTCAGCGAAACCTCACGGATCTGGTCGAGAGAGCTGAATATGTACTTTCGAGCTTCCTTAGCATGTTGTCCAGTTTCCAAAGCATACTCTTCCTGTGTCTTGAGGCGCCACTCGTAAGTGTATGTGTCACGCACGAAAAATCGACTTCCCTTGCCAGCCATCTTTAAGAGATCACGAGGGGGCATGCCTTGCGTCTCCACGATGTAACGAATCTACAATGGAGAAAAACCGGTGGTGTTTTGTTGTGAAATGACACCAATTTAAGACCACACGTCCCAATTACCTCAGGTCGAGAGGGAAAAAAATCCGAAAGTAAATAATTATGCTCTTTTGATTGGCATTATAGTTGTAGTTGCGAAGCTGATTGAGCAAACCAAACAGGTCGTTTACATCATTTGGTTAAAATTAAATACTATCTAGATGACGTGCTGTAAAGTTGAGGGCATAACTAAAGGAGGAACAGGCGTGTCCTACGTGACACCTGCAACATAGGTGTCTATTTCGACAACCGCGTGACCTTTTGTGACATAACACGACTATCAAAATGTAGCACAAGCGGATTAAGCGAAACGAGAAGATTGTGATAAAGCTATCCAGGCAACTAACCGTACACAGGCAGTGAACCATGTTATTACTTTTCCTACAGATTATAGGTTTAAGAAATAGTTTACACAGGTTGCACCACCCATAATCACGTGTGCATCATTCAAATCAACGTCGTATAAAGTCACAGCACGTGAAATAATATTGATGTCACCTATAAGTCCGGTGTAATTTCTTGAACGTACTATGTAAAGTTCACCGTTTCCTGCAGATATCTTTGATCTTTTACGACTTAAGCGTATACTTGCCGATGCATCATTAGGTGCAAAAATTAATGCGCATTCTCGTGCAAGCAAAATTGGAAAAATCACACCTGGAATTGACTCTAATCCAGGAGTGAACATGAATTCTACTCGTGAGATCAACAATCGCACGCAAACCCGAGCGATGCTGAAGTGGGATTTAAGATTAATCCTCGTTAAACAGACCGTTCAAGCTATTAATAGACTGTGTGCGTTTGTATGAAGTACAAAAACGGTCCATTTGATTGTTGCCGAGAGTAAGCTTGCGCAGTTGTGATTGAAGTCAAATTAGCAAACCTATGCGCGAAACTAAAGTGGGCATCAGTACTTAATTATCGCAAACAAGCTTTAGCAAATTTTACAGCCTTGCGTAAGCCAAGTTTCACTTAATTATACTTAATGAGGAAGTGACTATGATGCTCATGTGTAAAAGCGAGGTCAATAAGTTAAAGCAGACTTGACCGTCGGCGTTTTGCTAGCTTACGTCGGACGATTTGTCGAAAGATACGTAAACGTAACCACAAAAAAAAACAAAATTACCTGATCATACTCTGAAGACCCGGGATATAGTGGCCAACCGAGAAACAGCTCTGCAACGACACATCCAAGAGACCACATGTCAATCGCTTCGTTGAAAGGTAGTCCAAGAAGTATTTCAGGAGCCCGATAGTAGCGAGACTGGAGGTATGTGTTCTGGATGGCCTTAGAACTGTGACAGGCAGAACCAAAGTCAATGACCTTTACACGATACCGCATGACACCGTCGGTGGGGCAGACTAGCATTATGTTCTCGGGCTTTAAATCAGCATGAATCAGACCTAGAGTCTTCAGTTTCGAAAGAGCTGTCAGAACCTGTTGGGCGATAGGGCGAATCTCACGTAGAGCAAGCGGACGGAACTTGTTCGACTTAAGAAACTCGTACAGATTCTGTTCTAGGAGCTCAAACACCAAGCACATGTGATTCCTGTGCTGGAAGCATTCGATTGCACGAACAATATTGTAAGACTCTGTGTCTTGTTGGCTTAGGGTTTGGAGGATTTGGATCTCTACGTTGCCCTGACGCAGATACGAAGGATGATTTTTCAAGATCTTGATCGCCACAACTCTGTTGGATGTTCGGCATTGACACTTTACAACCTGTCCGAAAGTGCCACGACCAAGAAACGAAAGTACTTCATAACTTTCCGACATTGAGCGAAGAACCTCACCAACAACAATGTTGTAGTCACCTTCGCTCCCGACAGCACGAGAATTAGCTTTTAAAGTTGAGGTAGCAGAAACCTTGCTAGCTGTATTTGTCGACAGAGTTTTCGTGGTCGCGATTGCAGTATTCATCAAGGCGGCAGCATTAATGGAGTCATTCGAGGAAGAATTCATCGATACAACGTCAAAGCTGTTGGGTTGAGCCGGCAGCCCACAGACTCCATTACCACGCGATAGGTTCGCAAACGTTGTTGGTTGCGTGAAATTCGTGGATCGAGTACCGTTGCTCAAATGATTTAAAATATTCTGATTAAAATAGGTTGCCGCTTGGAGCATCGGTGGCATCATACCAACATGAGAAGGCATAGTCAGCAACGAATTTTTCGAAGAATAGGAAGCAGATTCATCAGTCCTTCTTTTCTTACTGTAGTGAGTTTGCTGAGATCGTTGACTCTGCTGTACATTAATGCCTGATCGAAATTCATGTGCAGTAAGAGAGAGATCATTGGCGCCGAAATTACGCGAAGCACTTGTGTGCTTCGTCATCTTTAACTTGTTTTCTTTATATATATGTCCGTTCAAGTTGTCATGTGCCAAGAAAGCTGCATCCTTCAATACGTTTGAAGTAGAAGGGTTAAAAACATTTTGATAGAGTCCTTGAGTTAAAAGGAATGAGTTGGATGAGTTAGGGAGCATCGGATGAGGCGTTTGAATAAAAGCCACTGATGGCGCGCCCTGAGTTGAAATACTTTTACTGCTTTTCTATAAATAAATGAAAAAAGAATGTTTTAAAGAAACTGAAGCAACACAAGTTTGAATACACTCGGGTCACCAAAACTAAAAAATTCCACACATAATGTCTTGACTTCCTAGCAAATGATGGGTAATTCAAACACCGATATTGAACACCAAGCTAATACTTTGTTGAATTAAAACTATTCCAAAGGCTAGCATTTAAACTCATGAAACGTGCCGCTACAGACCTGCATGCAGAGTTTTGAAGCTATAAAACTTGATAACTTGTAATTAGTTGAGATTAGCAATAACAATAAAAATGAATTGCTAATTACCAATTAACATTTAGTATTTAAACGAAAAACTTGCAATGAAATGTAAATCCAACAATATGAGCTACAAAAACACGACCTTAAAAGTAGGAATACTTAAATAGACTACACGATGTGTGATACAATTGCATAATGACAACTGACAGATCTAATATGAAAACTGGATTACACAAAAAAGGACTGAGAAAAGAAGAGCTAAGATCAATAGAAGATCGACAATTAATAACAGACGCAGGTATGCATCTGGATTAGAAGGCGTTTAAAAAGAGAAAACCTACAAGTAACACGACGGGAAAAAGTCATAAAGTGGAGTGGAATACATAAACCAAAGCATAAAGAGAAGATTACGAGAAAATACAAATCCCTCCTACGCTGAAAGAATAGGCAATGATTTAGTGAACATCGGGACCATCGCGTCAAATTATAAAGCGTTTTCGTATTTTTAAAGATGGAAGAAATGTTCGGATGATGATTAACTATAGATTTGTGGTTGCATTACCTCCATGAGAAGCTTTACTGTGACAATGTTTCAGACTTCAGCAAAACACAAGAACACAAATGGAGTCCAAGGCAAGGAAATGTAAGGTGAGGAAGCCAAAAAACGCATATACAAGAAACTCACAACCCGTAGACGACCAGCAGCTGACCAAGGTGCTGCTGACTTAAACAAAAGTTGTCATTTCAATCCTCGAGTCAGAACTACTTTTTGATAGGTTGAAATTAATTTTAAATCAGTTTTTATTGAATTTTTCGACACTTTTAAATGTATTAAGTCATTAGCCTAGCGCCATCGGAAAAAATGGCTTTAGAATTTAATGCATTATGATAATGTGAATCAAAGGAAAATACTAATGTGGTAATCATCTTATCCAGAGCAATTTTTCTCCTTTAACTCTTCTTAACTTCAATGCTCACATTAATAAAAGAAAACCAAGAATTCAAAGTTTTCGAACCCCTACACCTCCGGCATTTAAACATTTTTTGCTTAAGTTTCTTAAATTCCTCACTACAAAGCGTCATTTTTATTCCACATAAATTTAATCCATCGTTACAGATTGCCTTTAAGTTAGAATTCCACTAGATGAACCCTCTGTTTTCATTGAAAGCATTACTGGCTTCACTACGGCTAGGTATCAATTTAAATCAAATTAAGTACAAATCATTTCATTCCAAATCATACTAAATTGCCAGGAGAACCCGATCCCAGTGGCTTCTTTCGGTAAAAGTGCCTGCTTTCTCTGGAAGATGTTAGCATGTTTGGTATGACTGAACGGGGACGGCTGGGGAACATTGCAGAAACCCTCCACATGTATCAACAGGCAGAATTGTCTAAAACTCCAGAAGTTGATTGAGTTCTTCAGCCATGTAGTGTCAGAATCCAGACTGTCAATTGAACCTGACGTAGTCAGAGCAGTTAATGATTGACCCACCGAACCTCAACGGGTGAGGTGAGATCGTTCCTGAACCTCATTAGCTACCTCCGTTTTTTCATACCCGCGACCATCCAGATACCTTTCCCTATTACAGTAGCTAACAAAGTAAGGCAGATCCTTCGTACAAAAGTAAGAACGCGGAGTCGCTTTTTCACGGCTCCAGTAAGTGCTCATCTCAGGCCCAATTCTAATTTCCCACATCCTGGACCCCAACCACGACACTGGTGATGTTCAGTTGAATGGTGGAGCCTTACGACTCCAGAACCCATCCCAAGAATACCCACCCATGCTGCCAGTATCAACATCATTACTGCACACTCTAATAATTCCAACTGGGCAAAACTCTAAGAGACCAATAGAAGCCGTCGGCCAAGTACTTGAGAGATTAAAGCCTAGAAGCACACTTCTTATGATGCAGCCTCTTCCTCCTCGACGACGTACTTTACTTTCAATGCAACGCTCACTCATGTGACTGGTAGTCTCGCAATTGTTGTCACACTATGTACGCACGCACCCCCACAACCACTTTGCACATCAAGGTTTTTTGATCACTCAATCCATGACGCAACACACAGACATCGTTGGCTCACCTTGCCCAGTGTTTATCCCACTCCAACCTCGAGAAATTTCGACCAAAATCTCGACACCGACACCCCAAGTCCCCTCCCACAAAAAGTAAGGGCAATCGATATCTACTGTTCATCATAGACTTCTATCCCAAATGGATCAAGGCAGCACCACTCTACCCACAAAGCTGTGTTTTGCCGTCCTCAGGATCACTTTTTGTTGCATTAACGTAGGCAAATTAACAAATTGATTTTGTGCATCATAGATGCGAAAAGCGGTTCCAGAACATTCCCTTAATAATGGAGTCCACTGATATCTATAGGAATCCAAAATTCCTTGGGTTTTTGCGTTCAAAATTGTAATTATTGAGATGTTCCTCAATGTACAACATTTTTGATAAACCCTTCAGTATTTTAAATTTTTCTAAAAACCACATTTTTCCCATACTGAAATTCGCCTCCGCTCGAATTCGCTTGAACGTCTTTACATGTCTTCGCAAATCCACATGAATGAACGCGTGTTGCAAATCTTTCAATGTTAAAACCCTAACCAGTAATGTAAGTGACACAGAACCTTATTTAAGCCCTGACCACAATGAAACTGGCTACGGCAGAATTAGATTAAGCGATTTATGTATGATAAATCCGTCTACGTTGCTGCACATTATCATATATCCAAACAAATTCGTGGATAGAAAACATACCTGTGCAAATTTAATCTTAAGGCAAGACATCTAAACGAAAGTGGAATTAATCTTACAACTTTAAAATTTCCCTTTTCATAAATTATTACAAGATGTGCACCCAGCCATGTTTCCAGGAGAGTTACGTAGTTTAAGCTTGGTCTCATTTTAGACTCGGCTAAAAAAAATAACTTGAAACCAGAAGTTACAAGTTGATTAGGAGCTAACAGAGCATTTATAAGAGGAACCGGTATTTTGCACAAAATGAATTTTTAACAATAAGGTGGGATCGCATGATCGGAGAGGACTACGGCGGTACAAGAGCGCCTTGTGTGAAGCATTCCAAATTACGAGTAACTACAAAAGATAAGACAATGTGTGCCAATGACCCGAGTGATGCATTATTACTCTCACCTAGAAAAAAGGTCGGTTGAGGACGAATATCGATTCTAAAAGATTATGAATTCGACTGATCGATACTTTGATACTACTATTGGCACATTGGTTACTTTTAGCATTTAAACATATGCATGAGCTTGTGGCAACTCGTGCTAATTCAAGTTTTCCAAGTCTTCAGGGTATGTTAAGGAATCAAATCACGAAAAAGCATGTTCCTGTGGTTCAATCATTACCATAAGTAGTTATGCCACAGTCCAATCAAACTCGAACATTTTAACACTACACAAATGGAAGCTACATCATTGACCCCCCAAGAAGTGACCTTCCTTTATCACTCGTAGCAAAAAAATAGTCTTTCTTGGTTTGGTCTGAACATGAGTCATCCTTACGGTTTTTACCGAAGGTGAAAGGAAAACCTAGCACGATAATTACTTCGTCAATATTAGCCAAATTGCGTCAAAGAATGGAAATTATTAAAAAAACAGAATGGATTAGCGAGGAAATACTACTCGACGTTAAGTCTTAGTAATGTCGAGGAATAAATGAAAGCCACGTGAACCAATACCACCTGACCAGCGCATTAACATGTCTCCAAATCTCTTCCCCATCAACTCACTAAGATCCATGGCAGTTCCAGATCGAGATGACTTCATCAGACGTGTAACCTTATATGAAATGAAGCCTAAGTTGATGACAAAAGCTGGATGTAGGGGAATAATAGTGACATTTGCGGCGTAATATTATCAAATGCACGAATGACCATCGTTCAGACGTGTACCAGTTAGACGTCATCTCCTACTTTATGACATTTCATAGGAGCTCCTTGCGCTGTGTCGTGTTAGAGAATTACCGAACACTTGCCATGCACTTGTCGGTGGATATTAGGATTTCGAGCACACAGAACAAATAGCCAATGGAAAATAATGACATTTATGGCCCTTTGAGGAGGCTTACGCGATAATGTAAGACATGAAAACTGCTATACGTTCCATTTTTATGCATTATAACACATACTCAATCTGAAAAGATGAGTTAAAGTCCAAGTAATCACGAAAGAATATAATGGCTTTTAGAACAGTTAAGGCTATTTGGTTGCATAGTGAAATTCTATGCATGTTTTATGAAACAAAAAATCTAAAAAGAGCAGTCGGATTAATAGATAAGCAGAAACAAGAAGATAGAAGCACACGACAACAACTCAGAGTCTAGCTTAACGAATTCTCCTGAACTCACATAATATGGCATCCCTCTTAGTCAAACACTGCACCTAATTTTCTTCAGCTGAATACAGAACCTCACTATCGTCACTTTGATGAGTGTGAGAGGGCGAGCATTGGTGATTGTTCACATGTGGGCATTTCGTCGAGAGGAAAGCGGCTGAGTTATTAACAGCGTTTAGCAGACGAGTCATTTCATCTTCCATCTGCTCAAGTCGAGTTCGTAGTCGGGTGATCTCCGCGTCATCTAATGCGTACAAAAACATTCTAGAGCAGCTATGAAACCCAAATCTTCCTACACTTCTCCCACTTGTCTTCGCAAGAGGTATATTTGTATTAATCATGTGATGGCTCATTTATAGGGAAGAAAAAAAACATTGTAATAGCGCTGTTGTGCAGAAAATTGACCTGAAAGATTTAGTGTCTGAAGGTCTACACGTCAGCATCCGATAATGGATTGAAGTGGGGGTGGTTTTGAAAGTGACTCGATAAAAAACCAACCGGGATAACGGTTCACAGAAGTCCTCATAATTATCTTCAGCCGCGACTGCATCACATGTTACACTAGCCTAAAGTGCAAACATTGTTTTAAAAAAATTATGCGCAACAAATGCGCAAATGGAAACTCATTAAGAAGACTGATTTTCGCGAATTTCAAAAAAAAATTAAACTGATTGTTAGCTTCCCACTTAAATGCATGTAACAAGTGGAATTTATACAGAAAACAAAAAGTGATTAGTAGACACTCACCCAACTTATCTTCATCTGCCTTTTTTAACAAATATTCCAGGTCCTTTGGGAGGCTTGCCACAGAACGGTAGATATCTGGCGACTCGATGGAGCCGTTTGGAATCGGAGACCACCCAAAGTTATCTGAACCAAAACAAGTTCTATGACCTTCTGTAAGGAGATTTCGAAAAAAACGTTATTAGACTTACATTTTTTTCGAACTTTGCGGTCATTACCACCACTTTCTTCAGAAGAGGAATCACTATCCATTAAGAATTTTCCCTTTTTTGGAACATAACGGAAATTGCGATAGTAATCTTTCAAATAGCTTTCCTTTTTCGTTTCACTTACTTTTTTCCGATTGCCAATGAGCTAAAAATAAAGTCCAGAAATGACATGAAGATTTAACTTGATTTGAAGACTTTGCACCAAACACAGCTGGGTCCTACGTGTTTAAAAAATAATACGTGAAATTCCCAATAAAAATCTTTCTGATGTAGTTAAAAACCACCGTACACGTCGTAAATCTCTACCTACATCCCAAGGTAGCCCCATATCAATTGTAATCTAAAAATATTTGGGAGCAACATAAAACTTGAAATAATTTGCAGAATAATTTAAGAAATTGTCAGGGACATTAGAAAGAGACAAAGCAATTTGTTAATTGGACTTAACTTTGCACAAAAAGTAGACCTCAAAAATGGCTCGCGCGATGTTTACATTTTGGTAGTGTCTACGCAAATTTTCGTTGTGGTAGGATAAAAAAATAATGATGGCGATTTAATAGAAAAGTGAAAAAATGCGCTGGATGAGAAATTGTAGGGTTGCAGTATGTCAAGTCGATTAAGAAAATATTTAGGCTAAATCATATAGGTGGAGTCAATTACTGAAATTTTCTAGGTTCTAAAAACTGCCCTCACATAAACCTTCAAGGTAACTACAACAGATCTTGCCAGTGTTGATATATATCGACAAAATTGTTTACAAAAATCTCATCTTGCCTACTCATTTGGCTGAGACAGTAAAAGTTTTTTTTTCGTACAAAATTATGACTCCGCACTTGGAGGGTGTGAAATTTGCAACAGATTACACACTTTAAAAATGGAGCATGATAGAAACGTAGCAAAGAAATTATACCGAGATACATTGGAGAATTACGATGAGGACAGCCTACCAATTAAGACAATAAACCGAATCCTAAGTGCATGCCACAAACATTACCTTTATTATTGTATACAAGAAATACAGAAAAATTCCACAGGCATAAAACGGAAGAATTGTGGCGACAATCCCCGAGTGCTTTTTCTCCTTTTTGGTTGCAGTAGCGTATCTTTGAAAAGAGCCTGACTCTGACTAAAAAAATTATTCGAAATTCTACCCAAACCTGCAATTTTGGTTTTTGATGGTTAACGCTTTGAGCTAAAATAATATTAGCAATGGGGTTTTCGAAAGAGCAACATACAAATACCAGGTTGTTGGAACCCAAAAATATAAAAGATTGCAGGCTGAATAACAAAAATGTACGATACACAGAAAATCAGGCAGGTTAGAGCAGGAATGAGGAAATTCGAAGAAGAAATAGCCATCATCAAAAACTGTATTCAACGGCAAGGTTATGCAAGAGAAAACGAGCGAATGAAACTCAAAGGTTAAAACAAACACATTAAAATTTCCCAATTATATCGAGTAACTTTTAATTCAAAAACTCAAAATGCTTTATGAAAAATTAAACTTCAGTAATTAACCTAAACACAACACTACGACTGACAAAGGTTGTAATTCCTGTGAAAACAAACAAATGGTGATGTTTCACTAGGTTGGTGGGTGGTTTTTTGGGAATTGCAAAAATAATTTCCTAAATTACAATTATCTGCGATAGATCTCACTTTATTTTTTGTGTATATTGAAAATGAGTCAATTATTTTAATCTTGATAAACTATTTTAGCTTAAACACAATTCATCTTATCAACTGAAGCAGGTGAACTATTCGCTTTGCCTTGCCAATGAGAAAGGGACATCGCATTTTCCCTGCGTGAACTCTAATTAAAAAAAATTACTTGAGAAAAAAATGATGAAATGGGTACTCGTTGTTAGCAACCAAAACGTTATATATCTCAGAATGAGAACACACCGAAAACACTTATTTCATTACAAAAAACCCCCACATACTTAAGTAATTGTGTTTTTGAACGTAATGATTAATTTTTTAAACTTATGGCTAACTTTTCAAAGTTAATATGCATAATGTCGCTAAGTTTATCGTGATACATTGGGGCATTTGCTCGGTTATCCACCCAGGTTACCGATGTTGACGGCGCTTAATTCAAGTACACCAACTGTGACGCGCGCCATTCGACCCACACACGCCGGTCTGGCCTGTTCTTTGTCCTCCTCTCCCTTCCCGCACTCTCGCCTTCCTCAAGGCACGCCCGTGAGTCCGAGGGCAACGCCAACCGTCCTCGCGGCCATCCCTTTCCCCACTCCAACTCTCCCAAAGCTCTTGCCCTCTGAGTTTGTATGCGGTAGTATGGCATACATCCGGTTCTTCCAGCTATTCTTCTATCGTATGCCTGGTAGCTAACCACGATGGTGTGGCTATCTAGGAGGGACGGGCAAATGGTCATCTCCCTATTTAGGTCTCCGCTCGGTAGGCACGTTACACGACTTAGAGACCGGCCGATAAAGTAACGCATTATACAATATTACAGGTCTTCGCAATGCATTTATGTCCCATACGGTTTACCGATAGAATTTGCGCGCATGAGTCAAAAAAGAGAGCTTGCAATGGCAAGATATTTAGCAGCCATTACACCATAATGAGGCCACACACAATCTACTGCCAAATATTATATCATGATAAAGTATTACAGTAGTAAAAACATAAGGTAGAGGGCTGGGTCATAAGAACAGATAATACAAATGAGAATTATCGATTAGAGTTGAATGTTGCAAGGGTGATGCAGATCAAGAGGAACGTCGGTGCTGTGGAAACCACTGTCACCGCTGGCCCGAGAATCAAAATCACGTCGCAATGAGTACTGATTGTAGGAATGACATGCTCCAGGCCTTCCTCCGCCTTTCTGTCCCGAGCGAGACAACGATTGGTAGGCGGCCACACCTCGATGGCACGGGGGACTTTTTACTACAAAAGGGCAAACCTAGAAACTGTTCCAAATAATCATGTTTTACCCTACTTTTAGAGGTAAATAATTACACTTGAATTGTGACGCAGAAGTTGCATTAGGAGTGCTAACGGTGTGATTGAAAAAAATGTCCAGTAATGTTTGCCAATTCGCCCATTAAATAAACAGATATTCAGTGGGTCAATTCATTGTACTGACACTTTTTTATTTCTAGGAAAATCACAACTAAATATCAATGCACATAAACAATACCTGCACAACTTACTACTTAATTGTCTCTTATCACTATCTGGTGTACTACAAGTACCACTTCGTATGTGCTATTTCGAGGTTGTCAATCACAAGAAGTGCGATGGATTGTTGGGCAAAAATGCAGATTTTCTGGGGGAATGACAATTTCGTGGCAGTAGCGCATGCAGAAATTCGAGCAATACAAATCACAACACTAATACGAAACAGAGCGATGCGAGTTAAACGAGATGAAGGGTTAGACGGGGCAGCGGGTGAGGGTGACGGGAACAAAACTCACCGGCACTGTCGAAAGGCTTGGGCTCCAGTTACTGGACAACTGAAGGCAAAAACCAACATCATATTTTAGAGCTAAAGCAACTTGTGCCAGAGTGAACACAGTCATGGGGCCAGGCCTGCTCCAATCGAGCAGTTACGGGCCTAGGGTGGAAACGGTGGCGCAGGTGCACGGTGTAGAGGCACGGCTGCGGTTTCAGTACTAGCATTCGGATATGTCACCCCAATGTGTGTCAAGACTGCATTTATTACTAAATTCGTACAAAGGCAATAAGAAGTAATTATAGGAGATGCGAAATCAGGAACTCACCTGACGACAAAAGAGGCTTCTGGACGAACGCAGGCCTGTGGACGGGAAGAGGAGTGAAAAATTGGGGGAAGCGGAGGTTGGGAGGCCCGGGCGGCATGAAAGGGGGCGACACAAAGGGCAGCGGGGATTGAGGGTAGAAGGAGGGGGCCTTTTGGTCTCCCACGAGGAATCGACGCACACCGAGGCTTATCATGTTGCCCCCGGCTTGAATTATCTCGACTGCGCGCCGGTGCGACATACCAGTCGTGGTGTAACCGTTGATTTGCAATAGTTCATCGCCGACCTGCACACACAATAACAGGGCAGTGAAGAGGAGAAGAAGAGTGAAAATCACAGGATTGTCTGGGCCACACGGACACCACACACTACTAGTACGTGCGTGGTCAATTACACCGGTGTAGTTAATGCAACATAAACTGCTAAAAGAAAGAAGAACACCCCAATTGTCGAGCCGAAATCACAGAACGCTTCCGACACAGCACCGAGGGTACTAGTGCATGTGTTAGTTGAGCACACGAATATTAGAAGTAGTAGCCCAGGATATAATTTAAAACACCCTACCGAATCGCCACGTTAAATGAGTCGCCGAGGGCAAAGAGCGGCTCGTCAGAATTTGAGACAAATTCACCCACAAAGCCCGAAATAAACACAGACATCAAAACGGAATGGCCACACAAGGACAAATACCAAGCCTCGTGCATAAAAAGCCGGAATGTAGATGTGGACGTACCTTGAGGCGACCGTCCAGATGAGCCGGACCGCCCTCAGCCACGCGCAGAACAGTGAGCGGCATCTGATTGAACTCGTGGCCTCCACGGATGGAAAAACCGAAGCCCCGATTGGAACGAAACAGAGTCACCTGAAAGAACACGGCCTGTCGGCTCGGGCAGGCCATTCGCGTCTGGTGATGCTCGTAGGTCGGAATCGCTGGTTGGTAAAAAATAAAACACGTGGAGGTTATTACTGACGAAATACTTTACAAGGCGTCAGTTGAGGTGGAATGCTGTCTATGCGATGGTCATTTCAGATCTACAGATGTTTTCTAAGACCAGGGTATCCGACGTAAGCATAGACGGGGACTTACGGGTATGAGGAAGGACTGTGAGCGCAACCTGAGTGCCGCTGTCTTTGATGAGTCGAATGACGTCCTCATGTCGAAGCCCGGTGACACTGACCCCGTTCACGGACAGGAGACGATCGCCCACACGCAGGAGACGCGACCTCTCCGACGCGCTTCCAGGTAGCACTCGAGCTAAAGTAAAAACGCCCAGCGATAACCAAGAAAGACAAGTTGGCTGCGACACTGTTGGTGCAGATGTTCATAAAAGTTTTGCGCAAAAAGCGCCTTTAAAAGCAAAATTAGAAGTAAAACGGAAAGAAAAGTGCCTAAACGGAACTGAGTCATAACAATGCCTCCATGGTGCAAGAAACCAATCGAGAAAATCAAAGCAGATACGCACAAATAAAGTGCTCCAGGGGTTTGCTGCTGCCATCGCCCTGGGCCCGACCGGACACACTCGTTGTTGATTTCGACAGAGGCGGTGGGTAGGCGAGGACAAAGCCGAAACCCTCCTCGTCCGGTGCGCGGTGGAGGACGGCGTGTCGCACAGCCGACGACGCCAGACGCCGGGCCTCGTTCGCCTCGGTCGGTCGGCTATCACGCTGGCCGGCAAAGAGGGGCGGGGGGAGGGAGGGAACAAAAAAGCAACTGATCAAAATCGTCATGCCCAACAGGACGCCGACTTGGTGCTAGGTACACGGCGGCGTGGTTGCAATGGTGTCCGGCAATTAGTTGGAACAAAAGCGAAAAAAACATTGCTGCTGCACTTGGAGCAAATAAGACAGATTGATCAAACCGCGATTGTGAAACCAGTTAAACACGAATCCAGATAGAATTGGTTTGTGGTTTCTCATGAACGTTGCTTAATGGGTTGAGACTGCAATTCAACTAATTTTGACCCGGTAAATCCCACTAGCCAAAAAATAGGGTCAATGAAATGGCATTACACGATAAAAAGAAGGAATGATAAGATTAAAGGTACGATTAAAGACAAGGTCTGATGTGTAGGCGAAAGGCGATCTGAACTTGCTTCAACGGTTGTCATGGGAGATAACATTGGGCGAAGACTGCCTTCCATGATAAAAAACAGGATATGGTGGTCTTGCGTTAGAAATATCCCCCATCAAATGAACATGGATGGTGACTTGGGCCTGGCATGTGTTTCTGTTTGAAGGTTGAAACGTGAAATTGGGATTTGAGTTCACAAAAGCAAATTAAAGCAGTGACCTCGTCCCTAACATCCTCCTAAATTACGACCTGCGACACACAAACGACGTGGAGAGCTATTCGGACGACACGGGATAGACAGCACAAGCACAAGTGGGACAGGGGGCTTACGGTTGGAGGTGCCGTGGGACGCCACAGTCCGAGGGTGACCTCGGTGTCACACTCCTGCTCGAGAAGAGCGAGGGCCCTGGCGTGGCTGCCGCCATAGACTCGCTCGCCGTTCACCGAGACGAGGTGGTCGCCGGGACGAATCAGACCCGACTTCTCCGCCGCCCCACCCGGCATCAGCTGACCTATTGTCACCTAAAAAGGTCACAACAACGCGAAGTGTAGCAACTCGACTCAATGGGAGTACAGTACGCTCAGGTCGATGTGTCTTTCGTGGTGCGCTCTGGTCGTGCATAACGCAAGACGCATTGTTTTGGCATAAGTAATTGGGGCAAATGACCCAGATGGAGTGGATTCAATCCAGATTAGAAAAGAGGCCAAACGCCAGGAGATGCGCGTGAGTTGCGCAGACCGGTTGCCGGCAGGCGCGTGTGAATTTGTAACTGTGAGGTGGTGTGTGCATGGTCATTTCACTCAACATAAAAGACACGAGGTTGTCGACCAGCTGTTAACAACTGGTGTTCGCACTCAATCCTCCCACGATACCACAGTGTACCCACAACCTACATTTCAAGTTCGCAAACACGTTTCAGGGAGGTTTTCAGGTAGGCGATAGGGAGTCGAAAACAACCCAAAAAACCATTCCAAAGTAGGAACATGAGCTGCCAAAGTGTCCATTAACAAAGACAGGCGTAAATCAACACACACCAGCGCCAACCTTTGCAGCACACTGTTCAAGGTGAAGGGCCGAGGCCGTGCGAGGCCACACCAGGTGTGCGCGCTCACGCCTGGAAAGTGAACACGACGTCGCCACAACATTTCCACACGAATTTCAGCCGTCACAGCGAAGTCCCGCGTGCAGGTGAGGCTGTGAGTGTGTTCGGCCCGGCTATAAAGTGGCCAGTGGGACCTTCTGGCTACGCAAATGGCGTCGAAAAAGCCACATTTTCGAGCAATGGGGGTAATTTAATTCATCTGGTCGCCTAATTCGGAGCATCTGAGGCCGGCTGCTGCCAGCGCTCCCACAGGAGCATGACTCGATTGTTACAGAATTTTCAGCAAATTTAATTAATATAAAAAAAATAGAGAACAGCAAATTTAATCATGGTCGTCGTTTTCCTTGACCTCGTGCCATCTCCCAGCTAACGCACGAATGCAGGCTTCGAGGCAATAAAGTCATAATCGACGAATTTGTGCACGTCGTCCAAAGTTTTAAACTGTTTATTCACTAAGGCGCTCTGCTGCTGCACTGACCGGGGCAAATGGTAGACGGAAGAGGCCAAGTGTGGTGAATGTGCCGCGTATGGGGGGGGGGCGCTTCCCATTCTAAGTTCAAAAGGGCCTTCTGAGGCGCGCGAGCAACGCAAGGTTGAGCGTCGTGGGGAGACCCAACTTCCAAGTTCTTGAATTTTTCCCATTTGGTGGACGACTCCTAACTGGTGTGTCCGCGTTGAGTCTCCATCCAACACAGCTCTCAATTGCGCATCTTCAAACTTCTAAGGCTGCCTTCCTGGGTGCAGTTATTCACTAAGATCGAGATCACCACTTCTGAAACATTTGTACCAATAACCACACGTTTCATAAAACACAACGTCGACAGCACCAAGAGCATCACAAATTGACTCCCGTATTTCAGAAGCATTTTTTTCCTTTTTGAAATTCGCATAAAATGTAGTGCCATCGAATGAGCTGTTTATCAGTTGCCATCGTTAACTCTGTCATTCTGACAGGTTATGTAACTCACATCGACTTGTCGTTCGGTGTTTTGAAACCTCGCGTGAGATCCCTTCAAAACCACAAAAGACCGCGAAAATATTTCTATTTTAGATACAATTTTAGGCTCGAAGAAAAAATCGGAAAAACTAAGTCGCGCACCTAATACTTTGACGTATTTTCACCGTGCCTTGCTAATTTTTAAAGCAAGCGATAAGTTAGCATTCTGAACCAGAAACAAATGTGAATGACCCAGTTTATGCTGGTGTAATCTCTCATTTGGATGCCCCCAAGAACGCTCGACTGACCTGAGTGCCTTCTTCAGAGCCGCCGAGAATCTTGAAACCGAAACCGTTCGCCTCCCGACGCAGACACACCAGGAATTCGCCGAGAGGGTGAGGAGGTCCGTGTGCATTTCTAGGCAGGGATGCGTAGTTGGGATTCAGTTGCAGCACATGTCCACTTCCAGATGGGTTATCTGGGGACGAGATAGCAATTAAAAACACTGGTTTTTACGACACTTTAACATCGTGGAGAGGGAGAACGCATACGCTTTGCGTACCCCCCTCAAACCCTTAAATGTAACTGCCAAAACTTATAACGAGGACTATCCCGGTAGACTGTGATTAATTAAGACTAATACGAACTTGAATTGGCAAATAGGGAATCTAGGTTTAACCAGCAAAGCCCAACATATACGATTAAAGCAATTTGTAGGACCCACTTCGGGAGAGACCCTGTTGCATACAGTAGGCATCGAAATCAGTCCCACCGTAGCGCTTGAGGCCGCCTCCAAAGGCGGCGGGAACGAGGGAACCGGGAGGAGCGGCCATCGAGGGGGACTGCAGAGTGAGGGAAGGCGACCGGCATAGATCCAGCCCGGAGAGCGACTCACCGAGGCTGTAGATGCAGTCCGAGCTACTCCCCATCACAGCAGTGCCGCCGCCTCCTCCGGATGAGGCCAGTCGGGAGTTATGCGAATCCCCGGGTCCCGGGGTCCTCGATCGATATCTACTCGACCCGGCGGAGGTCACACTCTGCACCTGAAAGGCAAGCAGACAAAAGATTAGCGCACGAAGCAAATTGCCACATGGGTAATCTAGGCCGGGACACCTTTGTAGTTGTCTTAACCAAAAAACCAAGTAAATCAAGGGGCACACGACAGAGTTCCACGACAACTCAGACCGCCAAACAGTCGGTGCGAGGTGATATGAATGATTAAATGCGAGTAAGCGGCTGTAGGAAGTCATTACATGACCATTGCTGAAAAAGGACCTTTAGTAAGCCTCCAACATTTCTCACACACGAGACTAGTGGATCGAATAGAACGGTTTAACTGAACAGGGAGGAGGCAAAAAGGCACCGCGGCTTGGGACGTTTCAGGGGCCTGTGACAAAGACACTCCCAGGGGCTTCATCCTCCGACCAGGCCCTTCCTGTGGGTCTGCTCAAATCACGTTAGGAGGTAGGAGCAAATGGGCGTAAACAGAGTGACTCAATCATCAAAGCCTAGCACAAAAAAAAACACTTGCATCGCGGCCGTAGCGACAGCACAGAGGTGTTTTTAAGCGGAGCAAACTAAAAGGCCAAACTGCCAGGTCGCCGGAACAAATACATTGTGAATTTTAACTGGGTAAAAACAGAACACTCCTCATTGACAACGTATGAAAGTTAGTAGAATTTTTGAAAAAAAAATGACATGGGAACTGAACACGAGAGGACAGCGGTAAGTTAACTTTTTCACCATTTCTAACCTCATGAAATTTTGACTGCAGCAATCAGGTTAGAAAGCAAGCTTTCTAGAAACCCGTGTGGACGATTCGATTTAGTACACACGCAGAGATGGGTTAAAAAACTACAACCAGTGCCGTAAAATTTTGCACAACACCAGTGTCAAACCAATTTGGTACTAAAGAGAACACAGCTTCAACACCTTAGCGTATTCCCATGGCTCACGGAAAGAAAAAAAGGTGCTTTGGAGCATGCGCGGGGTCACATACACCCAAGCCTAGCCACAACTTGACGATACGCCAGGAGTCAAATAATGACGAGGTCACGGCAAACAACGACGACTTTCAAAAGCCAGGCAGTCGAAATATAAATGGGGTCAAAAAAACCAAACCAATGTGATGTTCAGCAGGCGAAATTAATCCCGTCATCGCCCTCAACTTGGTGTGTGACTAGAAAGCCAGTCGACTGGTACGGTAATCACAAAAAGAAGCCGACATGACAGAGGCAGAGAGAGCGCGCACCAAATTAGACCGCCCTCTGGTGCTTGGCAGACCAACTTCAATTAGGCTGTCAAAATTGTAGCCAGAGTAAATACAAGTGAACAGAACTAACCAACTACAAATCGGCAAAACGTCTTTTTTGCAACCAAAGCGGCTTCACAAAATCAAATATAGCATCTATGTCAGCGGAAGCTTAAGAAGAGCTACAAGGAATCAAGGAAACATAATCACGAAAATGCCCTATGGGCAAAGGTAGCAAATGTTGCGTGGCTTGTAGTAGCAATGCTAGAAGTCTGACACGTTACATTTATACCCGATGTACGAAGGCCAAACCAATGAGAGGAGGAATGGAGGATGACATAAGTTGAACCCCCTGGGAAATAAAAAGTCCCCTGAAGTGAATGTCAGAGGCTGGAAGGCCATTCAAGAGAACTAGAATGCAGGAGAGACATGCTCTTACTAGCAAACTTACCATACTGCAGTCGACGGGCTGACAAACGGGATAGAAACTGTTTGTAGGTGAAAAATCGTTGCAGGTACCATCTACAAAGCAGAAGTGCAACAAACCGTTTCATTATGCGTACGACAAACAAATTTCAAGTTGGGTTAGGAGGTCTGGTGCCATATACGGTCACACGCACATGTACATGAGCAATACCGGGTTATGAGTAGCAGCTCACGATGGGAATAATTTAGCCGAAGTGAAGGGAACGGTTTTAATTGGATATGCAATTTGTCGAGAAACAGCCTGGCTACTGCGCACATGACTAAGCCCCCAATTTGACTCATCAAAGGTTTGGCTTTAAGAAATCAGGAGCTGAGAAAACTCTCAGACGAGACTCAGAGAAGTCAGTAATCGTGAGGACTGAACGGAGAGCACTCAAAAGGGTGAGTCACGTTTACTTTTAATAGATATTTGAAAACAAAACTTACATATGCCGTTGGGGGAGTCGCAAGTGGATATCCTCTACAAAAAGGACACAAAATAATAAGGAAATTTGACGCCAGAGCCCACAATCGGCAGTGCTTATTACCTCTGGTGAACTAAGCAAATGGCGGCACCTTATCCGTGAGTGAAATAAACTTACAGTGAAATTTGGGTTAAAGTCTGAGTCCAGATGGTTTTTCTTTGTCGAATTCGGTAGACCTACAAGAAATCAATTAACCCACAAGTACATCAATCGTTTTGGGTTAACTGGGTAATACCTTTACATGGTAGTACCACTACTCAACTAAGCAGAGTAAAGTACACAATGTAGAAAACCAACGACAGAAGCGGTGTAAATTAAAATCCGCATACACATGCAAAATGATTTTGGCTTAAAAGCGTTTTCGGTGTTCCGAGAATCAGAAAAAGAACACAAACCCACCACTACCTCCATTTTATACAGGATAGGGACAAAAAGTGTCGTTAACAAGTTGTTGTGTAACTGGTGCACGGAACTGGTGACCGCATTCAGACACCAGAAGTTGAATCCCAGGTTTGCCGTAGTGAACTCTCATAGGTGGCAGTATTACGGAAGGCATAAAGCCCTGCACTTTCACAACTACGCGACACCATAACCTCCCTCCAACACGCTAAGCAAGTGAATACATGCTCTGTGGCGAGTGCGTGATGGCGCCTTGGCCAAGTCAATCCTAAAACAGGCGCCAAAAAAACTCAATTGAACACCTCACGAAAAATGCGTGTTAGGCCGTGTCCACGACCACCGAGAAGAAAGTCGAAAGGGTCGCCAACGCAGAAACGGAACAAACAGCGCCACACTAATTGTAGAGGAGCGTTTGGGGCAAGCGCAACGGCAGAAGCGACTACCTGAATGACGCACGTACATGGTCACAGCGTCAAACCACTCCAATTTTTATAACCGTTCCTGTCACAACTCACAGAACGTAGAAATCCATGACACCCAGAAAATATCCCATACAAAGTAAGCGAGTTAAAGCATGCTCAATCACGGGAAAATCACTCATGTGAATTTGGACAAACATCTGATTAAAAGTTTAAACAATGTTGAGGAGTAGGGGAGTTATACCTCTTTGGATGAGAAATTTGGTCGGTTTGGCAACCGGACAGGCCTTGAGGAGTTGGACAACTTCCACGTGCGATGCATCCTTCACCCACTTATCGTTTACTTCGACGATCACGTCGCCGATGCGCAGACCCGTCGGCTCGATGACCTCCTTGACACGCTGGCCCTGAGCCTGGTCCGCCAGGGTGAAACCGAAGCCGTTGGCCTTCTTCACAACGCTCACCTGGACGAACTCGAAGCGCTGCGACTGGTGCTGCCGAGGCGACAGCGGCAACGGCGGCTCTCCCGACAGTTGACTGATGGTGGGCGAGGTGTTGAGACGCCGAATGCACAGCTCTGGCGGCGCGAAGGGCACGCTTCTATCAGCTGTGCGGTAAGTCTCCATTACGGGCAGGGCGTACTTCGTTTGGGGCTGAAGCATAACACCAATACTGCCGTTAAAGGCAATTCAAACGAGAGAGGTTAAAAACGCTGACCACAATTATTCGTAGAACACGATTGAAAATAGTACAAATGAAGGGCCAAGGGGAGGAAAAATTAACCACAAAAGTGAAGTTCGGCTGGCGTGAGACGACAAGGGTGAAATGCTACCTGTTTCTTCTGACCATCGAAGCAGTTTCCGTTGCTGAGCGTGTAGCCCTGGCTGACGGTGAGGGAGACGGTGTTGCCAACGGGTATTGACTGGAAGAGAGAGACAATCTCGTCGTGCGAGAACCCGAGGACGTTCACACCGTTGGCGGAAACCAGCACATTGCCGACCGATAAGGTTCCCTCCAGGGCTGCTGATCCTCCGGGTATCAGATTTTTTACCTTAGTGAAAAACGTTGATGCAGTAATCTTCTGCCGAAGGCGACTTCAAACACAATTTGCATTTTGCCTAAGGAGCGTGCTCCGATATCTGATCTGGACCCATAAATGCTCACCTGGAGAAACCCCGGTTGGCTGGGACTGGACCCGCCCACGATTGTGAACCCAAAACCCTTGGGGCCCTTGACAAGAACGGCCGTGGTGAGGGGTCCTCGGAGTTGGGAGACGTCGGTGGTGAACCTGTCAGTGGCTGGAAGCCGGCCGCTGGAGGAATCGGCAGCCGCCGTCACAGCTCGCTGCTGATCGTTATCGACGGAGAAGGTCGAGGCGGTGGAGGACGAACTGCCAGCGGCCTCCAGACGTGCCGCCTCCTCGAAGTCGGCCTGCGTCGGTGGTTCGTACTGCGTCTTCTGGTGGATGTGGTCCACGTAAAAGAGACCGTACTCCGGGTGGTCAATTACCTCCCACCCGTTGGGTAGCGGCACCGATGGTGCGTTCCTACGTTGACTCTTAAATATCACCAACAATTAGTCGGATTGGTCCGGGGGCCAAGAAATGACATGGTGTGCACCACTTTACTTGAAGTTCACAAGCCAGGACCACTAGTAATTTCCGTGGGAACATAATCTAAATGCCAGCGAGGGCAAACGTAAACCCATATGGATTCTAAATATTGGATAATTATTCAGTTATTTTCAATCTTGAATGAGGCTAGGTTGTGGATTTGACGGTGATAATAAACAATGAAAAGGTTTTTTCGATTTATGGGCAATAAACATGACAAAGACGATAGAATTAGAGCAGGTGTCAATGGAGCGAGCGAGTTATACAACCAGACATACATCGTCATCACACGATGACTGTGACAACGTGTCGACGGGCACGGTGTTGTCGTCATTGGTGCTGTTTGGGCCGGGGGATCGGTTGTCGCAGCCAACGGGACTCCTCCGCCTCCGTTCGACGTTGAGAACCGTGGAGGAGGGATCCGGCCGTGGCGTGCCGTAGTGGTTGCCTACAGAGAAAAAACACAAGAATGCGTAGACCATGACGCCAACACCCCCTGTGATCCCAACAAGATAGCTGCATGCGTGAAGGCTACGCTATGATTCGAATCGATTCAACGCACTGCATTGCGGCATTTCAGGGCATGGAAGGTTACGTATTCTAGAAGGGAAATTTTAGGCAACGCTTTTGCATATTCCTATGATTTAAAGAGTCATCTCCACAGAATTCGACAAAATTAAGGATTTGTGAAGGAAAGACAGTCGTCAAACCTACAAAATACAATGCGAAGTTGAGGCAAACACCGCACAAACGCGGGGGATGCGCTTTAAGGCGATCCGCGTAAAGGAGGTAATAGATCAGGGCATTGCGTGAGGCGACAAATGAAGCATGCAAGACACTCGAACGGAGAGTTGGTGTTGCTCTAGGTCTTAGAGACACTACATGTTTCGCAGTAAGCTTAACAACGCCTCGCAGGGGGCAGGGGAAGTAAAGAACGGGAATGTCGACAGTTGGCAAAGGACGAACGAAATGACGGAAAGTAAGAAATCGCCAAGCACAGGGAAAGATCTCAAGTATCTGACCAGGTGGTAGAAAGTGAACAAACGCAGGCAACAAGAAGGCGTCAAAAATAGCACTTGCAATGAGGCACAAATAAGTGAAAACTATGCTGGAAAATCATCCCCATTTACTTAACCTATGCTGGACATTTTGGTGAACCACCAAGTACTTCAACGTCAAATAACAACTAATGCCGTAAAATTGATTTGGCAGCTTCCATAATTAACTGACGCCCCGCCAACGGAACGAGGTTTAAGAATACCTCACAAATGTGAATCTACATTCAGCAATAGCCAAGCCCAATCTTAGCCACAGAAAAGGTCCAGCTGAGCGCCAGCTCCACAGGTGAGGTACTAGAAATTTGCATCGGCAATAGCTCCTGTGAGTTAACGCCAAATTAAAGGGTCGAAAACATTATTTTTAAGCAAACAGAGAAACATTTGCAGCACCAAAACGAAGGTAGAAGTAAATTGGGTGATTAGAGTTACAGAAATCTGGGATACAGGAACAGGGATCACCTTTGTAGATTCCACTTTCAATTAACTGGCCCGATTTCTCCAAAGCAAGAAAGTGGTCCACGCCAAGAAACTGGTAGTCGACACCGTCCCGTTCTTCCGGTCTCGGAGCACGTGTTGTGCCTAGGAATGCAATTTAAATGTGACTCCGTGAGTTACGTATCAAAGGACTGGTAGACACACTCATTAGCCTAGGTTCATTAAGTTTATTTGAAGAGATTGGACGTAAATTGTTCGAATTTCGGGAATCGAAAATTACAAGTACATCCTATTGTCCTGGTAATAATAACATCTTCTGTTTCCTTAAAACCAAAACTATCACGGTGAAACTAGCACAAAATTAACTGTAACCCTATAAATACTATAATGGAGAACAATGAAATGCACGTGCCTTCACACTAAATACCTATCTAAGCCAAGAAAAAATACGAGTGTGGAATGGAAGGTACCTACAAAGCCCTCAACTCAAATATCCTTAGTTAAGATAAAGTTCAATTTTACAAGCTCGACCTTGGGGAATTTGAACTGGCTTGCTACAGAGGTTGCCAAATGGGCAGAATTACATTACCAAGGTAAAAAACATACATGGAACGACGCGTTGATAGATATTATTCCGAGTGACCTCCTGCAAAAGGAATTCAGGCGTTCCGACCTGGAAGTGGGAAGAGAGAAAGTGGTTCAGCAGCACATCTCCGGAGGGCAATGCAGATGGGGGGATCAGTTTAAGGAGAATCCGCGGCCGATTGCCTTTGGAGTCACTGTTAAAAAGGGCTTCACAGAGTCGGATGGCGTCAAGGCGCGTGAAACCGGAGATCTGGTATTCACCAATTTCAAGGATAACGTCGCCTGGTCGAAGAATCGAGGGTGCCTTCTTGGGCGAGGAGATGATTGGATGGTAGACAAGCTGGCAAGGACTAATCGCGTTTCCGATGAGACAAAACATTCCAGAATCTGAACCGCCTTCAATTGGAAAAGGCGCTGATTTGCACGAAGAAGCAGCTGAGAGGAGCACTTCGTAGATGCCGGAATCCAAGGACGTGGGATGTTCCACTGGCAAGGCAGTCTGCGAGGGCCTTCCATCTGAGAGATGAACGGCGACCTGAGACATTTTTGGAATTCCTTCAAAAGAATGAAAATTTAACATCTGGTCAAAAATAGTTGCCTGAAATAAGGACAATTGGAAAGGTTACGGCAATCAGGTGGTCCATAACTAAAACGTCGATGCGCTCAATTATAAAAAAGAAATATAAGACATAAAAAATCTTTATTAAAATATAATTTAGATCATTACTCGATTTCTCGTATGGTTTGCCACCTGTTCATATAAATATCAGATAATTTAAGGCTTAGTGCTTAGAAACTGTGCGGTTTCTTATCAATGAACAAAGTAGATTCATAAAAAAGAGAGATTAAGTCAAGTAAGGCAACAAGATTTGAGAGGCTGATTGGGTATAACGGAGAAATCAGTGCAAACAGTCCCGCAAATGATAGTTAGATCTCCAGTGAACCTAAAAGATGCCAAACTATCAAAGGCAGACGTAAAACGAGAATTAAATGATTTTACGCAAAAAATCGTTTCAGCTGAAGGACAGCGAAAATCGGAAAACTCGCGCATCCAAATATAGCCTCGTTCACAAATAACAGCACTTTATGACTATTTACCTCTATAAGGCATCGTAGATGAAAACAGTATGGACAGAGCTACAATAGACCTCGCCAAATTACCAAATTCTAAATGAAACTGAACTTGTTTCCGGAATTACAAACCTGTTTTGGAACTTAAAGACGATCTTTTGAACAAGTTAAGCAATCGAATTCCCACATAGCCGAAACAATTAATCAAGACAGTGTAAAGCAATTACAGTGACTTTAGAGTAAAGCTTGCCTCTCCTTAATTCTTGATCCAGCGAAGTTTGATTTTGCAGAAAAACAAAACAGCATTCAGGAAAATTTTTAAACTTTTATTTTTTATTTTGTATTTGTCAAACAAAATATCTGATCGTCAAACACCTTAAGGCTGCAATCTATGACAATCTGGTAGATGATTTCGTGGAATATTTACTATTGCTACAAAAGCTATCCGAACCACTAATCTCAAATCGTTGTTCCATGATTATTATCGACACTGCAAACTAATACTTCGTACGGGTACCATTACCCAGTTCCTCGATAACATTGCTTAAAGTTTAGTAAGGGAAATGGGTGTGCATGAAATACACGAATAGTTATTAGTTCCAAACAAACCTATCTGAATAAGGTACAACTACTACGATGCACTGACTGTAAATCCGAGGAGATATCTCACAGAATTAACAACGTCGAGGGTAAAAATCGACGCCAAAAATTAGACTGCTACCATTTAGTTCAGGCAGGACATAATCGACGGATGACCACTAGTTATAACATACTAGGAAAAATTATCAGCACAGATACACTACGAGCAGTAAGTTTTATGCTGGAATCATGTTCGATTACTGTGTCAAGCTTCCAGAAGTCTTGAAATAATGAATGAGATTTGCTGACACTCATGATATGGTAAATGACACGCAAATGAAATAACGCCCACACAATCGCTACCTCCAATCTAGTTTCGCAGCAAAAACATATGGTTAAAGACGACATAGAAGATTTACTACCGACGTTAACTGAATTCAGAATATCCACAAAAATATCGTTACAACCAGAAATTGCAAGGCACGAAGTCCGGCATTCAAAAGAGACCCCAAGTACCAAAGGTGGTAGATGCTCCAAAGTAAGTCAAAAGGACACAGCTTTTAAAGAACATTTAATCTGAAACATTAACACGATTGACTGCGTCAATATACATTGATTTGGACTTTTTTAAAGACTTGGACCCTTTTCGATCACCTGTGAAAGTTAGTGGTACAGCGCATTGGAAATCTCCAAAATTATTCTTTTCTGTAGATAAGGGACCAATACTTTAATTCACGATAAAAAACAGACCAGTTATTTTCAGTAAAGTGACAGAGAGGAAAAAAATTAATGCGCTTAGGCAGGAATGTTTAAACTAAAAAAATCAAAAGCAAAATTTACAAAACTCATACTCCGAAAAAATAGACTAAAGGTGCCTTTACTAACTGGCCGCACGTCTTCACAGGTAAATTAAATTAAGAAAAAAATGGCTAAACACGCAAAATCGAAAAACCAATTACAAATTTTACACAAAAGCACAACAAAATCAACTCTAAAAAGCAACATGTGCAAAAAACCTAAGTCACGAAAGGGCCATTACCCTATAACAAAATCCGAGAAATACAAAAGGCCGCTGTTTCAAGCAAGCCGGTGTTACCCTTTGAAAGCTAAACAACTTTGCGTAAAATTTTTTTCTCTTTTTCGGAAAACAAAATTTTAAATTAAATACCCAAATATAATCAAACACTAATGCAGTTTTTAAAGTTAGGAAATTTTTAGTTAGAAACTTTTGGATACGTGGTTTGGTAGTCTTTTTCATGTGTGCGCAACGAATAAAATACTGAAAGCAATCGTAATCCGGAGGATCAGACTGAAACTAAAAAAAATCGGACAGGATAAAAAGCAATATTTGTCTTGTTATATAACTGTGTTTGCGGCACATATTCTCAGAGGTGACTTGATATCATTTTACTGTCATTCTGATTTTTCGTGTAATCCGAGAAATCTTTAAAGGGTTTTTAATTTTAACTTTATAACTTCAAAGGAAAGATGCGCACTTCTTTTGGAATGATACACTTAGCTCATTTTTATATCTGATGCCAAATATCATTGTCCTCCTGAGAGGTTAATGGTCAGTGTATAAAACTTTTGTAGTTTACTCAAAACGAGATCTTACAAATATACATCTTGAAGGTATATATGCTGGGCTAGTCCAAACGCACACATGTAGTTAGGCCTGTAGTAGCTAAATTATTGGCACTACCTTATACCCTCTAGTAAAATTCCGAAACATTCCGAGAAAAGGGAGAAAGAGGCGACAATGGACACAACTGTTTATTAATGTTACAATAGCCAAATGGCTTTGTGAGTGCATGAGTACGCGTGCATAACCCGTGATTGCTGACAGAAACCAATTACAGAAGGGGTGAGTCATTGGTACACTCGGGCCATTATCTACGCATCACTCAGTCCACTACAGGCTGATTGTCCAAACTGAATACATTAATTGTAAATAATAAGATCCTCAATATTACTTTCAATTTGTGTTTAATTCCAAATGCTCCACAGCAATGATCATATCAAATAAGGCATTGATAGATTCCCGAAGAGTTGCATTTGACAATATTTCCCTCTAACAAAACTTGGCAATGATTTTGTTTTAAATTATAATCAGTTGCAACGGTTTTGCTTTTTTTAAAAGAGAAACCTAATTATTCACCCATTTAGGCAGTATATGTGTTGCTTATGTCATTTTGAATCTCTTGGAACAATATTTAACTTTTTGATAAAATTAAATTACTTTTTGTCATGTATTTTGAAAGGAAAAATGCTTTTCCACATCTTTTCGTCGGTACATGTGGATTTGGCTGTTCGACCGTCACAAATAGGCCAACATTTCTGAGATGTAAATTGCTTTCAACACTTTGTTTGTATTCGCTGTTTTATTTTAGTATCTGTTTGTGAGAAAATTTTCAAACAGTGTCTTAGAATTTTACTTGCATGTTGTTGGCTTGGATATTAGAACTTCCTAATTTTTTATTTAAATGTTTCTATTTTCTTGCGGTGTATTTGGAAAGCTTCATGATGCAGTGCTGGCCAATGAAAGTCGGCAACCAGGCGTCTTTCCTGGCGGCTTTTTTGTTATCGTCGGCGTGGATTTCCACTGGAATTCCAGGTACCATTGCAATTAGTGTATTTTGATAATTTGTGGTAGTTTTTTACTTTTGTTGCAATGGTCCTTATGAACCTATTTATCTATAGTTAATTATATTCTAATTCTTTACATCCTTGACTTTGTCTGTAGTTGGCTTAAATATCGCTAAAGTTTTGGGTTCTGGATCTTCATTGTCTTTTAATATGCTTATCTCGCTTACAATTTCTGATACTTAGCCGGATTCAAGGGATTAATTCATTAATTCCTCGTTTTGATATTTGTCTTGTTTATTATTGAATCAGAACTGTCAGGTTTTAATTGTATTTTACGCATGCTCCCTTTGTTTCGTTTCATCTGCTCTTTAGCTGATCCATGGCACATGTTTGTGAGACATGCGGCGCGTCATTCCAGCGTCCCTCAAGGTTAAAAGTCCATCTTCGAACCCATACAGGTGAGGTGAGTAATATGCTTTTGATATTTTCCGTAGTCATCATTGTGTGTTACGCCACTATCGTGCTCTTCTCGATCATCCGTGTCCGAGGTCTTCTTTTTGGCTTCATTATAACTTACAAACTGCATACCATTTTCACCTTTAGTTAAGGCTCTCCTGTATGCGAACTAAAACTTTGTTTTATCAATTATTTGAAGTTAGCTGTGGCGTTACACCTAAAATAAAAGCATAATTAGTAGATTTTAAATCAGATGGTTGGTAAATTGTAATGTTGAGGCCTTCGACACCGAACGCTGCGTGCCTGGAGGCTTTTATAAATGGATTGCATATATTCCTATGGAATCTTTTATTTGTAAATGGGACGGATAAACCGGATTACTTCTAAATTGCTATTGCCTCGGCGCTCTATGGTGTAATGTTCTCATAAAAACGCGGTACTAAACCATGTTACTTAAATTTGTGTAGTAGGTTTTGTGGCGTTAGTGTGTTCTGTCCATACCCAAACCATGTTGCTTCTTTTACTATTTTGCTTCAACCATTTTATAATTCAGCGTCCCTTCAAATGTTCTTGTGGTCGGAGTTACATACGTCGACAGCACCTTACACGACACGAGGCCAAATGCGACGGTACTGCTGGCACCTCTGAGCGAAGCAAAGGTCTCCTTACCAAAGCCGTCAATTCGTCTGATTACTCCTGTCCAAAATGCGGTGCCGGTCCTTTTTCCAAAAAAAAGACTGTTTGGGCGCATCTCTCTATTGTTCACGGGTAATTTGGCGTATTTCCATTTTCAGCATTGCGCCGAAAACGCGAGGAGCCGCCGTCACTATCACCGTGTTTACTAATGCCCTCCTGACTTTGCTTTACACCAAATTTGCCTACTACTTTCTAACTTACAATCAACTATGTGCTTAAGAATAGTCACAAGCGTCTTCGCTTATCAATAGGGGCAGTGTTTTGAGATTTGGCTTTTTATTTAATGCCTTTATGTTTTAACCTCGTAGTGAGCGTCGTTTTCGGTGTGACCAGTGCGGTGCGGCGTTCCCGACAAAGTCGAAGTTGGAACGTCACCTTAGCCGACATCACAATCTCAAGTGCCAATTATGTGCTGCTGCAATGAAGGAATCTGCACCACACAAAGAAACAGAGGTGGCGCCGACTTTACCGAATCCGAACGAGCGTTTCGAGAACTTTACCAAACTGCGCAAACACATCGCCATTCGGCATCCGAAGCGTAGTGAGTTTTGCTTGATAGACTCATGTAGGCTTTTATCGTAGCACTCAACACCTGTTTGAACTAGTAATTGTTGCTATCACCATAGTTTGTGTTTTACACTATACTTAACCATAATCGGGGCTAAGGTTAGATCTTTCCTGCTTTTTCTCCTGGCGTTGTGTCCAGCTTTCATCTGTGAGACGTGTGGTCAGCGTTTTTTGCGCATCGCCCACCTGAGAGAGCATGAGTTGCGGCACACGCCTGGCTGTGAGTCGTTGTGCCAAAGACGAACTTTCGTCTGCACCTACTGCTCTCCCGGACCGACTACCTCCGCAACCCCCGCAGTCGCATTCACGGCCAGGCGCAACCTCCTCGCCCATATTCGCTCCGCCCATGCTAGTGAGATGCGACGCTTTCCCTGCACACACATCTCCTGTCCCGCAATCCTCTCCTCGAAGGTGAGTGTAGTGTGGTTTTTGTCTTTGCCAAGTCACGGTGTGGATTCATGCCAATTCTATCGTTTTAGCGTCACTTGTGCTCACTTTCACAAACGCAAATCTAAAAATCAATTCATTGGTAACCTATTGAGTGTCTTTCCGCTAAGCAACCTGGAGATCAATCTATAAAAACAACCAATAATCGCCTTGCAGCGCTTGTTGCAATGAGTTGACGAAGTTTTTATTGTGTTTTAAAGTGTTTGTAAGAAGGAGACGGTACTTTCATTGATGAAGAAGGGATTTATAAGTGTCCGTTTCTGAAGTTGTTTCTACCATGGAAGATCCTAAAATTTTCAACTACAGATCAAGTAAATTTTGAGTTAACTTCCCGTGTTACGCATGAGAATATCGAAACGTGTTTTTTTTATACTGACGCTTAGTAGTGAGTTACAAACGTCTGCTCCTAGAAACCAATTGCAGCTTCATTGGTTGCTCCAATGCGCACAAGTTGTAGACGACTTAGTCAACATTTCGCTTCTTTAATGACGTTCTTTTTCATAAATTTGCGTTAAATGCATAGCCCATCCCGCATGACGGATGTATATATCCTACGCCCTCCGGGACAGAATTGGAAACCAATCAATCTGTGCGCCTGATTGCCGGTTTATTTAAAACTATTTTCTTGAGAAGTTACGCATAAACACTTGATTTTAATTTTGTTTCACGTAGTTGCAAGTTTGATATGGGATAGACCGCGTTCTATTGATGTTAGGTCCATCGGCGTACCTTTGCTGTAGTTTATCCTTGTTTTTATGTGTTCAAATGAATTCAAGATCCAGCAGAACTATTACTTGCACGTGACACCTTTTCTCTGAACAAAACACGTGAGCCTCAATAAGCAATATGAGGTCTTAGTATGCAGTGGTTTCGGATAATCAGGTGCTACTAGTAAATCACCCTTTTTGTAAATTAGCAAAAGCTGGCGGCTCACTTGAAGCGGCACTCCAAGACGCACCCGTCTGCCCCAATTAGGGTGTTTCAACGCCCATCTCTCGCCAAAACTCGCCTTCAGCCCGCGATCCCGCAAGCAGTCCCCCCCAAGAGGCGCAAGTGTGTACCCTTATGTGATCTCCAGGAGGCCTGGGAGACGGATAGCCAAAGTAGTATTCCATCACTCCTGTGTTGAAGAACTCTTTTATTCCATTTTTAACTTTTACACTCTAATACTATTTATTTATTCAAATTCCGTCTTTTCTGTTGCAACTTTTTGAGTGCGGTTGTTTTGTGACGACGAAAAATTGCGGGTCCGCCTCGTCTGGACAGCTTTTTTCTTTGTGGATTGGACTATTCTGAGTCTTCCCTGTCGAGCCTACTTTAATTAACGCAACGCGTATTGGAAAGCATAAAGACGCTCACACGATGCTCAGCCCCACTAATTCGAACTGAAACATCGTCGTTTGCTCTTAAATTGGCCTGTGAGCTAGTCGTGTACCTCTAAAAACCTACTCATGAATTCGGGAACCGGCCGATCGGCAAGAAAGCGCTTGTAAAATGGGCAGATTTTGTAGCAATTGGCGACAAGGCGTAGCTGAATTCCCCGGTTCCAGTTACACCAGTTGATCATTAGTCTAACTTGGTATACTGACCTTGGAGCTAATACCGAAATTGCTTTTGACACGGGTTGCCGGGTTAGACATTCGCGCATAGTGGAACCATGCCGAGTCCTCGACTGTGGTCGTAACATCGAAGGTGCAGCTGATATTTTATCAGAAATGCTGGCTGTTAGGGACTCTGTTTGAGTGTGCATAGTGTAAATTCTCAAGTGTGATTTTTTTCTGAAATGCCACGCCTAGTAAGTTGGACGCTGTAACTGAAAAAGTTTTGTTTGGTAACTTAGATTCGAATCCTTCCTGGTTACCTGGAGGACGTCCGTTAGAACAGGTAGTCTTGTGGCCCACTTGATAGAAGCTGTCAGTTCAAAATTGAAAACTTCTTCGGGTCTCTTATCTACGCAAACGGTTTCGTTAGTTGCAATGTGGAAATCCTATACTATAACGAAGAACTCGTCTTTAAAATGGCCACATTGGGGTTATTTGAATCAGGATATAATTACATTCAACTGCGTCTGAAGGTGCTTGATGTGAAGATTAAGGTCCTGGCCTGCCAAACCTAGCAATTCTGTTGTATATGTTTAAACAGGTGGGGGGCAAAGATGGGACGATTGAAGACAAAATAGCTTAATCTGGTGCGGTTATATGAGTTGTGGTAACCTCAGTAACGCTCTGTCGAAGATCCCCATAGTTGTGAAGGTCGCAGAGACGCCGTGTTTGAACTTGGGCTATCTTCGTAACAAATTTTTTGCATGTTTTGTCGACAACACATCGCTAAAAAATGTAGCCATGGATGCCGATTTCTGGTTGCCTCCTTGTGGGACATGTCATGCCACTGAAATACGTTGAGAAGTGCTGGTTCATTGCTCCTTTGTCACCGTGCTCATTCTGCGCTCCACGATGGATTTATTCATGGAAGGCGAGTAGCAAAGCATGAAAGAACATGAGACTTTGAAGGTCTGCCTAAAGAAATCTCTTCATTCCTCAAAAAGTAATTGGTCAGAATGTGGACGATGTGGTGGGCCGGATCGGCAACCTACCATACAACAGCCCATTCCGCCAAAAACTGAGATGTCAAACGCCAGAACAACAGCACTGCACAGTGGGTTAGTTTTCGTGCAGGTGGCTCTGATTCGCAAAACCGACACATTGAAGCACTAAAATTACGCGAACGAGAGCTATAAGGTGGGTGATGTGCATCAATAACAGCAGACATGTACGTTTATGCAAACACCACCGCAAGGTTTATTACTTCGCGTAACAGGGCACGGTGTGACAACTGGCACGACTTATTAAGAGTATACAAATCACAGCCTCAACTTGTAGAAATCTTTGTCCTTTTTTTAAGGCATTAAGGATATTACTTCACATCGTTTATGCGGTTTCAATCAAATCTTCAGTTTGAATGTGGGTCTTCATCTTAGTAGCGCGCCATCTTCGCACGTGCGAGAATCAGCAAAGTGTGCTGGATGACTCAGTTTATTTTGGGTACATCAGAATCACCTTGCCATCACCACTTTGACGATACTCTGTTTTTTTTCAACTATAAGGTCCCTTCTCTACGAGGACGCCTTAATTTGGTGAGTCCTAGCGCTCTATATTTAATCCATTCAAACACGCGTTCTTCCATTGGCCAATAACGGTCGTCAAAATAGCATTCCCTTTTTAACTACGACGCCAATTTCGTTATAAAATAACAAACAATTTGTTATGGTACATGTTGGGGATGTCAGCATTCCCCAGGACAACTAAATTAACATTGTGATTTGCGACGTTTATTCACTCAGCTCTGTTCATTTGATTACAACTCTGTAGTCACGCCACATTGCTATTCACACCAGTAACTCATCGGCCTCAGATGCCCAAAGCGGGCACATCTGAGCACCCACGCGACCTCCACTATGGTTCCATCATGCGCTCGACACTTTGGTCCATACCGTGAAATTTCCTACATAGGCTATAAAATTCCCTTGTTCTGGGAAGCCTTAGACGTACAAAACAAGGGGTTGCAACTACCAGCTCGGCGATTTACACCAACATATCGAATAGAATCGTAACAACTGGTAAAAAAAATTATTAGTATTATCTGGAGCTATTTTAAAACGAACTGATCTACTGGAACAGAACAAGTGTAGCGTTGTTGCATTAATGACGCTCAGACAACCATCAATTAAAACAATTAATAACAGTCGGGATTTGTTATTTAAAGCATGAAAAGCGCCATTAGGCGCGGAAGAATTAGATAGGCGGCGCGTTTAAGCGAATTTTAGTTGCAATTACAGCGGAGATTTTTCTAACTGGTGGCACTTGAGACCGTCGTCATCGTTCCTGTATCGCACTCATCAGTTCAACCACAATATAATCCCCACTGAAACGTCATAACTCCCTGAATGACAAAATAAGAAATTTGTCCAAAATAAAAGCACCCTTTCCAAAATTTCTATACACTAAACTAAGGAACTGGGTGCTTTGCCGGGAAAACCAAAAAAATTTTAAAAGTGTGAGGCGTGAACAAGCGTTAGCACTATTTTTAGGCTGTAGCATGTAAAAGGTGTCTCGGACAGTTTGATAGCCTACGACTTTATGAAATTGCTTCCGCTTAAAATGTTTAGATTCAAAAATCAGACTGCAAAACAGGAGACAGGTTTGCATCGATTTTTGAAGAGGTACATCAAGGGAATCGGTTTGCTTAACCAGACTCGAGCAGTTGACGTGAAACATGCACCACGCTCAGAGGGATATTTGAGTAAAAAACAGGCTCAGAAGGATATTAGAGGATGGTGACGGGGACAGAAATACGAGCCGCGAGCAACGGAGTGTCAAAAAACAGCATGTTGAAATCGGGCACGAATTGCGTGCTCGATATTTCTGATAACGCGTATTCATGCAGGGTGACATTTTAAACAAAAACAGTAGACCAATCCTCACGTCTTAGCTCAAGTTTCTTCTCCCTGCGACAACTTTAAGCTGTGCCGCTCTTTTGGGAAATTATGCCATGGCGCCACAAAGTGTCCCGAACCGGCAGGTAGTAAAAAATTGCACAAGTACACTCGCCATGCCAACCAGACGCAGCAGTATCCGACGACGGTTTGGTTCGTTAATCGTAAGGCCTTTCCTGTCAAAAACAACGCCAATTATCTTGCCAACGAATGCCAACATTCCCCAGGACAACCGAATTAACGTTATAATTTGCAACGTCCATTCATTCACCTCCGTCCACACAATTATAATTATATAAACCGATTTGTTACAATTGCCGATCAACCTGTATTTAAGTTGAATAACTGAAAATCCCCACCTCAAGTTAAAATGCGAGACGTCTCCACTTTAAGACTTCCTTTACTCTTTATACATCGTGTAAGTTCTGGAACCTTAGCAAGCGATACTAGGATACATTGTAATGTGCGTGTGCGTGTATGTGTGCGTGTGAAAAAAGTCGCATGATGGGTCAGCCCACTGATTTTACAATTCGGAGACACGAGTTGTAAATGGGGTAGATGGAGGCAACAGGGAAAACCAAAGTCACAAATTCATGACAAAAAGAAGGCATAGAGTGGCGGGCTTCCTGAGAATGAGGGTGGTGTAGAAAAGTAGGTCGCGGTGTTACATTCAGGGTAGGAGAGTGTGAGGGTTGGGCCCGCAAATTCACTTCTTTGGTGGAAAAAAAATGTCCTTGGTGAGGGTGCTCACGATTGACGGGACCTGCTTCTTGCCCGAGTACTCTGCCGTGGTAGCCAGGGACTCGAATTCGTACGCGACCTCGTAGTTCACTCGCGTCAGTATTGACATCATGTCGAGTATTCGACCGTACTTCCGAAGGCAGTTATTCAGAGCCTGTATGAACCATGAACCGTAAATCGAATTCCTGAAGGCATAGTAACCTACAGAAAAAATCGTGTTTCTAGATGCAATCTTACCTCTGGGCAGTAGAACATGACGAGGGTTACAAGGTTAGCTTCGTGTTTGGTGTTACTGATTTAGAACGATAAAAATCAATGAAAAAAAGGAAGAAGCAGCAGAGTTGAGGAGGTACAATCTGTTAAATACCAGGCTCTTTTCATGCCATAAGAGTAATTATGAGATTATACTAGCATAATGTTCACGTGTGGTAAACATTTCCCAGGCTTTTGCTACCTCAACTCAACCGATGGTTCTCAAAGATTGCTTAATTGACAATATACGGCAGAGCAGCCTAACAGTAAGGGCAAAAAAGGCATTCCTAAACGGGTTACTTCGATGACTGCAGCCAGCAAGCGAATCAGCGCATTTAAGTCACCGCAATGTTAATGTCCAGTACCCTTTCCAGGGACTTTCAACTACTCAGCCTTCCTGATAAGTTTACCTCTGGAGACCAGGAAGCAAGCGTTAAAAAAAACCGAGGGCAACTTCGCTTAATAGAGTGCTAGATCACATGAAGCTACCAAAATAGCGAACAAAACACATCGGGTAATTTGCAGCGCCAGGAATCTGTGGCCTGGTATTTGTCCAAACTTGTCTAGTGCCGCGCGGGGTTTGCTGATAGTTGCTCGAACCTTGGTGATGATAGGCCAACAGAAACCCCGAAAATTACAAATTTTCGGTTTCCAGTTAATCATCAATTCTACTTCAAGTGGTTAGCCAGATTATCTGAACTTTAGTGGCAAAACATACAAAAACTGGAGTCGAAAGATGACCACTTTCTTAGTTGGGGTTTCGGGCCCTGTGTTGCAGCAATTTTTAAGTATCCTGTCCCTAAAGGAGATCCCGGGTGACTTTTTCAGATTACAAATGATTACCTTTTTGGGTGATATTAGGAGCTACAATAATGAACTAGTCAGTCTTATGTGATATCACAGCCACAACCGTTTCGCCATTTCGATGTTCCGAAAAAAAGACATGATTAGTTAGGACAAGGCCATTCTGTAAACATCTTATCTGCTTAGTTTTGATGGTATAAGTTAAGACTTTCAAAACCGCGTTTTATGTTCAGATTTTACGTTAGACAAACAGAACGACCGCTGCTGTGTCAACTCGAGGACTTCAACAGTTGAGTTTGAAGCAAAACCGGAATTTCGAGGTACAAATTGCATCGACAAATTACGTGACGGCAACACTAGCACACCTGAGTCACACAGGGTTGACTCAGGCCTCCAATGGTTGGTAAGAGGAACGTGGACTTGCCTGGTTGGACGGCGTAGGCCACAAGGAGGTCGGCTTCAACGGGAATGCGTCGAAGACTCCCGAGGGTACCGGAGTCGCCCGATCCAAAGGAGCTGTCTGTCGACACAATCGTCCCCGAATCCAGCAAGGTCCCTCTGCAGGCCTGTAATGCAAGCGGTTACACTGTCAAGCTGACAAAAAATGCTAATGTGGCTGCGATTTCACCGCCTCGATCAATCATTACGCTGTTAGCCTGACCTCCTGAAAAGAGAGCGTGAAACCTTGTTGAGCCACAAAGATGTGACCATTTGTTGTTTGTTTTATCAAACGGAGGTTAGAACCTCGCATTGCCTCGGTTTTCACACAGTTAAGAGACAAAAACATGAGCCAGCGAAATTAGAAGACCACCCTACTGTCATCAAACAGCAATCGTATTAAAACCACTGTTCCGCCTATTTCATTGGTCTAAATTAACAGCCAGAGCACCAATAAGGTAAAGTGGAAAGTTTGCGCATATGGCGCTCAACGTCTGCAAAATGTGCATAGCATTTAGCTATAAAAGTGTCACAGAACAATGGAGGAATAAAAGAACCTTCTTTATTCAAAACAAGGAAACATATCCACTGCATTAATAGTATGCACCAGAATCAGGCATTCCACTCTCTTTTTCTGCATGTCAAAAGTGGTTAGGTGGTCTGGGTTAGTCGTGTTAACATAGCTTATCGCAGGACATAGATTTGGTCTAAGGATATCACCTTGACAATTGCTTTGTTGACTCTTAATGGTAGGGAAAAAGACATGACTTGTCACAACGCCTAGCATGATGTCATTTACGACAGCCAATTTTGCGCCCTTTTCACGATCATGCTGAAATTAGATCTTATAGCCCTTACACCAAGATGGTCACTTGCGATCCCAATTAACTTGTTGGTGAAAATATACATACTAGTGACCACAAGTCGAGTTATTCCGTATGGGACCGTGGACCATTAGGCATTGCAGATGCTGGGTATCTAAAGAAAAATTTAATTGAACCATCTGAGTTCTCACAACGATGTGTAATCTAACTGAAACAAAAATGGGCCATTTCTATTTGTATCCTGACAATAGAGATTAAGTCAAATTAGCTGGACAATAGGCGAAAGGTAACAATAAGCGAAGTTTTCTGGAACAAAGGAATTGCCCTTTCGCCACCACCCCGTCCCAGCCAGACTCGCGACAAAACGCCGGGGCAGCTTGATGTGTAGGCAAACTGCGACTAATTCGACAGAATTTTTGACTAGAAATCAAAATCCATCAGTGCTTGCCTGATAGACGCGACATGTGAACAAAGGGAAACTCAAACGAGAGGGCTGACTCACTAATTTCAATAGCACACATTTCATGGGTAAAAGTGTATTGTTTACGTCTGGTAAAGCAGTTTGCACAAACAACATACTTTCCGAGTCAGAAAGGGAAATAATTAATGACAGAGTGTTACGCCGTGGCCTAGCTACTAATGCTAGGGTAGCCGCTTGCTGCATTGTCTAGCCCGAGGGAATTTGACGACTTGAGTTGCTTGTCTTGTTGCTCTTTTGTTAATGGAAGTAATTTCATTTTTTGCGAAATGAGCACAAGTTTTGGAGGTCGCAAGACATCTGATTCGCGGTCGTCAAAGTTACTTTGAGAGCAAACCCATGTGGACCTCTTATGTTGATGAGAATTACCAAAAGTTGGGTAATATGGGCGAATGAATTTGGGTGGGGCCATGTCTCTTACTAAGATAAACCTGCGTACTCGACAAACAGAACCACGCAAAAACACAATCTAAGAATTCCAAAAATAAATTACTGTACTGTTTAGAAGATGTGTAAAAGTTAGGATCCCATACATTTTAGCAATGCAAAAACAGCTGCTAAATAAATTGCATGCAAATGTTCAGCGAAGTAGAAAAAAACATGATCAAAATGAGAAAAAAGTAGGAAATGATAACTTGTGGCTTAGATTACAGCAGTTAAGGTTTAAGCGTTTTGTGTACCTTAATGCGTTGGCCGTGGACTTTAAAGTTGTTGTTGTTTTTTTTAATTTGACTTTGCGTGTTCTGGCCCAAATAAAGACAAGTCTGCACGAATAGACCAATTCACTTAAACCCGTCGTGGGGCAAAAAAGGTGCAAGTTCTACTTCGAAGTCCTCAAAAAACGGGTTATAACTATCGTCTGATAACAATTAATAAATGTGACATGCATTTGAGCATAAGGTAGGGCAAAACAAAAACGGTTTTGGAAGTAGAGCAAAATTGGAGCCCAGGGAATGCCTTTAGTGACTACAATCTGTGAAAATTTCTTCGAAAATGAGAATAGTAGTAGGTGAGTACTTAAATAATATCTACTTCACTGGAATTACTACGATGATGAACAGACTTTAACAAGGATCGTTGTAAATTGGAAAAACTCAAGACAACAATACTTGGGCCTAAACCTGGGTTGAAAAGACTTTAAGCAAAACAGCCATGCTTTTAAGAAAACCAATCCTATCATCACTCAGTCAACCAGGCAATAACTTAAATAAATTCTGTTATACTCAAATGGTATGCTTAAATGACTTGCAGACGACAATGTTCTAACGATGAAGGCGATTTGGAATGTGCATATCTGAGGTTAAGCAGAACTCTGGTTGGAGAATTTCGTGTGTGGTAAACTGCTGACTTGATTAAGTTCAGGAAACTTAGATACAAAAAAATGAACTGTAAATTGTGGTGATGGACAACACAACATGCAATTCGTGCACAAACTAATAATTTTTAAATTTCTGGGTTATAGAAAGAGCTTGGAAAGCAGCTTGCAATAAAAACAATGGTATTTTTCTGTTTGTGCACTACGTAAACTTCAATTAACAAAGTAAGCATAAGTCAGTTTAAAGCGTGAGGACAGATAATTCAAACGGCTCATATGTGAAACAGTCATTAATGTTCAAATACTTAGTTTTTCTAGTTATGATTGGCGCAAATCTTAGAATGTATAAGGATAATAGGTTGTATACATTTATTCAGTTATGTTAAGGAGTGACAAGCAAAAAAATAAATCCACTAATTTGAGCAAAAAAGACGAATGGAAAAGAATTCAAAACTAATTACGTATCCCTACCTGAATAAAGAACATTTTTGGTTTTCCAGCCAGACCAGGGCATGTGTCACCACGAAAGGGATGAATAAGCTGGTCCAGGTGAATAGGACCATCTGTTCCATAGACTGAGCCCCCTTCATCGCCGTGGGTGAGAATTACACAGGCGAAACAGTCAGCGTCCGCATGACTAGCTGTGGATTCTATAGCCGAAAACATAAAAATATGCGTGATTAGCAATATTTATTTCATTACTAGTAGATTCCTGGACTTAAAGCCATACAGTAATGATGTAATTACTCTGAACGCAAGTGATTCAGGGAAGTTTTAGGAAGGTGAGCAAATCCGAGAACAAAATCCGCAAGTGAAGTTTTAAGAATTTGGTAACTATGATAAAATGTAGCACGAAAATGTATGCGTAAGCAGCTGTGATCATAGTTGTCATTCTAAAGCATATTAAAATCACTACAATTTGTATTAAGATTGAACGAAGTTTCGAGCAACAAACACATAGTAAAGATTTGCAAAACTAATAAAACAGTAGTATTCAGAAACAGAACATTGAATACCTGGCGTCATACTAAAAGTTAGTATGTATAAGCGCTGAAGAGTACGCCTAGCACAGTCGGTCATTGCAACGTCATTACAAATCAGTGAAATAATTAATATAGCAGACAAAGACCCATAGCTAAATATTTACATCTAAATTGGTAACTATGCTTACCGGCCTCTATAATAGCTGTTATCATAGCAGCGGTTGGATTCTGGTACGATTTTACGTCGAAATCTAGAGATTGAAAGGTATCTTCTAGATTTTTTAAATCGACGTCAGCCCCTGGTCTACACGGGAGACAGAGAGCCGGTTTGAATGTATCGACTGAAATGATCAAGCAAGTTCCCCGTCTTGGTGCACGTGTTTTGTATACAAAGGAAGCTGTAGAGTGGTGAGATAATAATGGATCAACGGTTGGGAGCTCATGAAAAACAGTGAACTCTTGTGATTGATGTAGCTCAGGTTTGCCAGGAAAATGTGCGTTTTCGATAAATACGTCAGATGAGCACTGTCTAACATTTACTGCCATTGTAACGTGTGCGCTGTCAACCTGCGGTAAATCATCAGATACGTCTCTATCACAAGCACTAATAAATTGGACGTAAACAATTATTCGAAAACTTGCTTTTGGTTAGTAAATTGTAAGTCGTTGTAACATAAAGGATTTAGACCTTGATCATCACGCCACATCAAGAAATGTCCTTAAAAACCAAGGACCAGGCTCAAGAAAGACAATTAAACTAAAACGAGGATAAAATATTTGAGCCCGGAATTCAGAAATAACCTTGACAATTATTGACCTGCGAGTCATAATGGAACGGTCAAACAAAACCTAGAATAAATGCTGTTTACTAAAATAAAAACTCAAAAGTAGTTCGGTTTGTAAAAAAGCACTTATTAACAGAATAAAGACTAAGTTGTAAATTTTTTAAAGAAAAGAGGCAAGAAATTTATCACAATTTCTGACAATTTTGTCATAACTGGATTAATCATTTCATTTATAGATTCTTGATACTCTAATGAATTGTGAAATAGTGATTTGTTTTCAGGGACAAATTAAATACGATTTATGAAATAAGGCAAGTTTTTGTTAAGAAGGTATATTCAATTTTTCTAGAACACATTATCATGATGCTGGAGTCATTCCGTTTTTCCTATTTAATTGTAAATTTAGTGAAGAAATAGCTCCAATTTTTGTGACGAGAATTTTGTTACTCTCCATCTTAAACGAGCACTCTATGATTTAGCATAAATGTTTGAAGCCGTTAAAAGGCTGGAGTATTTGGCCAAACTAATTCCTTTCATAGTTTGCAAACATTCTAAGATAAATCATGTTTATAAGTTGAAAAAAAAAGACTGAAATGTGGTAACAAATTTAGTTTGATGTCGTCAAATAACGGCGTTAATTATGTCAGCAATCTTACTAGTGTCCTTTAAATTTTGTGTTAGTGTCTGGAAATGTGTAGATGATACGTCTAAAATCATGCAGCCTGGTGTTAAACACGAATCATGGTCTCTTGTGTGGGGTGGTGCTCCTTTACATAAACGATGTTCTTTTTCTCTTCCTAGGCGTTAAAGTTGTATACCGCTACCACTGGAAATGACCATCGATTGGCTAACAAGTTTTAAACATCCCGATTTCAAATCTGGCTTCGATATGTATACCTAAGCTCCATCCAAAGACAACTAGTTTAGTGCTGTTATTAAATTCATTTCTGTTCACCCATTAACCTTGAATTTATTTAGTATTTTTCTCAGCATAAAAATAGAATATTTTGCAGAAAATAAGATCAACTTTGCAACACTAATCCCACATTACAGCAATATGCTACCCTTACGACCCAAAAACGCACAAGCAGTCACCAACCGAGCGTTAGCTGATGGGGTTATTTGTTGACATTTTATACGCCTAGAACACCTGACATTGAAATTGAGGATAGCCATATTTTTTGTTCAACCTTTTTGCGACTTCCAATATTCTTTGAAAAAGTACTTTTAGCATAATAATTTCAGAAAATCAATATACTTCGAACAACCGAAAATTTACCCTTACAAATTGATCGCACGTTAACGGGAAATTGACGGTCTTGAAAATACCGTTTAAGTCCCTGTCTTGTGGTATCGAACCGCACCAGGGCTTTTGCGTTACCCGGAAAGACAAAAAACCACAGATGAAGCCGATACGATTTTGCATTAGATAGCTTAATTTGTGTTTGTCACAAAAGTCATGAATAACTAATGCAGTTGTTAAGGTACATATTTTAGTGAAATAGACATATCAGTAAGGTGAACAGAGGGAAGGACTCATGCACAGAAGCGTACTAACCTGCAGCCCAGCATAATGCTAGAAAAAGGAGGCGTTGCTTCGGGGTATGCGGTGACTAAGCTGATCGACATGAATCAACATGATTCGCCACCAAACATTTCGATGAGGATTTTCCTAATAGACCCTAAGTTTACCTCATATCATGGCAGGACGTTCGACAGGCCCACGTTGAACTCAGATTAAAAGGGCCCGTATTTGTGCAAATGCTCAATTTGTTTAGGTTTAAATAGCATAAATGAATACACTTCGAGTTTGTGGGAGACAAAAAGGTTGGTGCGGGAACGCTCTTCGTAGTAAATTAATCTTAATTTGATCAGTAACTACATACCTGACTTTATCCACAAATTATAGTCAAGCCATTGCGTTAAATCACACAAAGATAAATCATTTGTAAATGAAACCGAACAAACGATGGTCAACTGGACTCAATTAATGAGTGTATCCTCTGAGCAACCGTAGTAAATTAGAACTAGTCCGGAAAATGAGCCTGGCAGTGAAGGGAGCAATATATCTGTGATTAAGCATGAATTAAATTTGAACGGAGTGCGGAGCATCAACTGAAGGGAGTCCCCGGACACCCAAAAGTGGTACTCAACTACTTCGGTGCTCGGCACTTACTGAGTAAGTCATTTATTTGCTTCAGAATACAAGCTGGACTCCTACCAACATGCGAAATAGAGTAACCAACGTCAAGGTAGGAAGCAAATTTGACGACTAAGTCAGTGAGAGGTGAGCAAAATGAATAATGTTGTTAAAGAAATATTTTTTAGCAATATCAGTCATTAAAGGGACGCAAAATCCGAATCTCTTTTACAAGGTCACTGACATTGTCGGGTCGGCGGAACACCGAGGCCCTCGTGCGAGCGTCCAGTTCAGCCATGGCAGCCTCTAACTGCTCCAAGACCTCTAAGTCGCGCTCAATTCTCAATCTGTCTCTCAATAAACGATGAATATCGCGTATCAAATCCTCGGGAATATGCCTGGGCAGACCCAACTGATTTGAACGTGGTGCCTCAACGAAGAGACTGCGGGCAAGGTAGGCAGCAGATTTGCGCACCAATGGCGCCGTGTCATGCTTCAAGCTGTTCTCGATCGCACCAAATACCTACAGCAAATTTAGAACAAGGGTGAAAAACCCGCGACATTCTAACAAAAAGGCCTGACCTAGCATCATCAATGTTTGCTACATGATGGACAAATGCTACTTGTAGTGCACATTGGTAGCGGGTGAGAGGATCTACTTGTTTATAATGGCCAAACAGGGCGATAAACTGTTAAAGTTCTTCATATGAGAATGGCTGTAATTACCCCTTGATAATAAATGGTATTATATTTGTTAAGAATATCTGCAATAAGTTGTCATCGTGTTTGTAGATGACGAATACCTCGTATACCACTGGTTGTATGGCGTCACCAAGAAAACGACAGATCTCGGAGAGGTTTGACAAACTCGCTGCCCGGATCAGCTCGGACGGGTCGTTCGAGGCTTTCAGTAAGCCTGACACAACCAAATTGCAGTACTTGGGCGAAACATCACCTGTGAAAGCAGATTAAATTCAATTTGATTAATGATGAAGCAATGCGGGCGATGGGTGAAACGGCAACCCACCCAGTTCCCGAAGAACGCGCACGATTGCTTCCCCCAACTTGAGACGGAATTCGACATTCAAGGAGTCTGTCAGAAATCGGGCAAGTAGGAGTGGAAGGAGCCGATCTGTAAATGCATTCCCCATTGCTGAGAGACCTCGAATGGCACTTAAGTAAACGTAGCTGTCTTCGTTGTCTAACTGTTCAGTCAACGCCTGAAATGTTAGTGGGCAAAATCTCAAAAATGTAAGCGAAAAACTGTCTAAAAATATTTGGTGCATGACTTAATTTTTACCAATTCATTCTTCGAGCTTGAAATTACACTTAAAATAAAAATATTTTCGCGGTCTTTAATGGTTTCAAACGGATCAGATGCGAGGTTTCAGAGCACCGAACGACAAGTCGACATTACCCTTCAGAGTAGCAGAGCTTACAATGGTAATTGATAAAAAGGACATTCGATGACACAAATGTTTCTAAAACACAGGGAATCAATTTGTAGTGTTCTTGGTGTTGCCGACGTTGTGTCTAACGACACGTGTAATTACTGGTACAAACGTTTTAGAAGTGGTGATTTCGATCTTAGTGACCAGTCGTGCCACGCACAGCAGCCTCGAAAGTTTGAAGATGCGCAATTGCAAGCTCTACTGGATGAAGACTCAACGCAAACGCAACAAGAGCCTGCAGCTCAGTCAGAAGTTACATAAACAGCTACTTGAACCAAGTGGGAAAAGTTCAGCAACTTGGAAGTTGGGTCTCCCCACATGTGTTGACCGAACACAACGTGGGTCAACGTATGAAATTGGGGAAAATTGTGACGGGCGATGAAAAGGCCATTTTCTGGGCAAGGAAGCAGTCAAGTCATACTGCTGCTGCATGACGACGCCCAACCTCACGTTGCTCGCGCGACTCAGAAGACCCTTTAAGACTCGGGATGAGAAGTTCTATAACACGCGGCACATTCACCAGACTTGGCCCCATTCGACTACCGTTTGCCCCGGGCGGTGCAACAGCAGCATCAGCGCGCCTTAGTGAACAAACGGTTCAAAACGCGGGGGGAAGTGCGTAAACTCGTCGATGATGATTTTATTGCCTCGAAGCCTGCATTCGTACGTTGGCTGAGAGATGACACGAGGTCATGGAAAACGACGAGGAATATTTCTATGATAAAATTCGCTGTTCTCTACTTTTACACATCAAATAAATTTGCTGAAGAAGCTGTAAAAATTGAGCCATACACCTAGTAGATCTGTTTTCTTGGGCCACAATGAGATGGTGGAACCACTTCAATTGCAATTTAAATCGGACGTGATGAAAATTACCGAAACATCAGATAGTGCTATGACAGACATTTCCAACATATACAAGCAGCCTCATGCTTCGCCCAGTAGTCACACCGTCCAACTTTCAGCACCCAGGCGCACTGCCAAGCGATCCACCCCACGCAAAGTTTCAAAATTGAATCTACCACATAAGACAATGAGCAGCTGCGACACTTCCAGGTAAACACTTAGCGGGATACCGTATTCCGGTCACTAAACCTCCACCAATTGTGATTGGACTAGACCAAGCCAAGTCAAAATGGCTTTAGGTGCAACTTTTTCGGCGACTGAGTACAGCTTCCCAATTTATATTCTGTGCGATAACAGCAATTATACGCTTTGATAAGGTGGTGGTATTTGTGGCTGGAAAAGCAATTTTACCCACAAAGTCATACCGCATAGATCCTGTCCTCGAAGCCCTTTATAGAGGGATCTTTGGCCTCCAGAAGACGACTCAATTCAATCAAGCCATGCCCACGCACGGGTATGAAGGGGTCCTGCAACTGCGTGAAGATTTCAGCCAACTGTGGACTGAGTTCTGTGGTTTCCTCAGGCGTCTCTTCTGTGTCGCCTTGAGGTTTGGGAGGCGAGGAGCCGGAGGAGGACAATACCTCGATCAACGGTTTCTTTTGGGTGGTCTCCACCAAAGGCGGATAGTTTGGTGGAGAGGGTGAGCTGGAAGGATTTATGAAGCCCTACTTAACCCAAGAATCGATGGAGAGGCGATAAGGGCCTAATAGATTCCCAGTTTAATAACAGATCTATTGTATTTGTTATGACATTGTGGTTTGTAAGTCCGAATGCCCCAATAGCCGTCACTTCACAATCACTTTGCAATGGGCCAATCAGGTTAGGTAAATGAACCCAGAACTGCCACTGCTGGATGAGGTTCACCTGAATGAATTACTCGAATACTGTGGGATGCATTCAAGTGTGCAGTGGCAGTGTAGACAGGTGCGATTTCAAAATGGAGGGCACGACATGGATGGTATCTAGATGAAAACTGAACAGATTTTGAGGCTTTGAGCGATGAAGTGACATTTCTGTGTGGATAAAAATCCCCAATTTGCTAAGACGGCTCAGGTGTGTGAAGGGAATTGGTTTGGCACTCAGGTGCCTCCAGCGACGTTATTTATATCAAAGCTGATTACCTTATAGGTTCATTTTTGTGATGGACTTCTTCTCGGAAAACCAGTGTAAGTGCTATTGACTTGCTGCATTCACGTTTCATACGTTGTTTTAATTCTGATTCACGGTGAGCGCCTTCTACAACTTGCTCATTGGAAAGGCCGTGATCATGAGAATTTAAAGCAGAATGTACCAGTTATCCACATATTTGTTGAAGACATTTACTGTTTGATGTTTATCGTCTTAAAGTTTTCTGTTTAGGATAACACGGACACGCTTTCCAACGCTCTGATTCGTCTTTGGACGCAAAGCCTGTGTATCTGGGATCGTGAGCTTCAAAGTTCGCAAGCAGTTATGGCTTATGCAGGTCAGCTTGACGCGAAATTTTCTCATTGAACCACTGAAAGCATCAATACCGCACTAAAGCCTTATTTAAAAAGATAGGATTTCAGTGACAAGCACCTCTGCCTGTCAGTTTTAGCGTTGTTACACTGTTGCACCCACTCAACAAAGAAGGTTAGCAAGGATTCTTACGGAGGTGAGCTCGAACCGACAGAAAAGGCACCTCTGGTGCACAGTGCAATTCGAAGCTGACGGGCAAGCTCCACGGATGGGCTGGACTGCGGAAAGCTCTTCTCAATTTTGTGCAAAAGTGGAACCAGTTCAGCAAACCGGTCTCTGACTTCACTTGTCACCTTATCACCCTTCTGCAAGGTAAAAGAAAGTGACTGATGAAAGGACAAATCAGTGTGAGTGTGAATTGGCACTTCTAACATCGGCATTACCAAACTGTCAGACGACACATGCAACAGAAGTACACAACTGGTCCATTTACCTCCATGTGGTTCACAAAGAAGGCCGCAATGGCGAGAACCAAGTGAAGCGATTCCTCTTGCATCTTCAGCATTGCCGTGTCCGCCGCAGAGGACTCCAGAACCATACACAAGCGGGACAACGTGAGCTAAAACGAACAACGAAAAATTAATCACAAGGTTTGCAAGCCAGAAAAAGCAGGCATCCAAACGCAGGGACACAACATAATGGGCACTGAAACCGCGTAAAACCCGTTGACTGACATCCAATATTAGATGCCTTGCATAGGCAGTTTTTTCAAGTGAAGCTGCTTAGAAATTATGGGAACATTTAATAGATGTTTGTATTTAAATCGTGCATGAACCAGCAACCTCCATTTACAATTAGTAGCCGGGGTTCACGTGTTGAAAGCTCTTCATGGCTCCAGGCATTTTCGGGAATTAAATCCACAATGTGCAGATCAACAACACGGGCGAGGTGGGGAAGAATTCTCCAGCTAACCACATAAAACATCGACACCGCATTTAGACATCCAATGCATAGAACATTTCCCATTGATATCACATCGATTACACAGCAATATCGATTTGATCCTTCTTGGCCGGTGGCTGCAATAACGACGAGTGTCTGATAAATCTGATTTCCTTCACTCAAAAAATACCGCTCTTTGTCTTCCGTTTAAGGAATTGTCGCTCTCGAGGTGCTTGCCTTGACCATCAGTAAAGTGTAGTAATTTAGCGGTGCAGCTGAGATATGGACCAGAAATGGTTTGAACAGCTGACGCATAACCAGGATCTGGCACCCACGTCAACCACTTCACCGTGGGTAGATGGCATTGTAAACAACCTCATTGCATTTACGAACGATGCAGAAGAAAAATTAGCGTTCCCAGAGTGACTCCGACATCACGAGAGCCTCTTCGGGATGAATGTAGTCACGAAACAGGGCTGAAAAGTCGGGCTTCTACTCTGCAAACTTGGACAAACGGAGTTAAACAAGCAATGTGATCTCCCCGAAATCCTGCGAGATCACTCATTCGACGACATCTTCCAGGCACTCAAGCAGACATTATTCGAGGAGCGCCCCGTTCTGTTCAGCATACGTCACCTGTGACTCAAGCCACTAAAAATCCAATTCGACGACTTCTTAACACGCCGCCGAATTGTCGATCGTGATTCCAAACGATTCTCATTTGCAGTCAGCAACTTTCATGATTCACAGACACTGAGACACGGGTGTTCAGCCCCGTCAAGCCGAACCCATCACTGAAACTCGACAAGTGGCAACAATTGACCAATGTGCGGTATGGAATCGTGGCGCAAACCAGCTTGAATTATCCAAGAAGAGCAAAGGAAACTTCTTCAGCGTGTTGGCAATGCGAGGACTGTCACCTTGTCGTGCTTACTTTTAAAGACAACATCAGTGCTACCACCGCAAGACCTTGGGGCACAAAGACCGGGTACTGTCAGACACGCCGACCCAACAAGAACAGGTCAAAATCCAATTGGCACTTTCTTCGGCCTATTAGTCGCTTCCCAGGACAACGGCCTGGGTGATGGATGCATACTACGGACGTGAGAAATGGCCGTCCAGCTCGTCTACAGTTAGGCAGAAGCGTACATCTTGTGGATTAAGACAAAATCATTCCATGTGTTTTTTACATACATTTTAGGTTTTCCTAGCTCCGTACAAAATGCGACTGGATGGCTTTTTCGGGAACCCCTAAGTTGAACCATATGGTATAATGCAAAAGGGGGGAATCCTACATGAGCTGTCTCGTGCGTCTGTTTGAAAAAAAAACAATACTACTACTTAAACCATAACCACAATGGAATGATACGTAGTTAAAACCACCAACGGCTAGACGCAAGTAATGGAAACCAAGCAGTCGAATTGCATCAGCCCGGCAGAACCAAGTCACAAACGAACACAATATAGCTATTATCGTATGTAGGAGGAACGATATGGCTCTTCACTGCGTTCGCAAGCTGAGAATGTTACTTTAATGAACAGCATTCGATTACCGAGAGCAGATGGACGGCGAGCGAGGGATCGCTTGGCCAAAGATTGCTTGCGTCCAGCTGTTCGAGCATGGCACTGGCCAAGAGGGATGCGGTCAGCAGAGCACTCAGGGCTTCCTCATCCAGCGCCCCCTCCGATCGAAGAGAGACACAAACTGGCTCATCTCGGGGGTGATGAGCAAATGCTTCGACCAAATGGGAGTTAATATCCTAGAGAAAGATCACAATAATAACTCTTCAATCTGATTAAAAAAGGGTTACCTTACAACGGATATTTTGCAAATTAGGTCGCTGCAACACATAGTCCCATACCTCCTTTTCGCCACAAACACTTTGACAGGTCCCAACGAGATTTCAGTTACACACTCGCTTAGGAAAATAACTTTGGACACAAATCATATATACTTAACTCGGCTAAAAGGCGCAGCTACGGTTCAGTTAAGGTAAAAGTCCACTTCACATACGCCTCGTAACTTGAACCACAATTGAAGTTGACTAGATGGCACCGAAGTCTCGTTTACAGTTACTAAATCGACATTCGACCAACCCTACGCACCGAAATGAGACTTAGTAGAAGGAGTGAAGGGAGCTTCGGTTGTTGCTCCTGGTCATTCTGACTTGTTGACCAGTTCGAGAGGATGCGTTCGGACGCCTCGCCTTCTTCGAGGGGCGGTGACAACGACTTGAGCAACTGCATGGCAGCTTCAACACGCGCAGACACCATGCTCAAAGAGTGATCAGTCGACTCCGCAGCCTGACACACGCGGTAGGGGCAGTCGATCGGGGTCTCAGTTGAGAGGATGAGGGATGGCGGTCGGAGCACGACTCCAGGACGCAGTCTAAGCGGTCGAGTGAGGGAGGAATCCGAGTCGAGGGCTTTAAGTGAAGTTAGGTCGAGAGGGGGCAACAGTAGCCAATCACGGAAAAGGGAAAAGGAAGAGTTGCAGCTTTCGAGCAAGTTCACGAGAATTGATTGGAGCCGCAGCCTAAAACGTTCAATGCATTTGAGAGATGTTAGCATGTTGTTTATTCCTACATGTCAATAACGACAATAGACGCAAGAGAGAAGCCATAGGCCGCCAAAGAGAAAATTTGGTGCTAAAGTTCAAAGACGTGTTAGATGTTCCCTTATAAAACAAGGCTGTGGTGGTGACAAACACAACAGGGAAACCAAAATTACCTCAATTTCGCGACTGGTGAATCCGGGGCATGCGCCACAATCTGGCAGTCGTCCTCGTCATGACAGGCCAGGTTGAGAAGCGCGTAGAAGTGGAACCAAGGGTTAGAATAGCGAGTCAACAAGGAAATCAACGCTTGCGACGGGTGCCTTGTATCCAAAAGCTAAAAAAAATAAATAAGACAAATAGATTTACGTAAACCGAGCACACAACCGAACAAAATACAGCCGAATGTACTTCCTTAAATTTTTCATCTAATTATTGGACGCCAAGAAAAAATAAGGTATTTGAGAAGCTCCAACCAAATGACTTGTGTCTCACATGAATGATAAAATCTAGGGAAAAAAGCGAATGGACACAACGATCTTAGCATTTAAACAGGGTAAACACGATGCGGTATGATCGCTCTTTACAAAAGAGTTTCGCATTGGTCAATAAAAGCGGAATCACGAAAGCTACCCAAAGTGAGCTAGACCAGTGAGGAAAGTGGTTCGTGGCGTGAAGGATAGATAATACACTAAACTAGCATCGATTCAACACCTTACGATCAGCATGAAAGAAAAATTACCTCGCAAACAAACACAATGGATTCGTGTAAATCGACAGCGCCCAATAGTTCGGCCACATCTGAGACATCAATTGCTTTCAAGTGTAGATCAGGAATTGTCCTTTCCAATGGCTGACTGTAGACGAGCAGTTTGTCAATTTTAGACAGGAGTGGCTTGTCTAAAAACAGTTGTCTTCCCAACTGTAGGTTTCGCTCGCAGACTTGATGGATGGTGTCGATAGCTACAAGATGACTGACTTGAAGAATTATGTCGCGATTTTCGGTAGACTTCCAGGTCTGAATTACGTCTGATATCTGAAAAAGCAAATGCAGTCATCCTCATAACCAGCATTTAGAACGCTAGTAACTTACTTGAAAAGCCAAGCTGTGATAATACTGGTCTACTGAATTGGTACTGCCGATTGACTGGGGCGGTGCGGCCAAAATGTGAGCAAGAGCGGACGCGACCGCAGAAGTATGCCTTGGATCGCTAGAGTGAACATCAAGTACACCGACAATTAAGTCCTTCAAGGCAGAGGAACGACAGCGAGCGGAATCTGGATCACGTGGCTTAGCGACGAACAGTTGTGTGATTAGCCGTCCGCAAGCATTACGCAACCACTGCGGCGCCTTCGTTCGCCCAGACGTCTGAACAACAAGCGAACGTCATTTACACAATGACAACAAACCTGTTGCTTTTGGAAACCGGACTGGAAGAGAAAGAGTTCTTTAAAAGCAAGTGGTCGAGGAAGACGAGCAAGAAGGGCACGAAGACGCATGCGAGAGACACGGACAATATCGGCCACATCGATGGAGACATCGGCGACCGCTGGACCATAGCTAAGTTGAAACAAAACAGCAAGGTAGTCCCCGAGATACGCATTCGGCGAAACGAGGTCATGAAGAGCGTCGATTGACGAACGGTTTAACGCGTCAAAACACTCTGCAATCTAAGGGGAAAAAACCATCTCGTAGCATGAGCAATATTCAGACTAAATTGTTGGATTCAATGTATGAGGATAATCGATGCGCTTGTCATTACAATGTATACTTTTTCAATAACTTAAATTCTTCAGCATGTGCCTGAAAACCAGATATGTTTAATTCTAACTAAAGCATTTTTCGGCCTTCTATTATCTTTGAGGGTAACTAACGTTATCAATATAGATTGCGGTTTGAGAAATGTACAGAACAGAGTACAAGTTTCCGTCTAAAATAAAGTGAACACTTTAGGTGTCAGCAGGATAATATTGGAGTGCCAACTCCGTAATCTCTAAATATTTACCGAATGGATATAAATTTAAGTACAAATTCTAAAAAGCAAGTCAACACCTCTGACGAACCGATGCAGTTAAAAAAATCGGAAATCCAACATACTAGGGGTTCAGAAATGTTGCGATTTTAGAACAATAGAAATTTTATACGAAACTTAGATATATATTAATGTCAAACGGTAGTTTCTTCGAAAAATAAATTGGGAGGTAGCTTATCTGGTGCCTCAATACAAGGGCTAGAGATGCAGCAGAACCACTAAACTCCGAAAACTATGGCGCTAGGTTTGTGACAAGTTATTGAACAGGATAGAAACATAGGTAGACGATCAGTGAAGGTTTTCAATTATTAGAAACAAAATAGGCAAGAGAAGAAAGCAGTACTGTGACAATTATACAAAGCTGAAATTGAATACGCACCTCAAACAATTTTTTGTGCCTATTAGACATATCACGCAGCCTAGGGCACTGGAATTTATCAGCATTTTCCAGTCGCAAATGAAGAGGCACCGAAACACCTGGAGAAAGAAGTGGATAAATTCCGAGGCAGACAACAAACTGCAAGCAGTTCGACAATTGCTGAGTTTGGTGAACACTGAATAATGGTTTGTCGCCGTCTGCCGGTAAATTAATTTGAGTCATTGACTTAAGGAGATGCAAGCAGCAGAGAACATAAGCTTCGGGAATTTCCGTTTCGTCGAGAGCATTTATCAAATCAGCGTTATCATCAAGGCCTTTTAAATAGCGTTCAACGCAAGCGCGAAAGCATCTTGATGGGTCACCGTCATCAATGTGGGCATTTGGCAGCAGATCGCGCAAGTTGACAATCAATTTCTCCAAATTGGACATCTAAAAAAATTATGGCCGCCTTCAACAGGAATGAACACATAAAATGTCACAAAATTAGCAACTGTAGTGGAATCAACCAGTCTCCTACCATAGGAACGTACAGGACAATTTATTGACAAATCAGAACGCACACTGTGCCAACAAGAATTAGTGATGTAATTGTAAAGTTTGGTGATACTCCGACACTCATGCGGCAAAACTGTGCTTTGTAGGAGTGAATTTTGGAATTATCAGGGTCCTGGCAACATAAAAGCCGCCCATCAAAACAGATTTCCGGATTTCGTTACGCATAGCATCCAGCTAGTGATCTTATTTATTTTGCTCCTTGTAGACCTACTCAATTCCTAATATCGGGATCGTCTCCGATGAATTTCTCCCTCTATTGGTGCATTCTCACAGGACACTCCACCCGAGTTACCCTGTATTTATTTATCAACTTCAAAAAACAAAATTTTGACGTGAAATCAGGGTGCCGGCATAGATAAATCGGAGATGGGATAGGTAGCAGCCAACAGAAGTCAAGCTAAGCATATTAATCCGGTATGAAAAAGAGAACCCGACATATGTTATGCACACAACGGCTAAGGAACTAAAGGAATATAGTAGCCAAGTAAAAAATTTCAAGAAGCGAGCCAAATCATATAGAATTGGAAGGGCCAGCAGAGGCCACTATACGACAAGGTCGCGAGCGAGCACTTTATTTGAGGCGCCATACAAAAGGAATTACTCAAACGATGGCTTATGACCTTATATATATGCATTCACAATCTTAAATTCACTTTTAGTAAAAAATATTTCATTTAATTTATTTAATTCGTTTTTTATATTAAAATCATTCAGCAAAGAGTACAAAATTCCATTATTATCAATTACTGCAGCAAGTGGATAATTAGTGTTAATAACTATACCAGAAATTAATTTGTCTCGATTTTTGAAACAAAATGTGCGAGCTAAGAATTTTTTTGTTGCACATATTAGGTTTCTTTAGAACTAGCGATGAGGCATCGTTTTTGTATCTGCTGGTAAAAAATAAATTTTCAGCATCCATATATTTCCATGACGTCAGTCAAAATACTTAGGGGATGGCTACAATATCTTTGTGTTTTTTACGCAACGCATTTAGTGTTATACGACTTTGTTAGAGCATTAGCTTTCTTCGACTGCATCTTTGAAAATATTCATGACCTTCAGTTTTTCAAGATCACTCATGCTTTTCCACGCCAATTTTCATATTCATATTCCATTACTTCATCCTATTGACCCATGCACATTTGAATGTACAAATGCTCTTACCCGCGATCAAGTCCACCCATACCATAAATAAGCGACCACATGTAAGAAAGTAAAAGACAGTAATAGCTCTTTGCACGTGGCATGGTCATGTCTTGCATTGGCATCTGGAAGCATAGACTCAGTGGTGTTTTGTACGAGTACTAAAGTGGGAGGCTTCTCACCTTCTAAAAATGGTTTCAATTTTTTTTCCCTTAAAGTTTTGCATCTGTGTAGCATAAATGGTAACAACTGGCTAATATAATTAATCATGGCAATTTTTTGAATGTAAGCATTTGTTACATGCGTTTCAACCTGGAAGCACTTTAAAGAGTCATTCCTAATGCTCAAAATCATTTTTTGACATTGAAATTATACGTTTACTAATTAAGTCAACCAATTAGTGCAGGTCTTTACAACCGGGTGAGAGGAAATTATGGCGTTAATTTCACTGGAAAGCAAAAGCAGCAATAACCAGAGTTTTCTTGTTTTTTTAGAATTTTAGACAAGTTCTTTATAAACGCATGTAATAACGTCGTGTCAATAAATGCAAAAGTGTATTATCGGACGCTATTATGATCATCATACAGTAACGTCACGACAATAAAAATTTGTGGCAACTGCGACCTGACTTGACACCACGTGTCTAAAAAATAAGAGGAAGACGAAGTCAATTGGAGCTTAACAGTAGGCATTCACAAAACAGAGAAGAGTATGTTTGTGTGTTCGCCTTTCCTATAAAGTTATGTCTACGTCGCTAACTGCTTTATTACAGGTTTCTAGAAGCAGAAACCAAGTGAAGGTGAGATATTTCTTAATCGTTTTCTTTGAATTCTACTTAAATTTGATTCGTAATGGAATTAAGGCTTTTTGAATAATTAGGTACTATCGCCACCCTTTCATTCGTTAAAAGATTTCAATGGAATTTTTCTGCAATTTAAAAAGACGGGTTTTAATTTTCTATGGAAATAATAGCAAAGGAAAACGTACTTCAACATTTTTCCAGGACCATTATTTGTATTGTTCTAGGTGCGTTACGCGAGCTCTAGACAACGGTTCAAAAGCCATAATAGGCCTTAACAAATGTTTACAACTTCGGTCTGAAATAATTCGAATAGTTATCTTTGCTGCAATTCGCTTAAATTTATAGGGATATGTGTACACTGATGCCTTATCATATGCGTTTATTAATTTTAGGCCACGGCTGGGCTGACTTGATGTTAAAGTAAATCGGATTGAGTAAATTTAAAAGTATTCGAGAGTGCTTTGATTAAGATAATTAAGGCAAATCAACATGGCAGATTTTAATGAAGATGACAATTTTTATTGTTATTATGACAGCAATGAGAACCTCGCAGCATAAATGCCGAATGTAAGTTTAAAACTAATTTTAATTAACTGACAATTAATCATAATAGATTTTTCACGATTCATTAACTACCATCATCATGATGACGTTCACGTAGACCCACGCATATATTGCGTGGGCGGCCTTGAGTACAGATAAGAGAAAACAGTAAACTTAAAGGTTTGTGGAATGATAAATAGAATGATAATAACTAAGTATATAAGTCGGTGTGCATAAGCATGTTAGATTTGGGAAAAAAGAAAATTGCAAATATTTTTATGGACGTAGTCTTGGGATGCTTAATTCCCAACGAACATTCACCCTAAAATCACTGCGCTGAAATGTAAATAAATTTAACAAGTATATCGTGGTTGATTCCAGGAGAAGTGGCTTCTAGCAATTCCGCTTTAAAATTTAGTGAACTGTCGGAGTACTCGGGAAATTCATGGTGGCCCGCTAGATTTAAGGGTACCGCTTGACCAGGTTTGCAAATCGTTCTTCAATTTATGGCCGGTAGGCGTAGTTGTTGGCATTCAAATGAATTTCCGTTTAAAATTATTACATGCTTTATCAGTTTGCAAAGTTGCTTACAATTATTAGAAAAGACTATACAGATTAGTGAGAAGTTTAATGGACATCCCTGATATTCTTATGAATACTGGTGGATTAAATAGCTCTTTTTATTATTTCATTCCCTGATTAGGCAATGAAAAGGATGTGCGCTATCTGATTATTTGAATGCTGTTGAATTTTGAAGCTTTGAAATGGGATATGCAAGTTTATCGTTGCATATCCTCCAAACGCCCTTGGGGTCACTGAAAGATGCTGGTGGCCAATTTCTACTGAGGGCACTTTGTTAAAAAGTGTAAATATGCACAGCAAACAATAGTTTACATAAATTATATAACCATCTGCACTCATGAGGCAGCTAATGCACCTTTGGCGTAGTGCTTCATTAGAAATCTATCCCATCTCTGATTCATTCTAATTCAGTTAGCAACTTCGTGATGTACCCTTTAGGAAAAAAGTTAGAAAGGAACGAAATTTTGTAACAATCTTGCTGTTGAACATATTCTTTTAAACTGATAAACGAAAAATTTTATTTCAATGCTTTCCCTTTTTTTGTCACACGCGATTGGATGGTCTTGTGCTGTGATGGTGTGGTTTTTGTCTGTGATAAGGAATGGCTTACACAAATGTTGGTTTCTCTGATGATAGCGTGGTATTTCACGGTCCCGATCCGGTAAATCACTTTAAATTTATTAAGTTTAGGCTGTCGGCACTGTTGGTTTAGAAGGAGATATCCAGAGCCCTGCAACCAACGCGTCTATTAAGGGAACAATTGATGAGTCAATCAAAGACACAATAGTAATACCCTCTTTATATGTACAATATCATAGTTAAGAGACGTTAAGTCAGTTTGTAGAAAACTCAAACATGTTATATGTCCTCGCCGCGGTCATGAACTTCTTCGTGATTGTACGTCCATCTAAATTCTATTGAAATTTATTCCAACATTGTAGGGGATTTATGGGGACCTTTCTTCATAATGATTATCCTTGCACTGTGAGTTGAATTTTAGTCTTTTGACGTGTGGCTAGTCCTATAAAGTGCGTCCGAAAGCGTTTTGTTGAATCCAAAACGAACGCGATGTTATAAAATCTGCGTAGTTCTCGAATTGATATAACTTTTGAAACGTGGATAAGAGCCACAACGTGCAAATAAAAATGCTCATTAGTCAAAAGTCACGATCATTTATTGTATTGGCAAAAGTTTTAGTAGTCGATTAAATTCACCCGTCAAACCAAGTATTTAGTCGTACCTTGAGTGACCATCGTATTTTTGCGCTGATATGCGTGTTAATTGTAGTTCACCAGGCGTGAGTCGTAGCAGTCCTACGTAGCCAATTTTAATCACGTTTTCTTGTTTTGGAATACCCTTTCTCATTTTTTTTTGGTGCCGTTCGTCAATCTTGTCACGAATTTTTAGGGTACTTCAACTTAGTCATGGACAAAAAGAAGACGCTGGTGCTCCTCAATTCGCTCAAGTATTCACTGTGTTTTGGTTAGGCGTAATCGCCGTATCTGTCAACACAAACTTACTCGGCGGAACTTTGTAAGAATCTGTTTCCCAAAGAAATCGCATTCTATATGTTTTCCTGCTTTCCGGTTTTATGTTCAAATCGAGTTGTTGGTTAGTCCATATTACAGTCAGTTCACACAAAGGCAATAGTTATTTCCGCTAAAAGGGAACGTCTGGCGAGTTCGTGGTCCAAGGTCTGTCGTGTTGTTTCTAGTACAATATGGAGTTATCTTTCTGTTGCACAGCAGTAGTCCACCGACCTGTTCGTGGTTAAAACAAATAATTTCTAACAACTTTTGCTAGTGGTTGTAGGCCCCCATTTCTATCTGCCTCTTTCTCACTTTTTCCTAAGGTCATTTTGCCAGACGGTTTGCGTACTTGGCTACTGCATTCTACCTCTCGTGACTGCCCTCGTCATAAATGTCATCATCAAACTCTTGACTCCACCAAGTGGTTGGATCCTGCTTATCCGTCTCTTGGTTGTCCTGACCGGCCTCGCGTACTCCCTCTTCTCATCTACTACATTCCTGGCGCCTAGTTCGAAGCCAGGCAGGGTTTCACTCGTTGTATATCCGCTCTGTCTTTTCTACTTTTTCATCGGCTGGCTCGTCTTCGTTAACACGGGCCCTTCCAGAATTTAACATTCATTTATTTCTTTTAATTTATTGACCATAACCTGTTGCATTAAAGTCTGTAACCAAGGATGGACATTCAGATTTTCTCAGCACCAGCCTGGTGTCTGACAGAATAAATGTACAATCTGAAGTGTTAAGGCTCTATTCCTTTAGGTTTAGTCGTGGTTGCCGTTTAATGATACTTACCCGTTTTATTGCGTCCAATGTCAAGTAGCATTTTCAGGGTTGTCAGTGTCTAGGCTTCCATCCTAATTCATGCTCATTTGCTTTGGTACATCAGTTTTAAAACGGTATCGCCTTGGAAAGATTGTAATTCATGAGCAAACGTTGTCTTAGCAGGTCGTCAGGGGTTTTAGTGAACCGTGGTAGGCGTCCTTGCTACTGTGCAGTTGAGTTCGCTACCCCTGTAACTGTTTGTTTCTCTCGCATTCTGGAAGCCGGTGTCAGCACCGTAGCATATAACGATTTTAGACTATTCTCAAGCGGGAGTGGTGCATGCATTGGCAGTGTAATTAGAAATTCAGTAGGACACCTAACTATCCCGATTGAAACTGCATTCGAATCATTCGATATATGCGACTGAGTTGTTATGCCTGCAAAGTAGGGCACACCAGCACTAGGGTAGAATAGTGACATTGCAGTCGGAAGGGCCTACGGTGTTTTGCAAACTCAAATTGCGCCATTACTTCGAAAACAGTGCACGGTGGGGCCATCTGATGCCGATGATCAAAACTTTTGTAGTTTCCTGTTGTTGAGGAGGAGGCCAAGTCAACTAAATCAGACCGCCACGTTGACAGCGTTGTGTTTGCATGGTGTGAAAATCAGCTAGGTTCCTAATCCGACCACCACGCAAGTCTCACGGCAAATCTTGCCGTATTTGCAGTCTTTCTCAGTGAAATTAATGTCTCACTGTGGGTCCCTTGACAACGCGGAGCGAGAAGTTGCGGCACATGACGACAGACACCCCAGCACTTAAATTACCTCTTGAAGCAACAATTATATCTAGTGGCTCTATGGAGATATTATGACATTACAAAAAGCAATAGACTGAAGCCCTCTATCACAAAGACTTGTGTAAGTCTAGTATTACAGATTAAGCCATCATTTCTGGGTTGAGTGTTCTAGGAACACTCTTGTCGCAAGCAGCTCATTCAATGCTTGTGGTTATAGGAAACTGGTAATCTCGGAAACGAATGTAATTGTGTTTTGACTCTTCTCAAACATTTTAATGGCATGTTACTATAATTAGCACTGGTATGAATATGAGAAAGCATGTACAAGCCCAAAGTTGCCAACACGCCTTGAATATCATTTCAAAGCTTATTGTCGAGGGAAACATCAAAAGAGTCTTCTAAAACGTTGCATTTATGGTGCGTTTGTGCTAAGAAATTAACCAAAACTACGCATATACAGGTATTCTGGGAATTTGTTAGGTTACGTGGAAATTTAGCCAACTTCGGTAGTGCCGTTTTGATTCTAACTTCATCACTCTTCACACCTGACCTTGAATGTAAGTTTGCTACAAGATAATTCATCTTCCCAACAATCAAAATACTTGAACGAAAAAGTACCTTGACGTTTCCAATTGTTTACCGACATGTAGCTTCAAATCTCAACAGGCTACGTACGGAAAGGTGAACTATTAGCACTTTTTTTAAATGCAGTTTGCATAATTATCTTTTATTGATGCATTTACCTAGTTTGCTCATCAAAATAAGTTTGGAGGTAACCCGTCTAAACTGTCGACAATGCCTGCATGGTTAAAATAAATGTCTTTTCACTCACCTTTTGGTATTGTCAAGATATTTGTAGGGTGTCTAAAGTTCACCACGTTTTTGGTACTTCGGAGCGGGCTATTCCTCATAACTTAGAAACGAAACTCATTGTTTTCATTTGGACAAGTGATGTTTGAGCTGGACATGTGTGAATGAGTTTCGGACTAAACACTCGTCAACTTCCTTTGATTCCTGAATGAGGTCGGGTGGTGCTGGTGACCTTGCTTCCTAGAAAAAGTACAACTCGTTATAGTTATCCCGCCGCATTCGCCAAAACTAATCGGATCTAAGACATCAATTATCATTTTATGATTTGCTTGTGGTGGAAGACGTATTGGAAGTGAAATGAAGTTGGCGTTTTTAAAATGATAACATTTCCACCCACTGCCTCATTTCCGACTTCAACACAACCTTAAGGTTTCCTAATTTGTTAGTTTGAGGCTACAAGCTCTACTACCTCACGGAAATAGAATCTGTATGGTTCTTAAAGTTAAAACGCACAATGCTTTAAAAAATGCGCAAATGTGGATTTATGTTGTGAGTCTTTTAATGTCTGTGAACTACACAAAAGCTGGGGATGAAGGGGAAACAAGGACACTTCCCACAGTGGTTGTCGGAAAGAAACACCGCAGTCGCCCACGTGAGTTGGAATTTTCACACGTTCTCTTGATGTGCTACGCCAAGCAAGGCACAGTGTTTATCGACGGCGAGAAGCCCGCTGCTCGTGTCAACCTCGACCAAGCACCACTTAAACATTCCGCTTGCATGCACACAATGGTGGATTAGCAGCATTACTTGTAAATCCTTTTTGCATGACAACCAAATACCTTGGTTATAACACAGATATAGTTTGAATTCTACAGCACAAGTTTGAGAAGATGTTATGTGGTCTCGATCGACGAAATTCCATTGGTGCTTCTGTTCAATTTGGTGAGTTCACGGGGGTCAAAATAACTGTTACGCGACTTTCTACGGACAGACTTTAAGTGGACGTGGTGCGTCTCGCAACGTTGCACCGGTGAAAGAGCCTATCCCAGTAGTCGATCTTCCAAGTTATGCGATGACGGTCTAGAAGTGTCAAAAAAAACCGGCTCAGAAAAAAATTGCTTTCTCTCATTTCGAATTTTCCAAGTAAGAAATGGGATTTCCCATTTCTTTAATGCACAATGGTGGATTGGTGTGTATTTCAGTAAAACAAAATCAAATTATGTAGGTCACGTGGGGCTTTGTGTCTTCTGTTGCCTTGTTTTGACACCTGCAACTTGGTACATTCTGCGGACTTGTAAAACTTGCTGAAAAATCAGCCTAATTTATTGTGAGAACTCATTTTACGCGATTATTCACTGTGATTAACACTTCCGTTGTGCATTATTATGCTGCCAACAGTAAATGCCAATGGCGATTGCTGGTAACCTTGGCAGTTTAAATGCCTCCCATAAGTTGCTTTGGTATTTGGCACGCTCCCACCCCTTTTTGTTAAGTTTTGCCTTGTTGGTCCAAAGCGAACCCCGCAAATATTACTCCCAGTTGCACACTCTATGTCGAGGAAGGCCCACCTAATTTTCAAGGTACCTTATGTACAACTCACGTAGCACATTTAAGCCGTCTTATTTCCCACTGCTACTACCACCTGAACTCAAAACAGCTAGCGTGTGCACTTCCACGATCTGAGGTACATTAACTCAAAAAGCCCAGGTTGAAAACGCGCGTATTTAAATGTATGGAGGTAGCACAACATCCACTAAAGTAGTCATTTCTTGTATTTGTGCAAACGTATCAGCGATTGTAAGCATTTCACTGAATGTACCTATTATTCTTAACCTTCCGCAACATGGTTTAGAGGAAGTTAGTTGTCAAAAAAGCCCCCCGAAAAGATCTGGGCCAATTTTTTTAGAAAAAAACTTGTGCCTACTTGATCCTTGAGTCCATTTCCCTGGAGTGTTTTAATGACGAAAACTAATACATGCGCTTTGAAGCCTGGTAATTCAAAATTGTCAGGTTAGAAATTACTAAAGATGATGAAATAATTATTGGGGAAGTGTATAACCACTTACTCAAATTGCTTGAAACTGTTGAAAAAGTATTCATACATTCCTCACCAAAGTATTTTAAATGAATTTATCAATTGTGCCCTGTTAAGACTAAAGTGCTGCACGAAGAGCCACACACAAGCAACCAGTAGCAACCAATCCCCACGCACTGAGTGTGATTGTGTGTGAGGGTGCAATGAGCACTTGATTTAGGCCTCACTGCGCTCTCGAGATCTTTCACACACAGTTTGCAGCAATACAGGCGCACGACTTCATGGCGGCGCAGACCAAGAACGACCTCGCCGCCTTCCTTCGCAGCTACGACACCGACGGGTCGGGCAGCTTCGACCGCGACAGATGGCTCCACCTCTGCACAAGCGCCAAGATTAATCTGCCCCAGGAGAGCGCCGCAGACCTGTTCGATCGACTTGACACCGACAGGAACGGGATTGTCACCATCGCCGAGTTACTGGACAGCCTTAGTGAGTGGCAGAAGTCCCTCGGCGAGTCGGGTGCTGAGGCGCTTGGTGGCATTGAGACGGGTATGCCCGTAGATGTCGAAAGATTCGCCGGACCCAGTTCAACATCATTCCGTAATATGAAGGACAAACGCATGGACAGTCTTTACGAGTCCTCGCCGAACGAACTTGATGTCGATTTTGGGAAGAGGTGTGTTCATTTCCTCAAAGCGTTGACGTGCATATCAAATCACCTGGTTTTATCGCTAGCACTTATGTTATCAATTCAACCAGGTCTAACTTTCGTGTTATTCGATAAACAGCACTTTGGGGACAGACAAATTGACCTAGTGAGATGTGATTCCATACTCTCCGCTAGTGTGTTGACCTTAAATTATTGCAAAAAAAATAATTTTATTCACAGTAGCGCTATAATATATAATATTTACTTGAATCCCGTACTAAACTTGACGACAGAGTGTTAAAAAACGCAAAATGCTATTTCTGCTCAACCGGGGATTTCTGATGCTCTTACGTTTTGATTGGCTGTCGTTTAAGAAAGGCGAAGTTGGGTTAATGCAAACCTCTCTAGTAATAACAACAGAGAGGAATAAGATTTTTAGACCAAAAATCGTCATTCAAAGCAACACACCACCCACACACACACAAACTGCTCGTGGTTGCGCAATCGCATTCATCACTGTGACTCACAAAAGTCGCCGATCTGGCTGGTACTAGGCATTTAAATTTTAAGTTGCGTCAAGTGGTGAAGTTCCTCCTGCCATCAACGTCACGACTCCATTGTACGCTGTTAGAGAAGCAGAAAGTGCAACATTTTGGGTCCATTTGTTAAATCATCCTTTATTTTTTTGAAAAAAAAACATTAAATTTAGGGAATTCAACGTCACATGGTTTTAAACTCAAATGTACATGCTGAACCCTCGTTTAGTCTTGTTTGGATGCAAACTTAGTTCCGAATTGCCTGATGGTGCAACAAGAGGCCAAGCAAACGCAAATATTCCTAGCTACTCCGTCTTCGACATTGAAGGTGCAACGGATTCGAAAAAGTGTCCTTGGTGGAACTTTTGGAATCGTTAATAGCAAAATTGTACGAATCGGCTGACCTGAAAATGCTTAGGTTTTCTATGCTCCTGTGAAAGCAGCACTCGGGATAAATGACCAAACATGAATAATTTTCAATAGAGTGGGTTTCCCTTTATACACCAAATGGCAAGACGGACTCATGATGAAACAGTGACTTTCTAGTGGGACTTTTGTCATTTTAAAATTACGTATAACAACTTCCGAATTTCGGAAAACGAATTTCAGGACACTGAATGAAGGCAAGCCTAAAACAGCTCTGCAGATTCTTATCGACTGCAAGATGTACGTGTTGTGTTTATGTAATTTAAGGACGCTAAAGTATTTTGGGGGCTGTAGTTGTTCGTTTAAGTTTTCTAAAGAATAAATATTACCACAATAAGTAGAGTAAATAGTAAATGTCAAATAGTTAATGCGTACAACCAATAGAATTCTTTCCACCATCGTGCATTTTGAATTGTGGTCCAACAAAACCAGCGTAGTAAAACAAAGGGTTATTCGAAAACAACGCGACAACTGTTACTATTCCCCATAGATAGCGCCGCTTTTTCTCAGTATTTTTTTTTTGTTGCTGGTTGTTTACTCTGCGTCTCACCCTCCCTAGTGTAGAGGAGGCCACCCGGCTGAGTAAGATGATCAGTGACTCCTATCCGGAATTAGCGGCGTCGTTTCGGCACCTCTTGGAGACATTTAAGAAGGACATTGCCATCAAGAAAAACGAGCATGCAGACCTCGAGGAAAGCTATCAGAGGCAAGTCTGTTCTTTTTACGAACTGGCCATTAACCAGCTCTCCTGTTCACATTTCTTGAACTACTAACCCCAAAAGCCGTTAAGTTGCTTTGTTATCGTGGTTCTTGCAAAGATTTTCAAATACCTCAATTTGACATACAAAATTAAACGAAATCTTATTAGTTGTATCCTTCATCAATGGTACATCCACCGTAAACCCTGTCACCAGTGTATGATTGAAAAAAGGTTGAAATTTCAAGTAATATGTTCCTGCATCAGGGCTTACACTTGCTTTGAAAATAATATATTGCTGTTTGTTTGTCCAATGAACGAATAGTTAGTCAGTTACTTATCTCGTTAAGTAATAGATTTTATTCTCGCGGACGTTGGAGTCAAATTCTAGTCCTCCTTGGGCTATTGTCGTACAAAAAAGCCATAGATAAATTTTAACGATTGGGTGGTTATTAAAAGGTCCTTCACAACCTTTTACTTAATCCACCAGAGAAAAACTCGCCCGCAAACAGGACCTGCAGAGGTTGGAAAAGGAACTGGATTCCCAAATTCAAATGGTTGAAGAAAGGTTAAGGACGGAAGTGAGTTTTCCATTTGGGCATGTTACTTGACATTGCCATTGGTCAAAACACTCGGTAGTGAGGTGAAATCGATTTTTGAATCACGATCTTGCAGAGGAGAAGAAAAAATGCCACCTTTGTGTTTACGATTTCACATTTTATTACTTGTCACAATTGCGTTTTCCTGCTTCTGGGGCAGTTGTTCTGAAGCAGACCAGTGCATTGTTACTGAGAAAATCAAATTATGAATTCAATCGAAGCCATTTTTGCATGTTAGCCGAAAATACTCCACCAAAATCATTGCTAAAAATATGGATGTTAGCATCGGCTCTCTACGGGATAGAACGTTGCTCCAAAATGTAGCTTGTCCTGTTCTGTTTGATAAACATGGGTTTTATCAAATTGGCAAGTCCCTGCCATCTCTCAAATAGCACATAATTAATTGTTATGATAAATATTTATACGTTTTCTTCAAATGTGGGCTAGCCTTTCTGCCGTTTGTGCCAAGTTAAGGAAATAAATATCGTTCGTTCTTAACTTAAACTCCTAACGCACAGTTGTTCCACAAATAATTTACCGATTTATCTGACTTGTTTCAATCCACAAAATTTGATGAGAAACAAGCCATAAATGTGCAATTGCTTCCGCATTATCAAAGAGGTTGGAAATGTAATTTTTAGGCCCTCAATTATTGAAAAAAAGAGCTAAATATATTTGTTTATTTTTGTACTAGATCAGCAAAAAATACGAAGCTGAGTACACGGAAAAGGTGAGACGAAAAGAGCTTGAAACCCAACGTTTCAGAGAGACCGTCAACGAACTGACGCAGGTTAGTTTGCGATGCTTGTGACTGCTTACTTTGCATTCTTGTGAATGCAATGTCTTGTCAGCCCTACAGCCTTTGTGATATTTTAGTGCATAAACGAAATGCAACATGCTCTGCTTGCTAAAAGGAGCGCCAAACAGTGTATGCTAGTAATTGTGGATTTATGCAATCTAACAGCCACATGTATCAAACTGCACACGCCAGCACAATCTTCCTTTAAGCAGATACCAAACTATTCTAAATGTGCAATTTAAAACAGACCAGTAATTTGATATTCCGTCGTAAGCCTGCAGCTTCAGGTACAAGGGCATCACTGTAATGCCGCGAAGTTAAGCGATCAAGGGGTGACCACATTTATTCCGCTTCCCACACCGAAAGCTTTCCCGTTTCTCACTCCCTCGTATCTCTAAAGCAACCCTGAGCTCATGCACATCTCAGAGGTATTAGGCCGTCGGCTCTGACGTAAGTTGGCGTAAGCTGACCCCAACTGTTCAGGCCACAGTGGCTACTACGAAATGTGAGTAGCACATTGGTTAAGGACAGCTCCGTCGGGCTGCTTGGGTAGCCACTCGGATTATGCGCCAAACCCTGCTCACATCGGGAACGTTTCACTAGACTTTGAATCCACTTAAATCACTAAATTTGACAAGATTAAAAACACTTTGACCACCCTAAAGTACTTTTATTTTCGCTAAACAAATGTTTTTAATTTCATTCTCATTCATGGGTTGTCGTATTGACCTCGATATTTGCCAATTAAATTTGAGGGCAAATCGGAACTTGTATTTGTTTTAATATTCTCGACTACCAATAGCGTTATTTCAAATATATGTGTCGAGACCGTGGTCTTGGTGAACTTGTGACAAACTCACCTGTCTGCCAGGACACCTCCCGGGCCGCTTAAAATCTAATGAAAGCCGATATTAAATTGATAAAAAAATCCACCATGATTTCTAGCATCTGATTTCACCTTAAGCCAATGAAAGAATCATTGAAACTCATTGCTTACTTGCTGGATGCCCAACAGGGCTTTGTCGCCATATCCCCGCACAAATGTGGCTTCATTGCCAAATATTTTTTGTGGTAATTGCTGTGCGAAAAGTAGGCAGAGTTAGGCTAATAAAAAAAGCTTGGCATGAGATATAAACTACTGTTAAAATGACAGTGATTACTCCAATCAGTGCCACTTAAACACACACCTTCTAGAGTATATTTAATATTTTCTTGGAGTTTGGCCGCGGTAGAATGAGAGAGGTGCCAGAAGAAGTCATTAAAATTATGCATCATTTCGCTGATTTTGGCTTTAGCAAGTTCAATCAAATAAGAGGAAACGCTCCAGCATCACCAACGTGCGTTCAGCGAACAAGTTGGCACCCACGGAGGACGGTGTGTTTGCATTCGGGGGCTTCAAAAACCGCATCGGCAACGGGCATCCTCAGAGCGCTGAGGACTTGAAAGCCCAGGAGGCATCGGCTGAGTCTGCTCTTCTGAAGGAGGCCATGGAATTGCGTAAAAAACTGATGGAAGCGCAACAGCACCTCAGGGAAAGCGAAGCTGAGTTGACACAGTTAAGAGCCACTGTAGAAACGCAATCCTCGCAGCTATACATGTGAGGCGCTATATTGTGCTCTAAATCAAATTGCTCTGACTGGGTGAATAGTTTAATATTTGACAGTTGCCGCCCACCCCCCCTCCCGACATATTGTCTACTTAGTACACTCAGCATTAAATACTCTGCACCATACGATTGTCCCTTAGGGCATTGCCACTCAATTTTTCAATAGGCACGGCTTGTGACGGCAAATTTTGAATGCATTTGCAATTGCGTTGTTAGTTCAGCTGGATTAAAATCTTGGCATATTTCCAAGAATATCGATTCAAACTAGTCTTTTTGTAGGTTTTAGTGATTTTGTTACAAACCCCTCCCTAGTTGTAGCTTCTGGTTGGCACAAACCACTAACTTATCTCTTTGACACAAGAGTGTGTTCCCAAGAATTGACTCGAAATTCAATAAAAAATTGCTTCATTGTTGTTCATGACGGCGTATTTCTTTAATCAAAATTACAATTGGTCACTCATTAGAAATGCATATCATGGCTGTTAGGGAATTCGTTTTAAACTCGTTGCATCCATTGCATCGATTTGCGTGCAGAGCCATATTAAGAGAATATGCAGATCTAATTATCCAACAATTCTCCTTTTTCGAGGGAGAAATTGCGGGCGTCGACGTTTATCGAAGAGAAGGACCTCCTTTATGATCAAATTCAAAAACTCAGGTACAGTCACTTTTCAACCGTATTTGTCCATCTTCCCGCTAACACATTTTGGCATTTTCGACTGCCAGGTGATTCTAATGCGCAGTGCCTCCATAGTTAACTTTTGACCGTATTCATTAAACTCCAGCTCTTATTACCTAAACAGAGCATGTTCCAGCAATAAAAGCATTTGCGAAGAACTTTTTTGGCATAGCAGGAACAAAATCATTGGAAACACAGGCCAAATCCCTATTAATCCGTGTAATTTGGCGCATTTTTTTCCCATCAGAGATGCTCTCCGTGAAGTTCAAGGAATGCACGCAGCATTTCATCCAGAAGAATGCCTGGAGAGAGCTCCCGTGAGTATCCCTCTTCAAATTTTACTTGTTCGCAAAAGCGCTTTGTCTCTGGCACCAGTTTGTTGCCTAGCGCATTCCCCCACTTGACGTGTAAAACTGCCTTTGGCAAATTACTGCGAAGACAAATCTTGAGAAAGCCGCATTTAAAAATATTCCCCTAATTTCGTGTTTTTATTAGACCACAATGCCGATTGCTCTAATTTTATGTCGATCATTTAATGTTTACATGTCTTTGTACGTGCAACGGTAACTTTCACATCGAAGCCTAAAATATGCACTTTCTCATTTAGGACCTCCAGGGTCAAAGCTGGCGGCGAGGTTTGTTTTGGCTAGTCATTAAATGAAGGACCTCATGCGAGTCACAAACTAATTTTACGGTTTTTCTATTGGTCTAGACAGTGGTCAGTGGTCTGGCTCAAATGAATATAGTGATGTAAGTCCTTTTATTTGCGCTGTGCCATACAAACCTCCAAACCCCATTAACTCTGACTCACAAGTTCGTCGTGATCTCGGCTTAAAAAAAACCATCATTGGAGTTGTTATCTTACGATCCGGATTACCCCAAACACCCACCTTTCGTGCCGAGCACACATGCATTACAGTGACTTCCCTGTGGTTTCTTGAAATACAACCAGGTATATCGTGGGAACCTACCATCCAATTCCCCAATAAATCCATGAGAAAGCTTACCTTGTCTCTAAATGTCATCCACCCACAAATTTAATTAAAGAGGCAAATGTTAGTTTGGAGTGCTTACGTCACTTTCGAAGCAATCCTTCGTCACCATATCGTGCAATACCTTGAAGGAGGTAGTAGGTGTAGACATTTTTGAGGCTCAGAATTCACATCTAGACAAACAATTTACAGAGATTCCTTGTCATTCTGCGAGTTTTCTCTTAGGATACATTTCTTGTGATTGTGAATGCGCATACTTTATCCCTAAAATAATGATTTTTTGACCTAAAATACTTTGTAATCAGTAGTCTGAATGCAGCTTTAATTAAACACATTAAGTGAATAATCCATTGAAAACTGATGAGCTTGAAGAGCACATAGCAAGTTAGAGTGTTTTCAACATCCAACGGGTCGACAGCATTCTCCAATCAAGTCTGTCGACAAGGGATTGTACTCGACACGCTATTGGCTGATTCCGCGTTAACAGCTACGCGGTAAATTGAATTTCATAAGGGAGTCCTGAAGGCAACCCGTGTGATACTCGAAGGGTTACGAACACGGATACCCCAAGGTCAGAGTCAAAAGGAAATGAGTCGGTCATTAGGTGACTCAATTAAGTTGTGTTTATACACAAATTCACGCCAGTGCACACGTCGCCCATGATCACTGTGAGGGGGAGGAGAAACGGCTGCATTCAGTTGATCAATCACACTACTGTGGATAGGATGCAAAAGTGCAGAGTTCAAAGCAGAAATGTAACTTTTGTGGGTGAGGCTGACTGACACGAACTAACACAATTCACTTCACAAATTTTCAGTGGCTTTCAGTGTCGGTAAGTGAATGTTGTACGAAGGTACGGTTTGATGCACCCGCTTGACCACATCGCTTGTCGAAATTCTCCTACTTTGCGGTTTCTTCTTCTAGTTCTCTAGTTTGATTTTGGTCAGTTAATGTCTTCGTGGACACACTTCCAGTGGTTGTATTTGAGTGAACCATAATCTTTTTAGAAGTAGCTTCTCCCACCTACTTCGATCTATCACCTATTCAAAGCTATTTGCGCAAATTTAAGAGCACTATCATTTTGTGTTTTTGTAATGCCATGTCACTTGGTTGCATGCAAAGCAATTTCCAAGCGGTATCCGTTTGACCACTTTGAGCACGGTAATTTGTCCTACATCTCCATGCCTATATTCGTGAATGATGAATCCTAAATGTCATTCGACAGTGGTAGCTTGTCTGTAAAGGGTAAAATAGCATTGCAGTTGCATCCATCTCTTATGCCGCGGTTAGTTCCGTAAGAACGGGGTGGGAAGGAGGAATTTGTAAATTTAGTGCCTTCGGGCGAAAAGGGTGGCTGTGTGAAGCCCACATGTCTAAATGACAACTTTAAATTTGCATTGAGAGAGTACATTAGTGAATTTAATGCCTGCATTGGAAGAACGCCCACGCGCACCTAAATGGATGTTATTCAAATGAAGATGTTAAATTATTGGTAATGAATCAAACCAATTCTGACACCACTCAAAATCCGAACGCACAATTCACAACTGACGGCTTCCAGAGTTGCACACATGATTCTGATACATCTTTATTGTCTCAGCGCAGCTTATAAGTCCGCAAATAAATAATTTGTTCCTCTTGGCAGCGGCACTTTGCAAACGCGGATCCCGAAGTCGCGAGCACCACAAACTGGTCAAATTTGGACAGCTACCACGCGCCCGATCGTATCTTCCGAGTCGTTATGGTTGGTGATTCGTCGGTGGGGAAGACCTGTTTTATGTACCGTTTCTGTACCGGCGATTTCTACTACAACGCTCGAGCTACGGTTGGTAAGTGAATACTGTTCCAGGGTGGAAACAACTGACATGTATTAGTTCCTCATTGCCAAGGCAACGACTATCCTCATCTGCCAAAGTTGATCCAATTGTTGTTGATAGATTTGAGCTTCCACACGATAACTGAAAGGAACTTTCACAGCTCACTCCACGTTCTGTGAATTTTCCTCGACGTTATTCTGGCCTTGGAAGATATTCAAGGCTATGCAACATGTGAGGTGTTGTTGAGGCGGGAACGGATTAAATGCCCCAGTATTTGGAGTATTTTAACAAATTTTACAGGTTTCTTACTATGAGCTAATACGAAAAATAGTTGTTTCGTAAAATTGTGGCAACTGGTCATTGATACGTGGACAACAAGCATCCAGAAAACGCAGGCTTTGATGAACCTTGGGGCCTACACAGCACATATTGCGAGGTTTAACATAGAATTAGTTGGTTAAGTGTAACTTATCAACAAATATTTAATTTACTAGGTCACTGTTGGTCGAATTCGAGTTGAAAGCCAAAAACCACAAACTAGAAAGCTACCTTTGGTACCAAATAATGTGTGATACCTACTTGAGGTATGGTCTAATTATTGGCCAGTGGTCTGCACTAACAGATGCCTCTGGAAATGATTGTGACGGTTGAGCACGTGCTACATGAATAAATTAAGCTTGCATAAATTTTCCGGTCCTACGAAAATCCACTGATTTCAAATGTGGCAACTATTTCTTATCAGCATAAATCAGTGCATTATAACTAAGAAGTGATCAAAAATTTGGCTTGAGGAAGCGAAACTGACTTTACTTTCCACTAGATGACCTATGCCTGGTGGAGTTGATTCATTATTTGGATTACTAATTGGTTGTAGATGCTCACACTCTTTGGTTTAATAAGCACATTTAATTGACAAGAGGAGCTACTCACTGAGATTGTATGAGAATTGTTTGTGAAGTTTTGGCGATTTTTACATTGCTGGAAGAAAATTTAAGCAGCAAGGTCAGTGCTCAGGTTGTGCAGATTCGATTCAGCCAAGGTCATCAAACAGCCATTCTGGTGTAACTTTTTAAACTGAAGATAAATCTTTAACTTAAAACCCTCAAGTTAACATTAAGTTTATTTCTTTTGTAGGTATCGACTTCAAAACCAAAAACATGATGATAGATGGTAACGTCTACACAATCGAAATTTGGGACACTGCAGGCCAAGAAAAGTAAGTTTTGTGTTTTGCAAACGACTAACCCAGCATAACATTAAAAATATTTGAGTCGCCTTTTACTAGTGTCTGTTCTGCCCACGATAAACCACGAAGTGCCAGGTTGTGTCGAGCCACTGTGCGTCAAGTTGTGCTGGGTTGGTCGGTTTGATGGCCTACACAACGTGGATGAACTTGTAAACGTGCGAATGGTTGAATGGCCGGATGAGTGAAACGATTAATAGATGCATAGGGTTGTGCGTGCGCTCTCACGTGGCCGACCGACTTGTTGTTCAAGGGGGTGTAGCGTGTCGGAAAAACGGGCCAATCGGGTAAATGGACGCTACTTGTCTGGAGACAAAAAGAGCCAATTACCCCAATTATTTCAGTTTACTTTGCCTAAGCACGTTTACAAGTTATCAATTGTTTGCCGTTGCTTGTACTGTGGGGAAGAATCAATTCACTTTGTGGAGCCGAAATGCATACTTAAGTTCGCAGATTTCAGTGCCACCAAATAGATTTCTGTTCGTCTAAAAATTGGACGAGTTTTGGTTGCTAGACATTAAGCATTGCAGACGTTGACATTTTGGGTTAATTAGTAGTTGTGTCTCAACAACAATTTAGTCTACAAATTAACAATAGTAAGTTTCCTAAAGGTTTTTGAACTCTACCGTGACGCCTTCACACCAAATCACTCATTACTTGGACTGTACCACTAAAGGGATAATTCATGAGGCCACCGAAACTTTATCGATCCCACCGAATGGAAGCATAGCTTAGATCGCAAAACCGTTATGAACGTTATGTTTTTGTTTCAATTTTATGACTTATAGATTTCACAGTCTGGCAAGGCAATATTTCAGAAAATGTGACGGTGCCATTCTCATGTACGATGTTTCTAGTCGGGAATCCTTCCTCGGGGTTAGAGACTGGATCAGCATGCTTGAGGTAAGATTTTCCAATCATTGTCCACATCCTCTATGGAACACCTCGTCCTTCGGGGTGTTTCTACACGTGAACAACCCAGATCAATATTGATTATGCATCTCTGTAAAATTTACTTGCCTCTAATATGCATTTTCTTCGAAAGAATGCAGTACTAATTGTGTCAGACTTTGGTCCTTAACGCATAATTGTTCATCCAAATAAAACTTGTGGAATGACACTCCGAACAGGCATAAAACGCGTTAATATTTATGTAGTCAGGGTGAGAGTTTACAGACGCAATGGCCTCGTGTCTCGACCTCGATTTGATGTTCCGTTTAGTCAAAGATTCGACACTAGCACATAGGTACCTTGTTAATGTTAGTGAACGTGGCAAGAGGTGCCAAAAACGTCGTAATGTAGATGTTGCGCATGGCCTTGACAATTAATTTTCGTCACTGCATATCCCTGCGCCTCATAATCCTAAGCAAAATTGTAAATTGAAAATCGATAATCGACTTCGCGAAGCCACCGGGTACAACTTGAGGAATTTTTTGCCTTTTTTGCAGGAGAACTGTGGGGAGACATTTCTTCCGCGCGTTGTGGTTGGCAACAAAATAGATCTTCGAGATGGACCGGAAAACTCCATCAAACCACCAGCGACCGCCTTCATTACAACACAACAAGGAAAGGATCTTGCCAAGGTGATCTTGAACAATCTTAGTTTATTTTTCTCAAATGTCTTTGAATACATTGTGCATTTGGAAGGACTCACCAAAATCCTCTACAAAGAGGCGGACTAGCAAAAAGTGAAGAGTCTTTCTTTTTAACGCATGAAAATAGCACTGGAAATTTGTTACCAGTACACTTTTTGTATGGATTTATTTCGAGCTGTGCTACTGTTTTAAAAAAAGTATGCAAATAAACAGTTAACTTCGCAGATAATAGCTGAGGTTTAAAAAATTACACATTTGGCGATTAATGCATGGCAAGTTAATGCTATAATGCTGCGTCGAAACCTGCGCCTATTTCATCCTTTATCCCAGTCCATGAAAGAATCCCATACCATTTTGTGATTTTCGGCTTCATAATGTATCCTTAACAATTGAATTTTGCATATTCGTTGTACAGGAGTTCTTTTTTGTGGAAAACTCGCGACCTCGATTCAAAACTGCATTAGTCTAGGTGTCCTAGGAATAGACTAACTGGGCTCACAAATGTTCCGGTTAGTCACCGAAAGAAAGCCATAGACATGCTCATAACCACATTCTGCATGAGATCACGTGTGTTTCACAGCAACACGTATTCTTACTTAGCGCATGCATTTCGTTACTCTTGAAACACGTGAAGGCCTGGAAATTGTTCTTTAAATCGAATCGGCAGTGGTGCACGGTGTATTAACAATTGTGTCAAATGTAAACACAATTCCGTGTCAACGTTTACCAGAGACGATCGAGTTTCGCAAAACTGCCACACCCCAAGCGAAACCAGGGCTTGGGTAGTCAAAGCGCATCACAATATGCAGTGCTCTAGGACTAGGGCTGCAAATATGCATGTTAGTTGGCTAATGGCGGTATACTTTGCTGCAATTTGTAGGTCTACAAAGCGGAATTCGTAGAAACCAGCGTGCTCAATTATGTGAACGTGGATCAGGTTATTGTGGATTTGGCAAGGTATGTGCTTGCATTGTCAGAACTTGGTCTAATCCATTTGTGCAGTTGCAGTGACTAGCTGTGCCGAGTCACCTTCATATTCGTTGCGTTAGGTCCACCTAAACGTGACACCTCCCTTCTTCTGTTTCCCATTCCCTATTATGGTTTAGTTATTACAGGATACAAGTCAATAAGAGTTTGCACTAGACTCCGTCTCTAAGGCTCTCCCAAAGACCCAAAATTAGCTTACTGGTGGTATTGAGTCATAAATACGGTCGCAACGCACACGCCTCGAGGCTTTTTTCAATCTAATATCAGGGCGCAATTTTGGCGAGTACCGGTTATCACCCACAGGATGGGAATCTGCAACAGAGCAACGGGGAAACCCCCTTCTGCCTCCTTTCTTACGACTCATTTTTCCATATTCTTGGAAACCGATTTAAAATAACTCAAGGGAACTAGATGAACGTCAATGGCCAGTCGTTAATTTAAAAAAAAAAATACCTCCCGGTTCCAACAAAGTTAGTGGTGCCTCGCACGCCCATGTTTGTTGGAGACCGCTGCAGTTTGTGTAAATTCTACGGCGATGCACGACCATGGAACAAAAATTGCGTTGAAAACGGGAACTTTCTCGAAAGCCGAATCTAGACCATATCGAGAGTTATGCTTTAGGTTCTATTATGAAACTCATGAATTTACTGAATTATAAGGCGTTTTCAGCCTCTGAGACATTTCTTTTGGAATTGGTGTCACGCAATTTAAACTCACTCATTTCACATATGGAACGTGTCCTGTCTCGAGTTAAGGTGGCGCCGGCGGTTTGTTCATGGAGCAGCCTATTAAAAGCTTAGAAATGTAGGTACCGACACTGTTTCTGCAATTTCTTTAATTGAGACACCACGCGGAGATAGTGCAGTTACGGAAGATCCACCATTAATAAAGGCGGGAAGAGAACTGGTTTGATCCGATTCAGGCGAAGTTCCCAAAAGGTGAACGCAGACTGAACATAATCTAATAGGAGGCGATCACTAGAGCTCGGTTCTCTCCGTGACCTATGCACTATTTAGACATTCTGCGGACCGGCAATTATGGCTAGAATGCGTAGCCAACAACATGCACGAAGACGATGTAGTGGCTTGTGGTCTAGCACTACTATTCAACCTTCTAGACAACAGCCTGTAAACCACCCGTAACGGCTCGGGAAGAAAAGCAAGAACGATGATGGCAAAAATAACGATTTATTTACATTTGCCCACCCAAGCGCGTGAGTGCATTTCGCACATCAACTATAATCAACAATCGATGGCGTTCGATCAACTCGTGAATAAACTTCACTGACGCTCGTTTGGTAAAAGTTCACTAAAAATATTCCCCCCCCCCCGCTGAGAGCGTGAGCTGTGGGACAGTGAACTCTCGAAAACTCGAACGGAATCAACAAAGCGAACAACGGGTCTCAGAGGTCGGCCAAAACGGGAAGTTGGGTAGGATGGGGATATGGGAGAGTGTAGAGTAGGTTCGTCGTTGCTAGAGCATGTGGAAGGAACATTGGTGTCTTCCGCATAAGCAGCTTTGAGACGGTCTGCGCTCACAGTATCCAGCGAACCGTTTTTGTCAATAATGAAAACTTGGTCAGCGCGTTCTACCACCTTAAAGGGTAGAACGATGAAGATGGGAACTCAAGTGTGGTCAGAGTCGGTGACCATTTCACCAGGCAGACGCGAAGTTGTACCGAATGCAAGTTCTGCTGGCGTGGAGTCAATATCTTCCTTTACCATATTCTGGATGGCAAATAAATTCAACGGTAATGAGTCAGACCAGTGGTTCGAGGCAGATTTCGCAATAATGGCTGACTTCAATAGACGTTGGAGACGCTCAACCACAACATTAGATGCTAGATGATATGCTGTAGTACGAAAATGCTTGCATCCAAGAAGGCGGTTTAGGTCTTGAAACAAACAAGACGTAAATTGTACGCCGCGATCCGATGTAATAGAAATGCGAACATCAAATAAGGAAATCCATGATTCCATAAATGCGCGGGCAATAGTTTCGGCGACACCATCCTTAATAGATACTACCAGAGACCAACGATTAAAGCGGTCCACACAAATTAGGACGTGGGTAAAAACACGAGACGCGGAAGAGGTCCAACAAAGTCTATATGTACATGACGGAAACGCGCGTCTGGAAGGGGAAAATGTCCAGGTTGTGAAATATGACGGTGGACTTTGCTGCGTTGACACTGAATATAGAGTTTAGTCCATAAGCAAACATCTTTGCAAACGCTAGGCCAAACAAAACGGTCAGTTATCAAGCGCACGGTGGCGCGAACACCAGGGTGTGAAAGAGAATGAGGATATTCGAATATTTGTTTTCTAAATGGGGCAGGAACAAAGGGTCGAAACTTAACGTGAGACCGCTGTGCTTCTGCATCGCCCGACTCTTGGTCCTGTTTCTGTCCCATCGCTCAACCTAGCTTTCACCCTATGAGCTCGCCTTTATCGGCCTGGTTTTGTTCTCCAACTTCCGCCCAACTCAAGCACGCATCGTTTTTGGCCCCAATCACCGCCGGACGACTTTTAATCTCCGGACGTTGCCTAACGTCTTGATGACACGGACACTGAGGAGGAGGGAAGTAGTGTGTTCGACCAGCGCTACGCAACCTCCGAGGGTGTCTCCAAATTGAGCCAGCAGTCTCTCATTGAGGGGCTGCTCACGGCCCTTCGATCCTGTTCACGGAACCCGGTCAATGAGAACTTCTCCCAGTCTGAATTCGATCCTCAAAGTGCACTCTGCAAGCCCAACCGGGCTGATCCACCGCTGCCTCAGCAATTTCCACCCATCACATCGGGGCCACCATTACCATCGGTGCGCTTTTTTGGTGAACCACACCAGGGCCGACAATGTACACTGACAAGGCCCGACCAGAAGAAGAGTGAAAAAATGCAGATGGCGCGTAGCTCAACTAATTTATTGATGCAGCAGCGGTGTGTGTGTGTGTACAGGGGAACAAGTGCGTTTATATACCTTGGCCAAGCATCGATCTCTGAACGCACGTAGTTGTGTGAAGTGAATTCACGAAAATCGATTGAATTGTGTTCGCTCACGCTTGGTAACTGTGCTCGCTTACAGCTCTCCTTACTATTGATAATGACAAGAAGTACTCGAGGTAATCGTCAACACTAATTGGACACCAGGTTATAAGGTGGAACGCGATTGCCGGCATGACATTCGAAAAAAATGGGGTTAGTGTGATTCGGGCAGCAGCCCTCACCGTCTTTTTGTTCCTTCAGAGCAATGAAATACCGAGGAGATTGCCAAAGCAGTGGAATCCGCATCTCCAAGAAGTCGCCCAAGAAGAGGCTAACCGAGTGCTGCACCTAAACGACGCTGTTCCGCCCCTGCGTTTTACTTTGACGACCTCCGCAACCCGTACATCGCTTTTGGTATCATTACTACTTGACTTTGCATTAACTGTATAGAAATTATTACCGTGTAAACGCTCAACCCCAAGTTACTTGACTTGAGTGTTTTCCCAGTGGGTTGGTAAGGCTCTGTGGTTACTAAATGTCACTTCAAATGCAAGTCCATGAAAATAACTGGCCTCCAGAGTAAGTTAACTTAGTTTAATCAGATTGATGCTATAACGAGGTGAACACAATCCTCAACTCCTTGAATTTTAAGTAAAGAGGTGTTTGTGTTAACAATAATTGCCTCTAGGTAAGAAAGAAAGCTCTCAATGAGACGCAGACCGATAAACCAGCAGCCTTACCACGTATTCGATTGAGCAGGTCATAAGCCTACACGATTGTCTATTTATAAGACCCTCTCTCACGCGGCGTAAAATCAAAGGTGTGATTTCACATTAACTAGGCGGGGATATGTACATAGACAGGTTCAGTGAGAAGTATATGGCTTCAGCAGGCTTCGTCGAGAGCACCCGCACAGTGTTTGTCAGTGTTGACGTTCAGTGACTCAGCGCGTTGGTGGAGAGCCTGGAAGAACGAGACCAGAGAGGCCTTGACACCCCTCTCCACGACGTGGCCTGGGAACCAGCCCTAAACACACACACACACACACGCAATCACCAAGTCGAAAAAAGCCACTCCTGTGTGTCAGTAAGCAGCGCTCGTGTGAAAGCACACCTTTACACATCACACACTAAGTGTTGCTATCAAATAAACGAATTAAAATGAAACGACCTTCAACATTACACAAAACTCGCTTAAAGCTGACTCAACAATTGAGTGAAGAGGGTGAGACGCTTGCAGTGTTGACGCCATACCACATTACAACAATTTTAAGTTGACCTAGCAATCATAAAAAGCAAAGCAAAGGTAAATTATGAAAATGACGGTCTGGCTGTTCTCTAGTTGTCTACTACGAACTAAAAACATCTCTCAACCCACAAAAGGACAAAACGGACTGTTAGGGATCCAGCATTCCCCAAGACGGCTCATCGAGGGTTAGGGTTCCGTCATCGTTCACACAATTCCCCTAATTACGCCACGTCAGCAGGTGAGCCTCCCACAGTACCCCCCCCCTGAGAGCCCCATTTATGCCAATTCGATTTGATCCATCAAGTCAAGTGGGCATATTCCGATAGATCACTCGGCCTAGGGTTAAGACTTTAAAAGCTCTCTGCAAGAAGTGGGAAGGTGGGGACTAGCATCAGACAAGGGATCTGGGGTACCGGTTGCCAGAGCGTGTGTTTTCGGGTTACGGGCAAAGCGCAACAAGGACAATGCGGCACAACATACCTTCAGGTCCAGGCTAGTGATGAGGACAATATTGCAAAAGTTGCCAACTGGTTGCAAAAAGACTGCGTTTATTAGCTGTTCGGCGCTAAAACGAGTAAAAAAACAGGAAACCACTTCCAGTTAAAATGGTGACCAAATTAATGAAGGAAATTAACTAGGTGTAACAAACAACAAAGCATTCGAATGAGCGTGGGCCAGACAACACCACTTTCTAGGTTGTGGCGGTCATTTTGGGGTTTCGAGTGACGACTTAGAACAGAAACTCGTCAAAGATGCAGATATGCAGCTCCACAGTTCAAGATGGACTATCGGTGAACGACAATAACTTTGACTACGTTTAATTTATTCCCCCAACTTTGTACCAGCACATTAGCAGCCTCATGCTATGCAGGTCCCCTCAAAGCCAAGAAAAGAATACCGTAAATCCAAACTTGCTTGAAACAATCAACAACCAAGAAAGCCACCATCAACCACTACCACTGTGGGGTCCTGGTTTTTCACGAGACGCGCAATCCGCTGATGACAATGTTTTGCATTCAGCACAGAATAGTTTAGTGCGTCCTATGGCACAAGTCTCAATGAGGATGTGGCTAAATCGCGCCGTACACGCAAAGAGGGTCTTACCGAATGCACGTTTCCGAAGGGGGGCATTTGGGGTGTATCACAGAGGAGGAGGCGACGAAGTGCACACCTTCCTTGGTTCCCCAGACCCTCAGCAACACAAAATCCCTGAAACACCGAACAAATCGTGTGGTTTGGGATGACCAGAGGCAAGGTGAGGCTAGGAGTAAGTCCTACGGGCGATGGAGTGAACCGCACCTCGTCATTACACAGAGATTTTAATACAGGTAGCGATTAAACGTGTGCAAATGAGTTCGAGGAGTTGGGACACGTAAAATGCGATTGTTCTATAGAGCTCACACTGAATACAAGAGGGCGTACATGTGTCGGGTGTCTACGGTTAAATGCAGGGCCTGATTAGCCAGAAAATGTCGTACCGTGATTTTATGAGGCCGCCGAGGGCGTCTTTGACCACGGAGTGAACGATATCGAGATTCTCATGGGGAAATTTTTGTAGACACTGAAACAAAGTTATGCAGAAATAAGATAGTAGCAACAAGTTAAACCCAGCCTTTGTTGATAAATGACTAGAAATGGAAGGTAAAAAAACCCACTCTGGCAGAGGCGATCGTAGGATTCCAGTGTGGAGAAAAATCAAATCCATACACAAGATCATTGAAAATTGTCTTTGCGCGAGCGTGTAGTATCCCCTACAAGACAAAAAAATCAACACTGAACTGCTTAATTTACCCATTTGCCTAGCGATGCGTAGTACGCAGGACTAAGCAAAGACACAGGCATAGGGAAATGCACCAGAAGAAGCACGTACATCCATGCGGAATACTTTGTGCGCGTAGCCGGACAGACAGACAGAGGCGATTCGTGGCCCAGGCCCAGCCAACGAAGACGAGGAGGAGGTGAGGTGGCTGGCCGCCTCACACCACAAGTCGTCCTCGAGAGCGCTCCAGGCACTTCGGCGCAAATCTTCCGCCTTCATCAGCAAAGCCGCCACCTACGGAGACGCGGAGTGTCAGGTCATTCTAGGAACTACTTCACAAACAATGTCCCCAGTGGCAGGAGACCTGCGTCTACATGGAACACCTGGCAGACCATAAATCTTACTGACGCTCGCTGGATGGCCGCTTGAGTGTTAATGTTGCAGGCCTGTCAATAACTGATGTGTACCATGCTTAGAATATGTAACTACCTCGATAACGACGAAGTGGATACATTTTCTAGTTTACATGGTTTGACCCAAGTTAGGTGCTATTTACAAGTTGCCGCTGCAGTTACTAAATTTGTCAACAACGCCTGATTACTGGTCTCAGAAGAAAAATATACTTCATAACACAGCGAGCAGCTTTATGCACCAATGAGTAGCAGAAATCGAATGGCCTTGTGAGTCAAATACAGTTGTTTTCAAGAGGGTGGATTTAAATTGGGTTATTCGACAAAAAAAGTAAGATTGGGTTTTGTAGACAGGTTATGCAGTGAAAGGCAGACTTGAGGACAAAGTGTATCACGCGTGGTCGCGAGCAGACACGGTTGCCTGTCTGAAGACAAATTCAACGCACTTAGATATTCATTCAACGGAAATTCAACGTATAACGATTGGCTGCCATTTACCAATTGGAAACAGCCTAGCGTTATAATTACTTGTGGCACAATAGTAAATGTGATTTTGTGCTCCCGAAACAGGTACAAAGCACTGGCGTGTGTGTGTGTGCGTGCTTAAATTAATCTTATAAGACGTTAAACAGGTTCAAAAATAATGTCACACCATTGAGGCAATAAAGGTATCACTCTAACCACGGAGTCGATGGGTTATGGCAGACAAAAAGGTTAACAAACGTACATCGACAGGCGATTCAGTGGCGCCATAAGCCGTGTACTTAGGTGCACTTAGTAAAGATTCCGTTTCATCCACTAGAGAACCTGCAAGAATGCGACAAAAAAGAAGGGCAAAAGCAGTGAGTACAGTGTGACAGAGTGAAAGAACAACGATAAAACCCCGAAAAAGCCATTACTCAGTCCACATAGGTCAAAACAGCGCGTTTTCAAGACCCTGCTCTTGGCTACACAAAGGACAAGTAAACTAAATCACAGACCTCCGTTGCAAACTCGTTAATTTAGTCGGAAGCTTAAACGAGAATGCCTGGTTGGTGGGACCAGTCAAGGCGCCTGGTGTCAAATTCAAGTGTGCCATACTTTCACGGTCAGACTTTTTGCACAGATGACGGGACAGATGAAGGATCGAGTGTGTGAGAGAGGAAGGGAGAGTTCCGTACCTTCAGGCGAGACGTAAATACTTCTGGTGTAGTGGGAGGGGGCGGCGTGTGCCGCCCACTGGCGAATGGAAGCGAATTGCGCCGACTCGACATCAGCGATCCCGGGGTAATTCGTATTCAACCGGTTATAGGAGGTAACGACTGCGGTAGAAGAAAAACACTCAGCTTAGAGGCAACAGAAGAGGGTAGTGCGATTCCGACTTTCGCTAGGAACAAGGCTACCCAAAGGGACCGGAAAGTTTACCACAGCTGCCCGATTAGTTTGCACAAGCTCATTTAAATGGTACAACGCGAATAGGTATGTACACACCGACATTTACTGGTTGTTATGGTCAAAGAGTCTACAAAAAAGTAGGTTGAGGACGACATTAACGCGACGAAACTGGAGAAAGGATCCTCATCTAGTTAGACTAAGCGCGAGTCCAGCAAGCAACTGCACTCCACGTGGGTAGAATGAAGTTGTGAGAAGGGTACACTCACGACCTGTCCAATGTGCGACAGATTTAATTGAAAATTACCAGAAGAAAAGACTGCACAGGGTAAAACAGGTAAAGAGTACTTTATGAATGAGTTTCGGTCCCATCGAAAACATCGAATTCCACAATAAATTAAGCTAAGGAAGAAATGCAACCACCAAGGCCTTTTAGATTTGGTTAATTTAAGTGAACAGACGCTAAGCACCAGGAAAGGTCAAACATGGAAACAAAGAAGGAAATCGATAACCTGACAAATTGCAATTAAAGCAATCGCCAATGAAATCTATGCATTACAAGCCAAGAAGGAACCCAAGTTACGGCCTTGGTCTTGCTTTTACCCCTTCACAATGAGCGGGGCTTTGGAGGAGTGGGCAAGCAAGACATGATGTGTCATTGAGGGCATTTCTGGTGTAATTGTGAACAGAGACTAAAGGGAATTAGAGGTTAGTCGCAGATGCCAATCAACTTGCAGTAAACCACCTGTGTCTGGACAAGCTTACGCCCATACGCGTCAACTGGCCGAGGAGCCACGACAACTCAGCGATCCCAAGTGCCTGAGTGACGGTTACTAGTGCTGGCAAAGATCTGGTCGGTCTGGCGTGATAATCAGACGAGGGTGAGTGGGTTTAGCGCGAAAGTTAGCGGAAGCAACAAGCGTCAGGCCTAGTTACCGGACGATTTTAGATTTTGAGTTAGGGCAAATTCACTAAACCCGTTGTGTGGAAACCTCGCTCGACAAGTTCGCATATATTCTAACATTGAGGGCGGCAAAAGACAGGTTGACTTTGGGCTCAATGTTGCGCCTTCTGGACCCCGGGAAATCGTAAAACTCGTCAGATCTGAGCACTCTGAGACGTTCTGCTAGGTGGAAATGCCTCAATTTCTGACCACTTAAAACAAAATAATAGTCCTTACCAATCCAGAGTAAGAAAAAACCCAGTGTGTAGCTCAGTGAGGTAATTAAATGTTTCAACATTGCACTAGCATGACGATAGCTGTCGCATAACCTATGTCATGTTGTCACGCGAAGCAAGATTTGGGAATTTTCTAAACAAAGTCTCACTGCCTAGAGAGGGAAAACCTCTCAACTTTGCCCGGTAAGGAATAATTTAAAAGAAAAATATCTGCTTCATTGGACAACGACGAACGTACTTCGTTCGGCCATTCTCTCCTGCGGCAGTACACGACACTCGAGGAAGAATGTGCTCAGCCAAGCCATCACAATGGGCAGAACCAGCACGGTGTAGCACAAGCCTGAACTTTCGCGCTGAGAGCCGAACTGAAGGCGGAAAAATAGCGATGTGATAACAGATTAGGCGTCAGAGAGGAATAACAACCGTGATTACCCTGCTGCACACAAACACGATATACTAGTTAAGTAAAGGCCGAGGGAATAATAGTCACTAACATGGAATAGTAAGTACACACCCAGAAACCAAATACACGCGAACAAACGGCCACATTTAAGCTTCGCGTGGAACAGGTTAAAAATTTCCCAGCACGACGCGAGGGAGTTGAAACGACAAATGGGCCGAAACAGTGTGATGCATAAAAAATATGTCAAGACCAATAGAGAAGGCCAACTCACAGAAAACTCTGTACACTTTACAATGATGTAGATAGTTGTCGCGGTAGTGGAGACCTGAATAGAGAAAAAAAGAGCAAATTTTGTGCTTGAAAGAAGTACTGCGCGAGTCGAGACTAAGCAAGTAAACAAGAAGGCGTTTCCACACTACACACATGCAAACAGCGCCGATGGGCAGCTGCCAGGCGACCACTTAACCAGCCCTGGAAGACGGCATCGTTAGAAACTACGGTCAGAAAACTGCACCGGTTCGTTTTGAAAGGAAATTCGATGTCGTTGTATGGAATTTAAGGAGGCAGGGCAAGTAGCGTCTTCAACTAATAAGTCGAGACTGACTTACCACAGAGGGCCATCGATAGCTAGTGAGAAATGCTCCGTAGGCCACTTCGAGTGTGATAAAGCGTCCCAAGGAGATGAGCTAGCAAGGAAATGTGAAAAAAAAGGTTTTTACAGGGCACTGTAAGCCGAGCACATCCAAATGTCTTCGTTTTTGCATGATCCAAACTGGTGAAACCACTTCCCAGCATTGCCGGCAGCCGATATGTTACGAAACAACGTCAAGAGTACGAGTGGGAATGGGGGTTTGTGTTGTCTCTACACGCCAAGAACAGTAGCCAGAAAAATTCGGGGAAATTTGAAAAGTGTGTTAGAGAAAAAACCTTCTGCACACCCATAAAGGCTCAATACACCACACTCTTTTCATATGACTAATTCTATCACAGAAAAATGAGGCTGCTACGTGAAAAAAATGAGGTATTTTGACAATGTGAAGCAAGCCTTCCTCATTCTGCCCGACGCATTCCACGACGAGAGAGGCTGAATTGGGCTAAGGAAGTAGGTCTATGCGTTTTTGCATATATTATACAGATTTAGGAACTAAACATTATTTTCTTTCGACCGGGCTCATCGATGGTGAGACGGACTGAGTACGTGGAACAGACGGTGTCATTCTGAGCCACTGTACCACAGCAGCACAATTTGACTTCTGGTGGGTGATGCCTTGTGCCTCTTTACCAGAACTCCCAGCTTCAATCCGATGTCCAGTCAGAACTTACATACTCTAGCGCTGACAACCAGAATTGGTGAAAGTGGCCGTTGTAAAAAGGGATGAAATTATGCGAATTTGAAGCACACCTGAACGTCAAAGAGAGAAGTGTTGAACTTCATATAGATAACTTGTTTTCTCATTTCCTCAACGAAATCCCCAAGAGTCTAAAACAGGGAAAAAACCGAGAAAAGTAGCTGTTCAGCGATTGTGAGAACAGTTTTGTGCAATGTTGGCATGGACGTCAAAATGGATAAGGGTGTGACGAAAAACAGGAAACAGCAGTTTTTTAACAGCAGCATGCTTTATTACAATAATCTGAGAACGCTGGTGCTAGTGTGTCACAAGAAAAACAGCGGATAGGGTACTTGGCCAGGACGTCTGATGTAAGAACTTCGGACGCTACCCGCGACACTCACGTTAGTTTAGAGACATTACAATTAAGAGGGTAAAAAACATTATTAGTAAGGGGAAGGTAACGTTTTAAAGTGTGTAGGAAATAGGTTTGCGCAATCCCACGTAATCAAAACATGACGCATAAAATGTACTAGGCGTATGGCATAAGTTTTATATGCCTGTTCTTCTAGCTCAAAACTGTATTTAAAAAGGATCTCAGGCAAGGCTTCAAAATACCGAACGACAAGTCTACGTGAATTTCAAAACCTCCCAGAATAGCACTGCATTTTATACAAATTTCAACAAGGGGAAAATGCTTCTAAAGCACGGGAGTCAATTTGTGGTGTTCTTGGTGCCGTCGACGTTGTGTCTTATGAAACGCATAGTTATTTATACAAACGTTTTAGAAGTGATGATCTCGGTCTTAATGACCAGACGATAGTGTGAAGACGCGGGATTGCAAGCTCTACTGGATGAAGACCAAACGAGGACGCAACAAGAGCCTGCAGTTCAGTTAGAGGTTACGCAAACAGCTATTTCCAAAATTCAACAACTTGGAAGTTGGGTCTCCCCACGTGTGCTGACCGAACACAATCCAGGTCAACGTATGAACGCATGTCTTTCACTGCTTGCCAGCCGGCAACAAGCAGTGAATGGACTTGTTGTGGGAAATCGCGAAGGGTGATGAAAAACAAACTTTTTTACGAGAAGCCCGAACATAAACCGTAGAATCGTGGGTAGATGCAGGGCAAACCAGTTCATCGACGTCGAAACGAGACGTTCACTTGAAGAAGATTCTCCTTTGTATTTGGTGACACATGAAGGGTGTAATGTCTTACGAACTCATGGAGGCTGATCGTTAGATGGTGACTGTGCAACGCTACATACGAAACCTGAACAACCGGAGCGAACAACTTGATCAGACGACGCTTGACCTCACGTTTCTCGAGCGACTCAGAAGACCCTTTCAAACTTGCGATGGAAAGTTCTCCCACACGCGGCATGTGCACCAGACTTAGCTTCATCCGACTACCATTTGCCCCGGTCAATGCAGCATCAGCGCGCCTTAGTGAATAAACGGTTCAAAACGCTGGACGATGTGCTTAAATTCGTCGATGGTGGCTTTATTGCCTTAAAGCCTGCATTCATACGTTAACTGAGAGATGGCGCAAAGTCACTGAAAACGATGGACACTATTTCCAAGATTACGTTCGCTGTTCTCTACTGTTACATATCAAATAAATTTGCTGAAAAAGCTGCAAAAATTAAGTCACACAACCAAATAAAACAAGCCCTTTTGATATAACATTCAGAAGAAAGACGAAAAAAGTGAAACTGAGAAATGAAAATCGAGTTTTGAATTTACAAAGGACTTTATTCCTCCTTCAGCTTTCCAAATGACCCACTATAACATCCTCGTAACCACAAGATAAAAAAATTTTTACAGGAACGCAGGAAGAGATTTAATCTAAAAGACATTACAATGCCTTCCAGCATGTTAAACTATTGGTATTTAGGTTACGTCAAGGCAACTTCAACTGTAAACATAGTACAATCTGGTTCCTAGACGCGGAATGATCAAGGCACCCCCTAAGACAAAGCCTGCGCTTATTAATTGCAGTACACAAACAGCAAGTAACTATGTGCCACGTCAGTACTAAAGCCAACGTAAATAATTGGTTAGAAGCGTCAAAAACTTGGTTTATATTGGGGGCCAGGAGGGGCAAGTTGATGGGAGGCAGAGGTATTAGATGTCCGTTAGAAGCGATTACACATGAAACCCCAGGACGTTTATACAAGTGTTATTGACAGTAGCCTTAGGCGCGGTAACGCAGCAGATTAGGACAAGAACACGCATTTCATTGGACGACAATAGGATGGCGGCTCATACCCGCACGTAAACCAGCCAAAGGACAAAGATGAGGACCAACTCGAAGAAGATGAGGAGGAGTAATGTCCGCCGGACGGGTGACGAGCGCTGCTCATCCGGAAGGCCCTCAATCGCAGAAGAGGCGGCCAGATTGAGGCTGTAAATCAAAGGAAACAGTCACTAGTGCAACCGTGAAGTCAGTAGGACTACGATACGACGAGGGGGTATACAATAAAGATAAGACTACATTAAGGTGTTACAACTACTTTCAAGAATTCACAGAACTAAGGCAATTGAAGCATTAACTAATGCAATCAACATTCCAGCATAACTTACTCGGACATTCCAAACAGTCGACCGCCATATTCCAGTCCAGGTGACCGCGTGGCGCTGCGATCTGTCGAAAAAAAGGGAAAAAATCGAAAACTATCCATTTTTTGCACGGGTAAAGGACTAGTTTAGAAGTCTACCTGCTTGAGTTGATAGAAACTTATTACGAATCAAATGCGCAGTTGTACTATTAAGACACTCGATCGGATATTTTTGACAAGCAAATTCACACCACAAATGGCACTCTCGCAGTAATAATAACACTCACCTAGATTAAGCTAGTGAAAAATACCTCAAGACGAACAAGTGGGTGACGGGCTCAAATTTCAAGTTTGAGTCCAGAACTTATGACGAACAGCGACCTGTTGGAAACATCGGATCAATAAATGCAGTACTGGTTTGTAATAAGATACCCCTTGTATTTACAATAATTTCGGTTTAGACTTCCACGCTCAAGAAAGTCTGTAACCTAATCTGCGAAAGCACCTTCTTCAGACAAACTGAACAGAAGAATTTGACACGGAAAAAGTGAGCGAGTATGCCACTCCATAAACCTAATAAATTAGGTCGCATCAGAATAGAAAAAAAAACGAAAGTGGGATGCAGGTAAGCAGCAAAATGATGTAGACTTCCACATATTTCAAAATCCTCAGTCACGCAATAACAAGCATAAAATGTCCGTTATGTAAAGGGAGTGAGAGGGCCGGATCGCAGTGACTAATGATTGGTGACTATAATTCACCACATTCTAAATATCCATATTATTTGAATGACAATAACAAATTTCCGTAACGCTTAATGAGCTGCTATACAATTAGGGCAGTTCAGGTTAACAAAATCTGTTGGATTTTGTACACGATTTTTTTAGTCATTACAACGCCAATAGTCGAAACACTCCATTACCACTCACGATTTACGATTTAAGTAGAACAACATACTTGGCGTTGAAAGAAGTAAGCACCCTCCTAAACGTAGAGAATGGCAAAAGCATGAGTATACCGCCTTGGGATCATATTTGGGGAAAAATATGTGTCCCAAATTCGTAGATAATCTTCTACTGGCAAATGATTTTGATAGGCTATTAAAGTGGGCTTACTCTGGTTTACTGCGTGGATATCTGTGGTGACAAATAACTTAGACCACGCTATTTGCACGAGCAAACCCTTTAAGTCACACGCGAACCCATGGGGCATTTTATTTATGTTGAAGTAAATTTACATGATCCTGAAAATAATTTGAACGCATTCTACGAGTTAGGGTGAGTAAAATGAATACTTCTTTCAACAACCCAACTCTCGAATATAGCCGAAAATATCTTTGGGATTGTAAAGAAAAATCCGATTCAAAGTGTTCACCGTTTTTAAAGGTAAAAATCATCTTAAGATGTCTGAGAGCACTAAAAATTTGATTTTCTGCCTTCCCAAGGAATAGAAAAAGTGAGGAAGGAGGATGAAACCATTTCCAAACACCAAAATTTTGCCTTTAATGAAACTGAATCACTTATTTGCCATAATTGAAGGTGGATTTTGGGGGTTTTGGAGCTGACATAGTTAAGGATATGAGCTTTAAATCGTGTTCGTGTTGCACAATTTGAACCGAAAATAACAAGGTGATTTTGAACCCTTTTCAAGCAGACGTAGCCTCGGTTTCTACTTGCTAAGCATGACGTAATACAATTTACAATATTTCAGGCTAGCCATTTCATTAACTACTTAGCAGTTCTATTGATATAAACAGTTATGTAGGTTAATTCCAGGTCGGGTCAAATTCTTAAAAGGGTGATATCTAGTACCGGGAGATCAAATAGTAAATGTGGATCAGCGATTATGAACAAAACGTAATTCCAGTGAACTAAAAACAGTTTCTCGAGGTGAGTGTGTGTGTGAATAAAAGACCTGATCGGAAATCAGAGATTAACTTTGCTATTGAGGTAAAAATTATTCTAGCTTAGAATAGCAGGCAGAGGATTCTTCACGAAGCGTAATTTCCAAGAATGCGTAGCCTCACAGGTTGTCTCAGATAGCTACGAAAATTATATGCAGAGAAAATGCACACATATTTTATTCTAAAAATAGCTACCGCTAACTTTTCTATTTATCAGCCAAATAGGAGTTGAAATCTATGTCGTTAAGCAATGGCAGTTTTTCCATAAATCAATCCAGATGGCAAATATCCCAAATTTTGGGACCTTCTGCCAAAAAGTCACATATTCGCATCCCCACACTTGTTTAGTCAATTGATAGTTATTTAGTTCATAAGAATTGTCTTTGTAAATATAATGGAAAGTTTGTTCGCCAAGCGCATCTACTGAAGTAGAAACCGCCTTTGATTTATGTAACTACTAAAAAAACCAAACCGAAAACATGCTGATGATACATTGTTAAAGTAACTCAGTCGTTCGCATGAAATTAAATTCGGCGTCAAAATGTATTAAGGCAGTTGCTTAAATTCTACGGCACAAATCACGTAAAAAGGCCTTCAAAAATTCTATACAGAAGCAACAACACAGAGCATGTAGAGAAGGGTTTTGTAAGAAAAAGAAATATTTGAACAGAATTCTAATCGCTGAAGTATAAACAACACTATGACAATATTATTATATTTCAGATCACACGAGTGGAGACCTGCCTATTTTAAAACAAAAAATATTTAAATGATACGCGTCTATATTATTACAGAAGAAATGTAAAGAACAACCTACCATCACTCATAATTAATGAAGCATTTCATTGTACCAAAAATATTTGAACTGTGGTCATCACTAAGATCTTATTTTAAGAAAATTTTGGAAATCGAAGACAAGGACAGAGATAATGGAACGCAAAATTGTCAGATTACAATAATTTTAATATCTGAAATAATTTTTAATGACAGTGTCGAGGGAATAAAACGTATTAAATAATAATGACTTTAAATTTTGTGTCGATGAATGGCGATACCTGTCCAACTTATTTAAGTCAGTTAAAAAATTCCCATAGTTTTTTAGGAATTATTTTTGCTACAACTATAGTTGTCCATCTAAAGTATTAATCAAGCCGACATTTGGATAATGGTTGATCAGATAATTCAGATAATCTGCACAATCTCCTTTTTTTCGAAATCAAATGTCCCCTGATAAATGATGCATGACAGGTTGCGTAGTAAACTTAATCTAAATTGTTTGCTGCACCTTAATTTAGCCGTGTTAGTTTTCCTGATTGATTGTTTTTATTACATTTTGAATCAAATAGGAAATAATGTGAGGCCTTTTAACAAAGTCAATATTTCATAAAATATAAATGAAATAATACAGCTTAGGATGTTTAAGCATCGGTTTGTTAAATCCCTCTTTATCCCTTAACAATTACAAACTTATCCCTGTTTTGTGTATCAGATTGTGAGAAAGAAACTGATTTAATACATATTAGTTCATATTCTGTTGAACCCAGGATGCGCACCTGCATAAATATCAACTTTGAAGTAAATTTTCTCATGATATTGTAGCATGAGTGTGCTTAATTAATATAGTGTTTGTCCACAAAATACTCATGGGGGATTGTTTTATCGTCCTTATGGAGGGCTTCAAAAAGATATCCTAATATCTACTTTGTACTATCGCCTGTTTGCCTACACGATTGTGCCTACAAGAATTGTGGTTAGACTCTCTCCATTTTCAAATTGTCAATAAATTAACATGTTGTTAATTGTAAACTGTTAGGATTAATAAAGAAATTGTAACTCAATTTGGACATATTCCCCACTCAATCAACTATGACGCAATCTTGACAAATTGGTAGTAAATGCCAAATCGAAGTGGTGCTATGCAATTATCTTATCGATTAGGCAGCTCAAAAGTTCTTTAACTGACAAAGTTCTCCATTTATTACACATTTTGAAGCCTGCCTATTGGCCTGTTGGAGGTGTACCTCTACATCAAGCAGTTAAAACGACAATTTTAATTATTTTAAGACAACTAAACTTATTAACCGGTAACCATGATGCCCACAGATATCAAAGTTAAAAGTAACATTTGGAAGTTGTAAAACGCTTAATTGACAGTGAAACACCAATGTAGCATTAATAAGGAGAAAATTTTGGAAAAGTATTTTGCCTTTTGTTCAACATGAGAATATGATGCTTTAAGTACATTGCGACTCAAGTGATTTTTGATGTTAAATGAATATTAGAAATTCAATATCATTGCTAACACATCACTCCCAAAAGTTAGAAGTCATGGGTTAACAAGAATCAAGGTCGTTTGTTTTACAACATAGGACGAATCAAACAGATTTGAGAGGAATTCATCTACGTGAGACCAACAACTACCGCATTATAATATTTTGTGTCGGTAACTACAACCTGAATTCATCAATGAAGCGCTGAGAATATGAATAAGTGCGAATCCAAGTAGGATTTTATCTGTCTCTGCGTCAGTAACGTACCGAAAATCTAAAAAGTATTATGAAATCAATAGCTTTTCATCCATGGAAAACCCTTCCAAAGTCTACAAAATCTCTTTAAAAGGTTGTCTGTGTTGTGGCCATAGGAAAAATGAGTAATTCCGATTGACTTGGCCTGACAAGAATCACCTGGTAAAACAGGTTTGGCTTTTGTACGTAGGTCAAGAGTTAATGTCGCGTTTTTACCCACAATATCTTGCGATTTAACCCAGTTATATCAGCGCATTTTCGACAATTGGTCGCTGGAAAAGGCAGAATTATACTAAAAGGTGGTGCATATTTTTGATTTACATAAATATCTTAACACAGGAATTGTGTATACCAGATCTCTCGTTCAACCAGTTAATTTGGAAACAGTTACCATCTCTATGCAACGGAAATGGGATATTTGGGCCTTGTGTTTGAATTATCACTGTAGGAGTTCTAAGTACATGTCCTCTTTGACATTCCCTCTTAGGGATGTTCTGAATCAAAAAACTTAAGAATTCTTATACTCTACATTAATAAGCTTTAATTCCCACGTTAAATCAGCCTCAACATCGAGATTCAAATATAAACTTACGCACTTGTTCCTAAAGTAGACACTTTTTCTGCGTACGATAGCACAGCGAGAAAACTGGTGATAGATTCACACAAACCCGGGTATTTTGCATAATTTGGCTCTGAACATCGCAAGTAACATTTTACTGCAAATTGGCATCAGAACTTACCTGAATTCAGTTTCCTGTTGCATAAATTCCAACTTATTTTCCTGCTCTAAGTAGCACTCCGAGTGTCACACCGACCGAAATTTAAAACGTTCCTTTGGTATTTAAAGTGGTTTCCTCGTTTTAATTACCTAATTTGATAAGTACACAATGACAGTTTGCAGAAAAACAAACTTTGAATATTGTAAAAATCGAGGTTAAAATTAGAGTTTTCTTTCAACTATTTTGCGTTTACATTCTCAATGCCCCTTTTTCTGCTTAGTGTAGGTTTTACTAGCATTTATCACGTCCACGTACTCTTGCATGTAATTCTGTCCGTCCCGTTAATGTTAGTTGATTAAAATGAAGCTTTTCAATAAGCCTAAGAGAAATTTTGCCAGTTCAAAAGATACATAAGCTGGATGCAGTATGTAGCATTGCATGATGCTTCCTTCTGATCCATTTGCCTCACAGTTAACGTTGCACCTTAAAGACTGGTTAATTGTATAAGTCAATTGTTATTGGTTGTTTTTATATTGTTATGGTGCTAATCAACCATTATCCGTGCTAATTACCTGGAATTTGTCCTTCCGGCCACGGGAAACCAGTTTGGCCTTTTGGGACTTAAAGAATAGATTGAAATGAAACTCATGTGGGTCTTGAAGCCGATGGACCTACCCTTCTCAAGGTCTTCAGTAAATCAATAATTGGACCTGAGAACAAACGCGACCGTTGTCAAGACGCCGCCAGCATGAATAATGCTTGCATGCAGAGTTGATGCGCCTCAAAAGTGCTGCCACCGGGGTGGGCGGACCGCGGCGCGCTCGCCAGCCCGCGCCAGCCGGCACACCGGCGTCCTCCTTCTCTTCCTCCGCCTCACCAGCCCATTTGGCCGCGAGCGTGCGTGTTCGCGCCGTTCCCCCATAATTCCAGCCCTTTCTGGCCACTCAGTTGAAAAGAAAACCGGTTTCTCCCTGTACTGGAATTACCGCCGGGACTATGATTCAGCTCGTACTTCGGTACGCTTCTATAAACTATCAGACTTTGGGTGAAGACCAATAAGGCACGGAGTTTGCGGCCTCCTGGCAATTTTTATGCACATTCATGGATGCTGAGAATACTGCTTTATACCATCGTCAGGATCTTGGAACCTCCCTTATGATAGTCCCTTGTTAAATACTAATCATCAGTTGCATCAATTTCACGTATTTTGATTCACCCATCAATCCTAGTTTTGATTCCTAAAACGAGCAACTTTTTCACTTACAAGGATGATTGTCTTGAGATAATTAACGGATAAGAAGACTTCTATTAGCCCGCGTACTTTACCTTATTATCCCCCGCTATTATCTTCCTTCACCGACTCACATTGTTATTACTAACAACCAGTCTACCCCATTCAGACATTTACAGAGTCATTGTTGTTATTTATCAAGCGACGTTTTCACACCTCCTCTATGCACTGACTTGTGGGATTGCTAAAATGATATTGGAGGTGCCACTCAATTACACATCGATTCAGTCAATCAGTCTTGGCTTACATTGCCGAATCTCGCAGTCTCGAATAGTCGGCAAAAATATCAGACCTTCTTCAAGAAACAGCTAACCAAACCCTCAGCTGCGAGGACTGAAGAGAATTCGGTCAACGACCAAGAAAAGCAATAAAAAGTAACATAAGTTAGATGCAATCTGCTCGACAGCCATACATTCGCGACTCTGAAGGTTCAGTCGACTACCCGCCAGTAAACGTACACACTCACATCGCGGGTTCTCGTTACGTTCTAGTTCTCCGTGTTTATGCCGGCGCTGCCAGGCCTTCAGTAGTACGACCGTCAGCATAGATCCACGTGATCTTAGACTTCTTCATGTGCAGTCACACTGCCGGCAAATGAGGTCGATGGATATATTGGAAGATATTGTCGACGGACGTACGACTCACTCCCTATTCCACTGCAACACGTCAGTTGCATGCGGTTTTTGGAGACTCTGACGTACTCGGGCCAATTGAAGGCAGTCTCATCAGCTGCAAACACTTTAACCATTCCATCCGACTGGCTAAAATCGCTAGTACGCTACCCTGAATTGCGGTGTCTGTTTCTTTGGGTGTTTGGTCGAGTCCGTAAGTCATCCAGTTAACGCTCGATTTCGCTTTCTTTTTTTGTCTATGTATACAACGAATTATCGCAAATTTAAACTAATGCTATAACTCCGGGTAGTCCCACGATCAAGCGGTAATTATTCATGAGTCGTCCATGTGGATTCCGAAAAAATTATTTGATGAGTAGCGCTCTCTTTTACCAAAGGTACCCAACTTCAAGGTAAATTCCCAGCCAGTGTGTCATAAGACTCAGTAAAACCATATTATCTACCAACATTTGGCCAAATGTTGGCACTAACGAGCCCCAGGATTAATTTTCGTTTAAAGGCGTAAATACCTGCATCAAGCGTGTGCACGTGTGGAGCAACGATCTACCTCTGATCAAACGACACAAAACCAGACAGACAGAAATTCGATGCTAACTGTCTGTGCTCTTGATAATTCCATTTGCACCTTGCAGTCAACCCTAGTTGACCGGAATCTCAAAACCTACTAACTTCTTCTTGATGCCTCGTGATCGAAAACAACCACGTTGTATAATTTTCCTACTAAAACTACGGCACCCGTCATATCTTGCTGCCCGTAAGTCCATATTAGTGCGATTATTCGGAAGGAGTCACACTTAGCCACAATCCTATGTGGTTCCAGTTGTTCAAATCCTTCAAAATGAACTTTGTTTCATCAGATGTTGCCACTCCGTCGTTATGCTATCCCACAGCTCTCACACTGATGCGGAAGTTTTGATCCACAGCGCATTAAACGTATTTGTAAATTAGGCAGTCTTCTTAGAGCACCCGTTTTTGAAAACATTGTGAGGAAAATGTGGAAAATCACTTTGCCCTTGTGGAGTTATTCATTATTTGGTATAAGTGTCACAAAGGAAATTCGATGGAGGCATTTGCGCCTAAGGCATCGGCTGCCTTAAAAACGCCGCAAAATGTCCTTAGGATATTTCTTCGTGTAGTTGTCAATGAACATAGCTGAAATACTCATTATCGATGAACCCATATAAACATATCACGAACATCTTACCAAGCTTTCAATCTATCCAAAAAGTCTGACCAAGCCATTTCACTAAAGTCATGGGTCTTGCTAATAAAATTGTGATTTAAACCCGGAAATTTTAGGATGTATTTAGAATTCAAACCGGAGATCTATTTTTAGACCTGTCGTTATGCCTTGAGCACCAACCAGCATGCTTAACGTTGAACAGACTAATAGACTTCTCTATTCTGCTACGCGAGCTTTTGTTTTTTTTGCAGTTAGCGGTTGAGCTATCGTAGTTCAGGTGCTTGGTTAGTCTAGCATTTGAGTTTTTGATCTGATCAGTGAATTTCGGGCCTACGTATGCAGGCAATCTAAACATCAACCAGTTCCTTTGTTTTCTTTACCTTTCTGAATATGAAGTTTTGCATTTCTGGCATTTATAAACTTAAGTTGTCTGTTTATGAACAGCGGAAAACTCCCGCATTTTCTGTTTTTCTTGCATTAGAAAGATTTGCAGTTGGTGTCAGAAGGTAAAATGCATAGTGGCTAAAGGTACCCATACAAACAGGCCACAAAACACACCGGCATTTACGGTTTGTCGATTGCGATCTCGCACAATCGCTGAAGGTCACGAAGGTTAAGTTGAAATCCACAGGGCAGTCACGAGCCTCCTGCGGGCGGTAGACCTCTAGTTAAGACTCCGCGTTTATGTGAACTGAAGGTAGTCGAGGTCAGACCAATGCAGTTAACGCCATGGAGTCAGTAATGCCAGCAAGCAAATTCTCCCTTCGTCTGCATTTCCTCATTACTGGAATGGTATTTCTTGGACTTGGATCAATCTTGGTCGTTTTTGAGAAATCGGAGAACACGCCCTACTACTCCGGCCACTGGAACGGAGCAATGGCCATCGTCTCGGGTCTAACTTTGCTAATAGCGCTGGTGAAACTAAAACAATGGATGATCCTTACCATTGTGGTTGCGAATTCAGCCACCATCATTGGCTGCCTGACGGCTCTTCTTTCTTCACTAAAGAGAGGCAATGGTCGAGGCCTGCCAGCCTACTGGATCTGTCTCTGCGTGTTGCTATGCAGTGTCTACAGTGTCGTCATTGTGGGGGTGAGTCGCAGTACCCTTTCGAGGAGCGTGACTTCAGAAAGCTTCGCTAACGAGCCAACGCCGTTGGGCGATGAGCCACGACAAACTGCATCACCACCCGCTGGTTTCATTCTACCAACCGATGTTCCCTCTCTCCCAGACTACGATACGCTTTCAAACCCACCCCCTTATAACGAAGCAGTTATTGCTAATAAAAACGATTCTGGACATAGTTGAATACCGGACATTTATTGGCTGGTTTTGATTTGATTTTCAAATTTACTTAATAGTCAGAAATGTCTTTTGATCAGGTTAGGATACGTTGGCGGTAAGTTTCTTCAACAGTGATATCATTTATGTTATTACAACTAAGAGTAGAAGAATTAGCGAAACCGTTTACACGCATCAATATCTGCTAGCACCAACGAAACAAGCCAGGTTTTCAAACTTACGACTCTCGTTGGTGAAGCATTTGTTAATTTCTCTGGGCAGACTTCATGATTTTAATATACTGTAACTTAAATCTTGAGATAACACACGACACATTTAACTTTTCCTCTGAATGGTTGGCCTCGCTGACTTGGTGAGGTGTGTGCTTGCATACTTTCAACAATGATGGGTAGTTCTAGGGTGATGCAGCTTGTGCTTTTTCGAGATAAAGGTAAATTTCAGCTAAATGTTTATGGATGTCTTTTGAGCCGATATCGTGGTTTAACATTTCTGCAGGGGGTATATGACAGTCAAAAAACTACATCGGTGTTTCGACTGAGACCTTGGTCTTGGAGATACAAGCAAAGGTCGCATGTTAAAGTTAAGTCAAATAAATTGAGCAAGAAGGTATGCTGGGGGTAACATCAACTTAGAGCCTTCTTTAACAGGGGAATGGTAACTCCAATGAAATTTGTTGTCCCCTGCTCTGAGGCCCATGCATTGAATGCATGCATTGGCCAACAGATGAATGCGTCCCGACGAGCGGGCTAGAACTTCCCATGATGAGCTTTGGCTACCGATAAGCTATTAGTGATTATGCAATTCTCCATTCTTAAAATAACGGTATCAAGGCAGTCGTTTATGCTAAAAGAATAACTGGACGGGCAGGTCGAGGTACTAGCTATTTCAATTAACTTCCATGACACACAGATGAACGTGAAATCGTATAGAACCCGAACTCCACAGTTACAATGATGTCGCGTACACCAAACCTCGTAGTAGTAAAAGTAAATACAATCTTCCAGCAGATGATGAAACTGCGAAATAGTTAATCTTCGCTAAGTGGCCGTCAGTTTTGACAAGAAAAAAACAGAGGACATTTACATTACTGTAACCACTAAAGTACAAACAAAACCAAATTAAGGCACCACGACAACGCGTAATAAGGTCGTTCAAGTTCCTTTATGCTGGTCTATTGTATTTCTGGTTTGGAAATATTACTATGAGGCAGATTGCAACTTAGGACAATTAAACTCGAAGACTTAACCAAAATCACCTCTGTGGTGTAAACTGCCTTCCCATTAAAATTATTTACCAATCCAGACATGCTGCATTGGCTGCATCATATTTACATCCTTGATCTGACCACGGACGCTTTTAATCGTCGTATTTCAGTCAAAATCTCCCAGCTTGAACTCGTTAAGCTGGATTTTTAAGGGCAGAGTCTCTCATAGTCTAGATTAGCATTACAATACTAAAGCAAAACTCCATAGTTGGGTAAATATGGACTTTTCTACGTCCCTTTGGAATACAAATATATCCTTTTACGCATTAAAAGGTTGAGAAGTGTTCTCGTAGATCTCTCACTCCAGGATTGGTCGATGAAAGTAATCATCCTTCCAAGTGAAGTCATTAGCACGCAAGGTCAAGTCTGTAGACCTGTGCAGTCCCTCAGAAACGCCATAAAACTTCCAAAATACTGAACACATTACACCAGGTGTCGAGTTTGCGTGATGTCCAAACACAAGGTATATTATATCAAGATAAAATTGAGTTAAAGCAGAACATTAGTAATTTGAGAAATTTGTCGTTGGGGTTCAAATACTTGTACCACTTTTGTTTTACTGACTTTTAATTAAAATTCGGCAACAAATATTACTTCTCGTGATTTGGGATTCAGGAAAACCACCTCAAGCCGTAACTGTCCACATAGCAAATGCTTGTCAGACTGGTAGAGAACGCTTACAATGATCAGCGTGTTGATAAAACTTTCGCACCAAAAGTCAAGTCTCGTGCTCATGCAGGCGGCACCCCGATGAATGCGGTTTCCACAGCTGAGTGCCAGAAATAATCAATGGCTGCGAGCCTGTCCGAAAACGACAAAGTGTTTAAGAGGAAGAGAGCAGTTCGTGTACAATTTAGTACAAGCCAGGTTCACATTTAAAAGCTCTGTAGTTTAAATGTATGAAATTGGGTGACTGGAATATGTTATGAGATTGTCTCGCTCAATTATACTTCGCGGGAATACACCAAGAATTTTTTGGTGAAACCAGCTTATCTCATCACTATCTATTGTTATACAAAAACATTAAAATAATGATAGGAACATTAAAAGGGAATTTTAGGAAGAGGAGGAGGAGGAGGAGTAATCAAAAACGCAATAACAAGCTATTGACATGTTAATGGGTTTTACGGAAACTGGAGGGTGCCTGTCTCATTTGGTACCAAAAACATCGAACTAGGATCCAGACGTACTCTTGGTGCACCTTCTGTGCTACTACATGGGAACGCAATATGGCCTAGTTGTCGGATTCGACATAACGGGTTCGAAACTGGGTCTGAAATATGTTCCTGTATTGGAACAAATACTTAATAAAGTCAGATTTCTAACATATTAAGAGTCATGGCTCCAATCATTCAAGTATAAATGAGCTCATTTGACTTTGCACGCACACATCCTCGCAGTATTATTTGGCAGATGAGCATTTAGTGTTTTTGGATCACGTTTTCGGAATCGGTTGAGTTGATGAGGGTCAAGTGAACAACGCTGACGAATTTGAATATTTTGAAGTCTTTTTCCGTAAAAATACTCTGAGAATTTTATCTCTAATGCCATCAGTCGAGCTTAACTATTTAACGCAGATAACAGCACGGTAATTTGGTCAGAACGGAATCTCTACAGCATGGTGTTGTTTCAAAAATCAATATTACTATGCAAACTACTGCGAATTATCGGGCCCTCTGACATATACAAGTTCGATTGTTGTCTTTTTTACTTATTGTATTTTCAAGTACATTCATTCGAATGTGCCTGGCCTGAGAGATTAAAGTCGAGGCGTTCAGTTACATTAAATTGGATTTATGAAATTGTGACAATTTACTTGCCAAATTTGCTTGCACTAGAAAAGGCTGCAAGCAAACATCAAGAGACATTAATAATAATTGATTTAAACAAATTCCCGAGGCTTGCACATTCTGCCAAATTGGTTGACAATGTATTATAAAAATAGAATCATTTTTAAAATCTTTAAAATTTGTTTATTTGGTACGCAAAAGATTCGAAGTCGAAAGCCTTCGGTTTCGCCGAAATATTATTTCGCTAGACAGTGTCGTCATCAAAACGCGCTAATATGGCTGTCGCCTGTAGTATTTAGCTAATTTTAGTGCATAAAAGTAACATTATCCAGACGCAAGCGAGCTCACTTAGCTGCAAAATTTCTGCTCGAAATCACTGTTACTTGTAGACAAATGAAATGACATCGAAAGTGGATTGTTTATTGCTGGCTGAAAATTTTTCAAATTGGCCCAAACGCTGACGGAGCAAAATCATAGACCTCGTGGATACGATTCTGCAAAGTGTGTAGGTAAAATAAACAAAAGCCAACTTCCACCGGAAATAAAACAGTGTCGCTTCGCAGCGTTTGATTTCACAAATGTGAATTGAAGTCAACGAGAGACAGATATTTCGCAAATGAAAAGCATTTGTCTTTACCGGTCTTAGGCTAACAGAACTTGAAGGCTTCGACCGGTCGACATTTGATTTTTACTTGCAAGCTTAACTAGAATGGAAAGGCACGCGGCTGAAATAATAGATTCAGTAATTTAAGTCCTATTAAATTCGTTCAGTGCACTTTCAAAGACTTTGCATGTCGAAGGTATGATTAAGTAATCGTAGGCATGATTAAGTAAGCTTTATTTGTTGGCCGATTGACTTATATGTCGCCGACTTTTACCTAGTGCCTAATAACCTACAATTTACTATTCCTCCAAAGTAAATTTTTTTTAAATCCTGGATATCTACAGAACATGTTTTGCGGTGATTAAAACAGTTAATTAATGTTATGTATCCTGGTGTCCTTTAAAGTTGATTGTCAGAAAAATCCATGACCACTATACTCATCAATTCCATTACTGACGCTGGAAGTGATGGTGCTAAATTAGTCGTGACTCACAGTTATTTTTAAAGTAATCGCGACCTTGGAGACTCGCAATTTTATTTGAAAAACAAATTGATGTATTCCCAAATGGTACAAATTCTTTAGTTACTGTGTGAATGCATTTTTAAATCACCTGAAGACACGAAGGACACTGAGGGACTCGTTGATGCCTTCAGCACTGGAAGTGCACAGACGTTACAATAAAACCGTTGAACAATTAAAATCCCAATAAAGTCTGAGGGAGTTCTCTGGTGGGCCATGGTAATTAATTCGCAACGTCACTTGATTTACAAATTGTTGAACACTCGTCAAAAAGCCCACGTCTTGTCGCCGATTCGAAGCAATTCTCCTCACTGCTGTGTTACGATTGCTTGCAATGCCTTCTGCTTCTAACATAAGCAGTAATGAATATTTCATCAAGAGAATTTCACTGAACTGGGCCATGTCGTGAATAAACAGTCTCTTAGATCTCATTCACTTCCGTTCTCTATATGCCTACGGCAAAATAATAGAGCGAATTTCTAGCAAATCTGTCATTCTTTAGCACATCTATTACCGAAACCAAAAGAATAAGGTAAATTTAGCCTTCTGTGGTCATATCGAAAACCATCTTCGTTCTCGAATTCCGGTTTTCTCCTAACCGGGTCATTTGGGGACTCATGTTTCAAAAGATTTGCATAATAATATAAAGAAAAGGACAAATTTCCATAAAAGCACTTTGTAAACAAGGAATCGCTAAATGACCTATTGTTGAAATGTTACACGATTCTTTTAGTACAAGTATTGAAAGTGATTTGACGTCAAAATGCACGTAGGAAAGAGGAATGGAGCCTTTCAATCATGGAGCTTGGTGACTTTTCCGCACTTCAT